TCTGAGTAAGATGGTTAAGGTTAGGGTTAAGGTGTATCTGAGTAAGATGGTTAAGGTTAGGGTTAAGGTGGTCTGAGTAAGATGGTTAAGGTTAGGGTTAAGGTGGATCTGAGTAAGATGGTTAAGGTTAGGGTTAAGGTGGTCTGAGTAAGATGGTTAAGGTTAGGGTTAAGGTGGTCTGAGTAAGATGGTTAAGGTTAGGGTTAAGGTGGATCTGAGTAAGATGGTTAAGGTTAGGGTTAAGGTGGATCTGAGTAAGATGGTTAAGGTTAGGGTTAAGGTGGATCTGAGTAAGATGGTTAAGGTTAGGGTTAAGGTGGATCTGAGTAAGATGGTTAAGGTTAGGGTTAAGGTGGATCTGAGTAAGATGGTTAAGGTTAGGGTTAAGGTGGATCTGAGCAAGATGGTTAAGGTTAGGGTTAAGGTGGTCTGAGTAAGATGGTTAAGGTTAGTGTTAAGGTGTTCTGAGTAAGATGGTTAAGGTTAGTGTTAAGGTGGTCTGAGTAAGATGGTTAAGGTTAGGGTTAAGGTGGATCTGAGTAAGATGGTTAAGGTTAGGGTTAAGGGTTGGGGTTATTTTATGGGAATGGCTGGTTAAGTTTAGGCATGAATAGGTAGTTTGTTATATTTACTTCCGCTTCCGTCCAGATTCCGTGACGTAATCTACTGCTGCGTATGCTCATTGGATCAAACTGAACTTCTGGACGAATCCGGTTCCCGGGACAAATACGGGAGTGACCCCGCTATCTCTGATCCATCTTGGATCAGCCATCTTGGATCAGCCATCTTGGATCAGCTGTTTGGAGCAGAAAGACCTGTACCTTGTATCTGCGCAGCAGGCGGCGGCAGCCAGAGCTTGACAGCGCCCTCTGCTGTTTGGTGTCGTTCAACATGTGGATCAGCAGTGGACTGTTCACCTGGTGAGCCAGGTCCAGAGGACTGAGACCCTGAGAACACACAAGCATACACACAATAGTAACACACACTAATGACACACACTGATAACACACACACACCAAGCGGACTTTGTATTTTGTTTTCCCGTTTGTTTGAAATAAATGAATAAATATTATTAATATCAATGATATTATTATTATGATTAATACTAATGACATTATTATTTTAATTGATATTATTAATATTATAAATACATATGATATTATTAATATAATTGATATTATAAACATAATGCTATACTCTCCATCGGATACTCGAGGGTTCATGGGAGTTCCCCAAACCTGTCCACATGTGCTTTGTGGATTTGGAGAAGGCGTTCGACCGTGTTCCCCGGGGTGTCCTTTGGGGGGTTCTCTGGGAGTACGGGGTCCGGGGTCCTCTGCTGAGGGCCGACCGGTCCCTGTATGACCGGAGCCAGAGCTGTGTTCGCATCAGCAGTAAGTCAGACCTGTTCTCGGTGCATGTCGGCCTCCGCCAGGGCCACAGCCAGGGGCCGGAGGGGGTCCGGTTCAGAGACTACAAGAGCCAGAGGGGGTCCGGTTCAGAGACTACAGGAGCCAGAGGGGGTCCGGTTCAGAGACTACAGGAGCCAGAGGGGGTCCGGTTCAGAGACCACAGGGGCCAGAGGGGGTCCGGTTCAGAGACCACAGGGGCCAGAGGGGGTCCGGTTCAGAGACCACAGGATATTATCTTTGCTTTTTGTGGAAAATGTTGTCCTGTTGGCTCCAACAAACCAGGACCTGCAGCATGCACTGGGACGGTTTGCAGCCGAGTGTGAAGCGGCTGGGATGAGAATCAGCACCTCCAAATCTGAGGCCATGGTGCTCGACCGGAAAAAGGTCCTGGTCCTCTCCTGGTCCTGGTCCTCTCCTGGTCCTGGTCCTCTCCCGGTCCTGGTCCTCTCCCGGTCCTGGTCCTCTCCCGGTCCTGGTCCTCTCCTGGTCCTCTCCCGGTCCTGGTCCTCTCCCGGTCCTGGTCCTCTCCCGGTCCTGGTCCACTCCAGGTCCTGGTCCTCTCCAGGTCCTGGTCCTCTCCCGGTCCTGGTCCACTCCAGGTCCTGGTCCTCTCCAGGTCCTGGTCCTCTCCTGGTCCTGGTCCTCTCCTGGTCCTGGTCCTCTCCTGGTCCTGGTCCTCTCCTGGTCCTGGTCCACTCCAGGTCCTGGTCCTCTCCAGGTCCTGGTCCTCTCCAGGTCCTGGTCCTCTCCCGGTCCTGGTCCACTCCAGGTCCTGGTCCTCTCCAGGTCCAGGTCCTCTCCTGGTGGAGGAGTTCAAGTATCTCGGGGTCTTGTTCACGAGTGAGGGAAGGATGGAGCGTGAGATTGACAGGCGGATCGGTGCAGCGTGCGCAGTGATGCGGTCGCTGTATCGGACCGTTGTGGTAAAGAGGGAGCAGCGTCTGCAGTCAGAGCTGTATCGGACCGTTGTGGTAAAGAGGGAGCAGCGTCTGCAGTCAGAGCTGTATCGGACCGTTGTGGTAAAGAGGGAGCAGCGTCTGCAGTCAGAGCTGTATCGGACCGTTGTGGTAAAGAGGGAGCAGCGTCTGCAGTCAGAGCTGTATCGGACCGTTGTGGTAAAGAGGGAGCAGCGTCTGCAGTCAGAGCTGTATCGGACCGTTGTGGTAAAGAGGGAGCAGCGTCTGCTGTCAGAGCTGTATCGGACCATTGTGGTAAAGAGGGAGCAGCGTCTGCAGTCAGAGCTGTATCGGACCATTGTGGTAAAGAGGGAGCAGCGTCTGCAGTCAGAGCTGTATCGGACCATTGTGGTAAAGAGGGAGCAGCGTCTGCTGTCAGAGCTGTATCGGACCATTGTGGTGAAGAGGGAGCAGCGTCTGCAGTCAGAGCTGTATCGGACCATTGTGGTAAAGAGGGAGCAGCGTCTGCAGTCAGAGCTGTATCGGACCATTGTGGTAAAGAGGGAGCAGCGTCTGCAGTCAGAGCTGTATCGGACCGTTGTGGTAAAGAGGGAGCAGCGTCTGCAGTCAGAGCTGTATCGGACCATTGTGGTAAAGAGGGAGCAGCGTCTGCAGTCAGAGCTGTATCGGACCATTGTGGTAAAGAGGGAGCAGCGTCTGCAGTCAGAGCTGTATCGGACCGTTGTGGTAAAGAGGGAGCAGCGTCTGCAGTCAGAGCTGTATCGGACCGTTGTGGTAAAGAGGGAGCAGCGTCTGCAGTCAGAGCTGTATCGGACCATTGTGGTAAAGAGGGAGCAGCGTCTGCAGTCAGAGCTGTATCGGACCATTGTGGTAAAGAGGGAGCAGCGTCTGCAGTCAGAGCTGTATCGGACCGTTGTGGTAAAGAGGGAGCAGCGTCTGCAGTCAGAGCTGTATCGGACCATTGTGGTAAAGAGGGAGCTCTCGATTTATCGGTCAATCTTCGTTCCCTCCCTCACCTCTGGTCATGAGCTTTGGGTAATGACCGAAAGAACGAGATCGCGGATACAAGCGGTCGAAATGAGCTTCCTCCGCAGAGTGGCTGCTCCCTTAGAGATAGGGTGAGGAGCTCAGTCACACGGGAGGAGCTCGGAGTAGAGCCGCTGCTCCCTTAGAGATAGGGTGAGGAGCTCAGTCACACGGGAGGAGCTCGGAGTAGAGCCGCTGCTCCCTTAGAGATAGGGTGAGGAGCTCGGTCACACGGGAGGAGCTCGGAGTAGAGCCGCTGCTTCTCCACGTCGAGAGGAACCAGTTGATGTGGCTCGGGCATCTGTTCCGGATGCCTCCTGGACGCCTCCCTGGGGAGGTGTGTGTGGATAGGGAAGTCTGGGCGTCTCTGCTTAGACTGCTGCCCCCGCGACCCGGCAACGGATGAAGCAGAAGAAAATGGATGGATGGATGGATGGATGGATTCAAATGTATTTTCAGCTCCTCTGTGATGGTGTCTGCTCTGACTGACACCTGTGGATCCTGCACCTGTGGATCCTGCACCTTAAAGCTGCACCTGAAAGATGCACCTACGTGTTTCCATATGTCCATCAGCACTAGCATTAGCCATAGTAACCATGTCTCACATTGCTGTTGTGAGCGTCCACACTGGCGCCTGCCTCCAGCAGCACGTGAGCAGAGTCCACGTTCCCCGACATCATGGCACAATGTAGCGCCGTGTTTCTGCTCACGTCCACCGCCGCCACGCTCGCCCCGTGACGAACCAGGAAGTGAGTGGGCTCCGGCCTGGACACAACCACAGCATGTTACAGGGTCTACAGTCTCAGTCCTGGGTCTACAGCCTCAGTCCTGGGTCTACAGCCTCAGTCCTGGGTCTACAGCCTCAGTCCTGGGTCTATGGCCTCAGACCTGGGTCTACAGCCTCAGTCCTGGGTCTATGGCCTCAGTCCTGGGTCTACAGCCTCAGTCCTGGGTCTACAGCCTCAGTCCTGGGTCTATGGCCTCAGACCTGGGTCTACAGCCTCAGTCCTGGGTCTATGGCCTCAGACCTGGGTCTACAGCCTCAGTCCTGGGTCTACAGCCTCAGTCCTGGGTCTACAGCCTCAGTCCTGGGTCTACAGCCTCAGTCCTGGGTCTACAGCCTCAGTCCTGGGTCTATGGCCTCAGACCTGGGTCTACAGCCTCAGTCCTGGGTCTACAGCCTCAGTCCTGGGTCTACAGCCTCAGTCCTGGGTCTACAGCCTCAGTCCTGGGTCTACAGTCTCAGTCCTGGGTCTACAGCCTCAGTCCTGGGTCTACAGCCTCAGTCCTGGGTCTACAGCCTCAGACCTGGGTCTACAGCCTCAGTCCTGGGTCTACAGTCTCAGTCCTGGGTCTACAGCCTCAGTCCTGGGTCTATGGCCTCAGACCTGGGTCTACAGCCTCAGTCCTGGGTCTACAGCCTCAGTCCTGGGTCTACAGCCTCAGTCCTGGGTCTACAGCCTCAGTCCTGGGTCTATGGCCTCAGACCTGGGTCTACAGCCTCAGTCCTGGGTCTACAGCCTCAGTCCTGGGTCTACAGCCTCAGTCCTGGGTCTACAGCCTCAGTCCTGGGTCTATGGCCTCAGACCTGGGTCTACAGCCTCAGTCCTGGGTCTATGGCCTCAGACCTGGGTCTACAGCCTCAGTCCTGGGTCTACAGCCTCAGTCCTGGGTCTATGGCCTCAGTCCTGGGTCTACAGCCTCAGTCCTGGGTCTACAGCCTCAGTCCTGGGTCTACAGCCTCAGTCCTGGGTCTACAGCCTCAGTCCTGGGTCTATGGCCTCAGACCTGGGTCTACAGCCTCAGTCCTGGGTCTATGGCCTCAGACCTGGGTCTACAGCCTCAGTCCTGGGTCTACAGCCTCAGTCCTGGGTCTACAGCCTCAGTCCTGGATCTACAGCCTCAGTCCTGGGTCTACAGCCTCAGTCCTGGGTCTACAGCCTCAGTCCTGGGTCTACAGCCTCAGTCCTGGGTCTACAGCCTCAGTCCTGGGTCTACAGCCTCAGTCCTGGGTCTACAGCCTCAGTCCTGGGTCTATGGCCTCAGACCTGGGTCTACAGCCTCAGTCCTGGGTCTATGGCCTCAGACCTGGGTCTACAGCCTCAGTCCTGGGTCTACAGCCTCAGTCCTGGGTCTACAGCCTCAGTCCTGGATCTACAGCCTCAGTCCTGGGTCTACAGCCTCAGTCCTGGGTCTACAGCCTCAGTCCTGGGTCTACAGCCTCAGTCCTGGGTCTACAGCCTCAGTCCTGGGTCTACAGCCTCAGTCCTGGGTCTACAACCTCAGTCCTGGGTCTATGGCCTCAGACCTGGGTCTACAGCCTCAGTCGTGGGTCTACAGCCTCAGTCCTGGGTCTACAGCCTCAGTCCTGGGTCTACAGCCTCAGTCCTGGGTCTATGGCCTCAGACCTGGGTCTACAGCCTCAGTCCTGGGTCTACAGCCTCAGTCCTGGGTCTACAGCCTCAGTCCTGGGTCTATGGCCTCAGTCCTGGGTCTATGGCCTCAGACCTGGGTCTACAGCCTCAGTCCTGGGTCTATGGCCTCAGACCTGGGTCTACAGCCTCAGTCCTGGGTCTACAGCCTCAGTCCTGGGTCTACAGCCTCAGTCCTGGATCTACAGCCTCAGTCCTGGGTCTACAGCCTCAGTCCTGGGTCTACAGCCTCAGTCCTGGGTCTACAGCCTCAGTCCTGGGTCTACAGCCTCAGTCCTGGGTCTACAGCCTCCGTCCTGGGTCTACAGCCTCAGTCCTGGGTCTACAGCCTCAGTCCTGGGTCTACAGCCTCAGTCCTGGGTCTACAGCCTCAGTCCTGGGTCTACAGCCTCAGTCCTGGGTCTACAGCCTCAGTCCTGGATCTACGGCCTCAGTCCTGGGTCTACAGCCTCAGTCCTGGGTCTACAGCCTCAGTCCTGGGTCTACGGCCTCAGTCCTGGGTCTACAGCCTCAGTCCTGGGTCTACAGCCTCAGTCCTGGGTCTACAGCCTCAGTCCTGGGTCTACAGCATCAGTCCTGGGTCTACAGCCTCAGTCCTGGGTCTACAGCCTCAGTCCTGGGTCTACGGCTCCAGTCCTGGGTCTACAGCCTCAGTCCTGGGTCTACAGCCTCAGTCCTGGGTCTACAGCCTCAGTCCTGGGTCTACAGCCTCAGTCCTGGGTCTACAGCCTCAGTCCTGGATCTACAGCCTCAGTCCTGGGTCTACAGCCTCAGTCCTGGGTCTATGGCCTCAGACCTGGGTCTACAGCCTCAGTCCTGGGTCTATGGCCTCAGACCTGGGTCTACAGCCTCAGTCCTGGGTCTACAGCCTCAGTCCTGGGTCTACAGCCTCAGTCCTGGATCTACAGCCTCAGTCCTGGGTCTACAGCCTCAGTCCTGGGTCTACAGCCTCAGTCCTGGGTCTACAGCCTCAGTCCTGGGTCTACAGCCTCAGTCCTGGGTCTACAGCCTCAGTCCTGGGTCTACGGCCTCAGTCCTGGGTCTATGGCCTCAGACCTGGGTCTATGGCCTCAGTCCTGGGTCTACAGCCTCAGTCCTGGATCTACAGCCTCAGTCCTGGGTCTACAGCCTCAGTCCTGGGTCTACAGCCTCAGTCCTGGGTCTACAGCCTCAGTCCTGGGTCTACAGCCTCAGTCCTGGGTCTACAGCCTCAGTCCTGGATCTACAGCCTCAGTCCTGGGTCTACAGCCTCAGTCCTGGGTCTACAGCCTCAGTCCTGGGTCTACAGCCTCAGTCCTGGGTCTACAGCCTCAGTCCTGGGTCTACAGCCTCAGTCCTGGGTCTACAGCCTCAGTCCTGGGTCTACAGCCTCAGTCCTGGGTCTATGGCCTCAGACCTGGGTCTACAGCCTCAGTCGTGGGTCTACAGCCTCAGTCCTGGGTCTACAGCCTCAGTCCTGGGTCTACAGCCTCAGTCCTGGGTCTATGGCCTCAGACCTGGGTCTACAGCCTCAGTCCTGGGTCTACAGCCTCAGTCCTGGGTCTACAGCCTCAGTCCTGGGTCTATGGCCTCAGACCTGGGTCTACAGCCTCAGTCCTGGGTCTATGGCCTCAGACCTGGGTCTACAGCCTCAGTCCTGGGTCTACAGCCTCAGTCCTGGGTCTACAGCCTCAGTCCTGGATCTACAGCCTCAGTCCTGGGTCTACAGCCTCAGTCCTGGGTCTACAGCCTCAGTCCTGGGTCTACAGCCTCAGTCCTGGGTCTACAGCCTCAGTCCTGGGTCTACAGCCTCCGTCCTGGGTCTACAGCCTCAGTCCTGGGTCTACAGCCTCAGTCCTGGGTCTACAGCCTCAGTCCTGGGTCTACAGCCTCAGTCCTGGGTCTACAGCCTCAGTCCTGGGTCTACAGCCTCAGTCCTGGATCTACGGCCTCAGTCCTGGGTCTACAGCCTCAGTCCTGGGTCTACAGCCTCAGTCCTGGGTCTACGGCCTCAGTCCTGGGTCTACAGCCTCAGTCCTGGGTCTACAGCCTCAGTCCTGGGTCTACAGCCTCAGTCCTGGGTCTACAGCATCAGTCCTGGGTCTACAGCCTCAGTCCTGGGTCTACAGCCTCAGTCCTGGGTCTACGGCTCCAGTCCTGGGTCTACAGCCTCAGTCCTGGGTCTACAGCCTCAGTCCTGGGTCTACAGCCTCAGTCCTGGGTCTACAGCCTCAGTCCTGGGTCTACAGCCTCAGTCCTGGGTCTACAGCCTCAGTCCTGGGTCTACAGCCTCAGTCCTGGGTCTACAGCCTCAGTCCTGGGTCTATGGCCTCAGACCTGGGTCTACAGCCTCAGTCCTGGGTCTACAGCCTCAGTCCTGGGTCTACAGCCTCAGTCCTGGGTCTACAGCCTCAGTCCTGGGTCTACGGCTCCAGTCCTGGGTCTACAGCCTCAGTCCTGGGTCTACAGCCTCAGTCCTGGGTCTACAGCCTCAGTCCTGGGTCTACAGCCTCAGTCCTGGGTCTACAGCCTCAGTCCTGGGTCTACAGCCTCAGTCCTGGGTCTACAGCCTCAGTCCTGGGTCTACAGCCTCAGTCCTGGGTCTACAGCCTCAGTCCTGGGTCTACAGCCTCAGTCCTGGGTCTATGGCCTCAGACCTGGGTCTACAGCCTCAGTCGTGGGTCTACAGCCTCAGTCCTGGGTCTACAGCCTCAGTCCTGGGTCTACAGCCTCAGTCCTGGGTCTACGGCCTCAGTCCTGGGTCTACAGCCTCAGTCCTGGGTCTACAGCCTCAGTCCTGGGTCTACAGCCTCAGTCCTGGGTCTACGGCCTCAGTCCTGGGTCTACAGCCTCAGTCCTGGGTCTACAGCCTCAGACCTGGGTCTACAGCCTCAGTCCTGGGTCTACAGCCTCAGTCCTGGGTCTACAGCCTCAGTCCTGGATCTACAGCCTCAGTCCTGGGTCTACAGCCTCAGTCCTGGGTCTACAGCCTCAGTCCTGGGTCTACAGCCTCAGTCCTGGGTCTACAGCCTCAGTCCTGGGTCTACAGCCTCCGTCCTGGGTCTACAGCCTCAGTCCTGGGTCTACAGCCTCAGTCCTGGGTCTACAGCCTCAGTCCTGGGTCTACAGCCTCAGTCCTGGGTCTACAGCCTCAGTCCTGGGTCTACAGCCTCAGTCCTGGATCTACGGCCTCAGTCCTGGGTCTACAGCCTCAGTCCTGGGTCTACAGCCTCAGTCCTGGGTCTACGGCCTCAGTCCTGGGTCTACAGCCTCAGTCCTGGGTCTACAGCCTCAGTCCTGGGTCTACAGCCTCAGTCCTGGGTCTACAGCATCAGTCCTGGGTCTACAGCCTCAGTCCTGGGTCTACAGCCTCAGTCCTGGGTCTACAGCAACAGTCCTGGGTCTACAGCCTCAGTCCTGGGTCTACAGCCTCAGTCCTGGGTCTACAGCCTCAGTCCTGGGTCTACAGCCTCAGTCCTGGGTCTACAGCCTCAGTCCTGGGTCTACAGCCTCAGTCCTGGGTCTATGGCCTCAGACCTGGGTCTACAGCCTCAGTCCTGGGTCTACAGCCTCAGTCCTGGGTCTACAGCCTCAGTCCTGGGTCTACAGCCTCAGTCCTGGGTCTACAGCCTCAGTCCTGGGTCTACAGCCTCAGTCCTGGGTCTACGGCTCCAGTCCTGGGTCTACAGCCTCAGTCCTGGGTCTACAGCCTCAGTCCTGGGTCTACAGCCTCAGTCCTGGGTCTACAGCCTCAGTCCTGGGTCTACAGCCTCAGTCCTGGGTCTACAGTCTCAGTCCTGGGTCTATGGCCTCAGTCCTGGGTCTACAGCCTCAGTCCTGGGTCTACAGCCTCAGTCCTGGGTCTACAGCCTCAGTCCTGGGTCTATGGCCTCAGACCTGGGTCTACAGCCTCAGTCCTGGGTCTACAGCCTCAGTCCTGGGTCTACAGCCTCAGTCCTGGGTCTACAGCCTCAGTCCTGGGTCTACAGCCTCAGTCCTGGGTCTACAGCCTCAGTCCTGGGTCTACGGCTCCAGTCCTGGGTCTACAGCCTCAGTCCTGGGTCTACAGCCTCAGTCCTGGGTCTACAGCCTCAGTCCTGGGTCTACAGCCTCAGTCCTGGGTCTACAGCCTCAGTCCTGGGTCTACAGTCTCAGTCCTGGGTCTATGGCCTCAGTCCTGGGTCTACAGCCTCAGTCCTGGGTCTACAGCCTCAGTCCTGGGTCTATGGCCTCAGTCCTGGGTCTACAGCCTCAGTCCTGGGTCTATGGCCTCAGACCTGGGTCTACAGCCTCAGTCCTGGGTCTACAGCCTCAGTCCTGGGTCTACAGCCTCAGTCCTGGGTCTACAGCCTCAGTCCTGGGTCTATGGCCTCAGACCTGGGTCTACAGCCTCAGTCCTGGGTCTACAGCCTCAGTCCTGGGTCTACAGCCTCAGTCCTGGGTCTATGGCCTCAGACCTGGGTCTACAGCCTCAGTCCTGGGTCTACAGCCTCAGTCCTGGGTCTACAGCCTCAGTCCTGGGTCTACAGCCTCAGTCCTGGGTCTATGGCCTCAGACCTGGGTCTACAGCCTCAGTCCTGGGTCTATGGCCTCAGTCCTGGGTCTACAGCCTCAGTCCTGGGTCTATGGCCTCAGACCTGGGTCTACAGCCTCAGTCCTGGGTCTACAGCCTCAGTCCTGGGTCTACAGCCTCAGTCCTGGGTCTACAGCCTCAGTCCTGGGTCTACAGCCTCAGTCCTGGGTCTATGGCCTCAGACCTGGGTCTACAGCCTCAGTCCTGGGTCTATGGCCTCAGTCCTGGGTCTACAGCCTCAGTCCTGGGTCTATGGCCTCAGACCTGGGTCTACAGCCTCAGTCCTGGGTCTACAGCCTCAGTCCTGGGTCTACAGCCTCAGTCCTGGGTCTACAGCCTCAGTCCTGGGTCTATGGCCTCAGACCTGGGTCTACAGCCTCAGTCCTGGGTCTATGGCCTCAGTCCTGGGTCTACAGCCTCAGTCCTGGGTCTATGGCCTCAGTCCTGGGTCTACAGCCTCAGTCCTGGGTCTATGGCCTCAGTCCTGGGTCTACAGCCTCAGTCCTGGGTCTATGGCGTCAGACCTGGGTCTACAGCCTCAGTCCTGGGTCTATGGCCTCAGTCCTGGGTCTACAGCCTCAGTCCTGGGTCTATGGCCTCAGTCCTGGGTCTACAGCCTCAGTCCTGGGTCTATGGCCTCAGTCCTGGGTCTACAGCCTCAGTCCTGGGTCTATGGCGTCAGACCTGGGTCTACAGCCTCAGTCCTGGGTCTATGGCCTCAGTCCTGGGTCTACAGCCTCAGTCCTGGGTCTACAGCCTCAGTCCTGGGTCTATGGCCTCAGTCCTGGGTCTACAGCCTCAGTCCTGGGTCTATGGCCTCAGTCCTGGGTCTACAGCCTCAGTCCTGGGTCTACAGCCTCAGTCCTGGGTCTATGGCCTCAGTCCTGGGTCTACAGCCTCAGTCCTGGGTCTATGGCCTCAGTCCTGGGTCTACAGCCTCAGTCCTGGGTCTATGGCCTCAGTCCTGGGTCTACAGCCTCAGTCCTGGGTCTATGGCCTCAGTCCTGGGTCTACAGCCTCAGTCCTGGGTCTATGGCGTCAGTCCTGGGTCTACAGCCTCAGTCCTGGGTCTATGGCGTCAGTCCTGGGTCTACAGCCTCAGTCCTGGGTCTACAGCCTCAGTCCTGGGTCTATGGCGTCAGTCCTGGGTCTACAGCCTCAGTCCTGGGTCTATGGCGTCAGTCCTGGGTCTACAGCCTCAGTCCTGGGTCTATGGCCTCAGTCCTGGGTCTACAGCCTCAGTCCTGGGTCTACAGCCTCAGACCTGGGTCTACAGCCTCAGTCCTGGGTCTACGGCCTCAGTCCTGGGTCTACGGCCTCAGTCCTGGGTCTACGGCCTCAGTCCTGGGTCTACAGCCTCAGTCCTGGGTCTACAGCCTCAGTCCTGGGTCTACAGCCTCAGTCCTGGGTCTACAGCCTCAGTCCTGGGTCTACAGCCTCAGTCCTGGGTCTACGGCCTCAGTCCTGGGTCTACAGCCTCAGTCCTGGGTCTACAGCCTCAGTCCTGGGTCTACAGCCTCAGACACAGACACAGACACACACACAGACACAGACACACACAGACACACACACAGACACAGACACACACAGACACACACAGACACAGACACAGACACACACAGACACACACACAGACACAGACACACACAGACACACACATTACCCTATGATCTTTTGAGCTGCCAGCATCAGAGGAGTGAGTCCGTTGGCGTCTGGAGAATCCACTTCCTGTAGAAAAACACAAAATAGTTTTATGTTTTATTAAAAAGACGTGAAGATGTTTTTACACCATCAGGAACTGCAGCCACAGAAGCACAGTAAGTAATAATAATAATGATAACAAAAATACTAATAACAATAATAATCATGTGGCAGGATCTCTGGTGTACACTGGAAGAGTCTTAGTGTTCGTTATACAGTCTGACAGCCTCACCTGTGTTCGTTATACAGTCTGACAGCCTCACCTGCCCTTTAGCCATGAGCTAGTGTTCGTTATACAGTCTGACAGCCTCACCTGCCCTTTAGCCATGAGCTAGTGTTCGTTATACAGTCTGACAGCCTCACCTGTCCTTTAGCCATGAGCTAGTGTTCGTTATACAGTCTGACAGCCTCACCTGTCCTTTAGCCATGAGCTAGTGTTCGTTATACAGTCTGACAGCCTCACCTGTCCTTTAGCCATGAGCTAGTGTTCGTTATACAGTCTGACAGCCTCACCTGCCCTTTAGCCATGAGCTAGTGTTCGTTATACAGTCTGACAGCCTCACCTGTCCTTTAGCCATGAGCTAGTGTTCGTTATACAGTCTGACAGCCTCACCTGTCCTTTAGCCATGAGCTAGTGTTCGTTATACAGTCTGACAGCCTCACCTGTCCTTTAGCCATGAGCTAGTGTTCGTTATACAGTCTGACAGCCTCACCTGTCCTTTAGCCATGAGCTAATGTTCGTTATACAGTCTGACAGCCTCACCTGCCCTTTAGCCATGAGCTAGTGTTCGTTATACAGTCTGACAGCCTCACCTGTCCTTTAGCCATGAGCTAGTGTTCGTTATACAGTCTGACAGCCTCACCTGCCCTTTAGCCATGAGCTAGTGTTCGTTATACAGTCTGACAGCCTCACCTGCCCTTTAGCCATGAGCTAGTGTTCGTTATACAGTCTGACAGCCTCACCTGTCCTTTAGCCATGAGCTAGTGTTCGTTATACAGTCTGACAGCCTCACCTGTCCTTTAGCCATGAGCTAGTGTTCGTTATACAGTCTGACAGCCTCACCTGCCCTTTAGCCATGAGCTAGTGTTCGTTATACAGTCTGACAGCCTCACCTGCCCTTTAGCCATGAGCTAATGTTCGTTATACAGTCTGACAGCCTCACCTGCCCTTTAGCCATGAGCTAGTGTTCGTTATACAGTCTGACAGCCTCACCTGCCCTTTAGCCATGAGCTAGTGTTCGTTATACAGTCTGACAGCCTCACCTGCCCTTTAGCCATGAGCTAGTGTTCGTTATACAGTCTGACAGCCTCACCTGTCCTTTAGCCATGAGGTAGGCAGCTATAGCCATGTGTTGGAACAGAATGGCGAGGTGCAGAGCACGGTATCCTTCTCCGTCTGCGATGGTCGGATCTGCACCAAATCTCATCAACTGGATCACCATCTGCAGGTGCCCCTGTCTGCCACCAGAGGGCGAGAGAGACATGTTACTGTGAGTCACCAGGGGGCGAGAGAGACATGTTACTGTGAGTCACCAGGGGGAGAGAGACATGTTACTGTGAGTCACCAGGGGGAGAGAGAGACATGTTACTGTGAGTCACCAGGGGGAGAGAGACATGTTACTGTGAGTCACCAGGGGGAGAGAGAGACATGTTACTGTGAGTCACCAGGGGGAGAGAGAGACATGTTACTGTGAGTCACCAGGGGGAGAGAGAGACATGTTACTGTGAGTCACCAGGGGGAGAGAGAGACATGTTACTGTGAGTCACCAGAGAGCGAGAGAGACATGTTACTGTGAGTCACCAGGGGGAGAGAGAGACATGTTACTGTGAGTCACCAGGGGGAGAGAGAGACATGTTACTGTGAGTCACCAGGGGGAGAGAGAGACATGTTACTGTGAGTCACCAGGGGGAGAGAGAGACATGTTACTGTGAGTCACCAGGGGGAGAGAGAGACATGTTACTGTGAGTCACCAGAGGGAGAGAGACATGTTACTGTGAGTCACCAGGGGGAGAGAGAGACATGTTACTGTGAGTCACCAGGGGGAGAGAGAGACATGTTACTGTGAGTCACCAGAGAGCGAGAGAGACATGTTACTGTGAGTCACCAGGTGGAGAGAGAGAGAGACATGTTACTGTGAGTCACCAGGGGGAGAGAGAGACATGTTACTGTGAGTCACCAGGGGGAGAGAGAGACATGTTACTGTGAGTCACCAGGGGGAGAGAGAGACATGTTACTGTGAGTCACCAGGGGGAGAGAGAGACATGTTACTGTGAGTCACCAGGGGGAGAGAGAGAGACATGTTACTGTGAGTCACCAGAGGGCGAGAGAGACATGTTACTGTGAGTCACCAGGGGGCGAGAGAGACATGTTACTGTGAGTCACCAGGGGGAGAGAGACATGTTACTGTGAGTCACCAGGGGGAGAGAGAGACATGTTACTGTGAGTCACCAGGGGGAGAGAGAGAGACATGTTACTGTGAGTCACCAGGGGGAGAGAGAGACATGTTACTGTGAGTCACCAGGGGGAGAGAGAGACATGTTACTGTGAGTCACCAGGGGGAGAGAGAGACATGTTACTGTGAGTCACCAGGGGGAGAGAGAGACATGTTACTGTGAGTCACCAGGGGGAGAGAGAGAGACATGTTACTGTGAGTCACCAGGGGGAGAGAGAGACATGTTACTGTGAGTCACCAGAGAGCGAGAGAGACATGTTACTGTGAGTCACCAGGGGGAGAGAGAGACATGTTACTGTGAGTCACCAGGGGGAGAGAGAGACATGTTACTGTGAGTCACCAGGGAGAGAGAGATACATGTTACTGTGAGTCACCAGGGGGAGAGAGAGAGACATGTTACTGTGAGTCACCAGGGGGAGAGAGAGACATGTTACTGTGAGTCACCAGGGGGAGAGAGAGACATGTTACTGTGAGTCACCAGGTGGAGAGAGAGAGACATGTTACTGTGAGTCACCAGGTGGAGAGAGAGAGACATGTTACTGTGAGTCACCAGGTGGAGAGAGAGAGACATGTTACTGTGAGTCACCAGGGGGAGAGAGAGACATGTTACTGTGAGTCACCAGGGGGAGAGAAAGACATGTTACTGTGAGTCACCAGGGGGAGAGAGAGAGACATGTTACTGTGAGTCACCAGGTGGAGAGAGACATGTTACTGTGAGTCACCAGGGGGCGAGAGAGACATGTTACTGTGAGTCACCAGGGGGAGAGAGAGAGACATGTTACTGTGAGTCACCAGGTGGAGAGAGAGAGAGACATGTTACTGTGAGTCACCAGGGGGAGAGAGAGAGACATGTTACTGTGAGTCACCAGGTGGAGAGAGACATGTTACTGTGAGTCACCAGGGGGCGAGAGAGACATGTTACTGTGAGTCACCAGGGGGAGAGAGACATGTTACTGTGAGTCACCAGGGGGAGAGAGAGACATGTTACTGTGAGTCACCAGGGGGAGAGAGAGACATGTTACTGTGAGTCACCAGAGAGCGAGAGAGACATGTTACTGTGAGTCACCAGGGGGAGAGAGAGACATGTTACTGTGAGTCACCAGGGGGAGAGAGAGACATGTTACTGTGAGTCACCAGGGGGAGAGAGAGAGACATGTTACTGTGAGTCACCAGGTGGAGAGAGACATGTTACTGTGAGTCACCAGGGGGCGAGAGAGACATGTTACTGTGAGTCACCAGGGGGAGAGAGACATGTTACTGTGAGTCACCAGGGGGAGAGAGAGACATGTTACTGTGAGTCACCAGGGGGAGAGAGAGACATGTTACTGTGAGTCACCAGGGGGAGAGAGAGACATGTTACTGTGAGTCACCAGGGGGAGAGAGAGACATGTTACTGTGAGTCACCAGAGAGCGAGAGAGACATGTTACTGTGAGTCACCAGGGGGAGAGAGAGACATTGTTACTGTGAGTCACCAGGGGGAGAGAGAGAGACATGTTACTGTGAGTCACCAGAGGGCGAGAGAGACATGTTACTGTGAGTCACCAGGGGGAGAGAGACATGTTACTGTGAGTCACCAGGGGGAGAGAGAGAGACATGTTACTGTGAGTCACCAGGGGGAGAGAGAGACATGTTACTGTGAGTCACCAGGGGGAGAGAGAGAGACATGTTACTGTGAGTCACCAGGGAGAGAGAGAGACATGTTACTGTGAGTCACCAGGGGGAGAGAGAGACATGTTACTGTGAGTCACCAGGGGAGAGAGAGACATGTTACTGTGAGTCACCAGGTGGAGAGAGAGAGACATGTTACTGTGAGTCACCAGGAGAGCGAGAGAGACATGTTACTGTGAGTCACCAGGGGGAGAGAGAGACATGTTACTGTGAGTCACCAGGGGGAGAGAGAGAACATGTTACTGTGAGTCACCAGGAGAGAGAGACATGTGTTACTGTGAGTCACCAGGGGGAGAGAGAGACATGTTACTGTGAGTCACCAGGGGGAGAGAGACATGTTACTGTGAGTCACCAGGGGGAGAGAGAGAGACATGTTACTGTGAGTCACCAGGGGGAGAGAGAGAGACATGTTACTGTGAGTCACCAGGGGAGAGAGAGACATGTTACTGTGAGTCACCAGGGGGAGAGAGAGACATGTTACTGACCAGGGAATGTCGTGAGTCACCAGGGGGAGAGAGAGTACGGAGTCCCAGGGGGAGAGAGACATGTTACTGTGAGTCACCAGGGGAGAGAGAGACATGTTACAGTGGTTACTGTGAGTCACCAGGGGAGAGAGACATGTTACTGTGAGTCACCAGGGGGAGAGAGAGAGACATGTACTGTGACGTGAGTCACCAGAGGGGAGAGAGACATGTTACTGTGAGTCACCAGGGGAGAGAGAGAGACATGTTACTGTGAGTCACCAGGGGGAGAGAGACATGTTACTGTGAGTCACCAGGGGGAGAGAGACATGTTACTGTGAGTCACCAGGTGGAGAGAGAGAGACATGTTACTGTGAGTCACCAGGTGGAGAGAGAGAGACATGTTACTGTGAGTCACCAGGTGGAGAGAGAGAGACATGTTACTGTGAGTCACCAGAGAGCGAGAGAGACATGTTACTGTGAGTCACCAGGGGGAGAGAGAGACATGTTACTGTGAGTCACCAGGGGGAGAGAGAGAGACATGTTACTGTGAGTCACCAGGTGGAGAGAGACATGTTACTGTGAGTCACCAGGGGGAGAGAGAGACATGTTACTGTGAGTCACCAGGGAGAGAGAGAGAACATGTTACAGTGAGTCACCAGGGGGAGAGAGAGAGACATGTTACTGTGAGTCACCAGGGGGAGAGAGAGACATGTTACTGTGAGTCACCAGGGGGAGAGAGAGAGACATGTTACAGTGAGTCACCAGGGGGAGAGAGAGAGACATGTTACTGTGAGTCACCAGAGGGCGAGAGAGACATGTTACTGTGAGTCACCAGGGGGCGAGAGAGACATGTTACTGTGAGTCACCAGGGGGAGAGAGAGAGACATGTTACAGTGAGTCACCAGGGGGAGAGAGACATGTTACTGTGAGTCACCAGGGGGAGAGAGAGACATGTTACTGTGAGTCACCAGGGGGAGAGAGAGAGACATGTTACTGTGAGTCACCAGGGGGAGAGAGACATGTTACTGTGAGTCACCAGAGGGCGAGAGAGACATGTTACTGTGAGTCACCAGGTGGAGAGAGAGAGAGACATGTTACTGTGAGTCACCAGGGGGAGAGAGACATGTTACTGTGAGTCACCAGGGGGAGAGAGACATGTTACTGTGAGTCACCAGGTGGAGAGAGAGAGACATGTTACTGTGAGTCACCAGGTGGAGAGAGAGAGACATGTTACTGTGAGTCACCAGGTGGAGAGAGAGAGACATGTTACTGTGAGTCACCAGAGAGCGAGAGAGACATGTTACTGTGAGTCACCAGGGGGAGAGAGAGACATGTTACTGTGAGTCACCAGGGGGAGAGAGAGAGACATGTTACTGTGAGTCACCAGGTGGAGAGAGACATGTTACTGTGAGTCACCAGGTGGAGAGAGACATGTTACTGTGAGTCACCAGGTGGAGAGAGACATGTTACTGTGAGTCACCAGGGGGAGAGAGACATGTTACTGTGAGTCACCAGGGGGAGAGAGAGACATGTTACTGTGAGTCACCAGGTGGAGAGAGAGAGAGACATGTTACTGTGAGTCACCAGGGGGAGAGAGAGACATGTTACTGTGAGTCACCAGGGGGAGAGAGAGACATGTTACTGTGAGTCACCAGGGGGAGAGAGAGAGACATGTTACAGTGAGTCACCAGGGGGAGAGAGAGAGACATGTTACTGTGAGTCACCAGAGGGCGAGAGAGACATGTTACTGTGAGTCACCAGGGGGCGAGAGAGACATGTTACTGTGAGTCACCAGGGGGAGAGAGAGAGACATGTTACAGTGAGTCACCAGGGGGAGAGAGACATGTTACTGTGAGTCACCAGGGGGAGAGAGAGACATGTTACTGTGAGTCACCAGGGGGAGAGAGAGAGACATGTTACTGTGAGTCACCAGGGGGAGAGAGACATGTTACTGTGAGTCACCAGAGGGCGAGAGAGACATGTTACTGTGAGTCACCAGGTGGAGAGAGAGAGAGACATGTTACTGTGAGTCACCAGGGGGAGAGAGACATGTTACTGTGAGTCACCAGGGGGAGAGAGACATGTTACTGTGAGTCACCAGGTGGAGAGAGAGAGACATGTTACTGTGAGTCACCAGGTGGAGAGAGAGAGACATGTTACTGTGAGTCACCAGGTGGAGAGAGAGAGACATGTTACTGTGAGTCACCAGAGAGCGAGAGAGACATGTTACTGTGAGTCACCAGGGGGAGAGAGAGACATGTTACTGTGAGTCACCAGGGGGAGAGAGAGAGACATGTTACTGTGAGTCACCAGGTGGAGAGAGACATGTTACTGTGAGTCACCAGGGGGAGAGAGAGACATGTTACTGTGAGTCACCAGGGAGAGAGAGATACATGTTACAGTGAGTCACCAGGGGGAGAGAGAGAGACATGTTACTGTGAGTCACCAGGTGGAGAGAGACATGTTACTGTGAGTCACCAGGGGGAGAGAGAGACATGTTACTGTGAGTCACCAGGGGGAGAGAGAGAGACATGTTACAGTGAGTCACCAGGGGGAGAGAGAGAGACATGTTACTGTGAGTCACCAGAGGGCGAGAGAGACATGTTACTGTGAGTCACCAGGGGGCGAGAGAGACATGTTACTGTGAGTCACCAGGGGGAGAGAGAGAGACTGTTACAGTGAGTCACCAGGGGGAGAGAGACATGTTACTGTGAGTCACCAGGGGGAGAGAGAGACATGTTACTGTGAGTCACCAGGGGGAGAGAGAGAGACATGTTACTGTGAGTCACCAGGGGGAGAGAGACATGTTACTGTGAGTCACCAGAGGGCGAGAGAGACATGTTACTGTGAGTCACCAGGTGGAGAGAGAGAGAGACATGTTACTGTGAGTCACCAGGGGGAGAGAGACATGTTACTGTGAGTCACCAGGGGGAGAGAGACATGTTACTGTGAGTCACCAGGTGGAGAGAGAGAGACATGTTACTGTGAGTCACCAGGTGGAGAGAGAGAGACATGTTACTGTGAGTCACCAGGTGGAGAGAGAGAGACATGTTACTGTGAGTCACCAGAGAGCGAGAGAGACATGTTACTGTGAGTCACCAGGGGGAGAGAGAGACATGTTACTGTGAGTCACCAGGGGGAGAGAGAGAGACATGTTACTGTGAGTCACCAGGTGGAGAGAGACATGTTACTGTGAGTCACCAGGTGGAGAGAGACATGTTACTGTGAGTCACCAGGTGGAGAGAGACATGTTACTGTGAGTCACCAGGGGGAGAGAGACATGTTACTGTGAGTCACCAGGTGGAGAGAGAGAGAGACATGTTACTGTGAGTCACCAGGTGGAGAGAGAGAGAGACATGTTACTGTGAGTCACCAGGGGGAGAGAGACATGTTACTGTGAGTCACCAGGGGGAGAGAGACATGTTACTGTGAGTCACCAGGTGGAGAGAGAGAGACATGTTACTGTGAGTCACCAGGGGGAGAGAGAGACATGTTACTGTGAGTCACCAGAGGGAGAGAGAGAGACATGTTACTGTGAGTCACCAGAGGGCGAGAGAGACATGTTACTGTGAGTCACCAGGGGGAGAGAGAGAGACATGTTACAGTGAGTCACCAGGTGGAGAGAGAGAGAGACATGTTACTGTGAGTCACCAGGGGGAGAGAGAGAGACATGTTACTGTGAGTCACCAGGGGGAGAGAGAGAGACATGTTACTGTGAGTCACCAGGTGGAGAGAGAGAGACATGTTACTGTGAGTCACCAGGTGGAGAGAGAGAGAGACATGTTACTGTGAGTCACCAGGGGGAGAGAGACATGTTACTGTGAGTCACCAGGGGGAGAGAGACATGTTACTGTGAGTCACCAGGTGGAGAGAGAGAGAGACATGTTACTGTGAGTCACCAGGGGGAGAGAGACATGTTACTGTGAGTCACCAGGGGGGGAAAGAGACATGTTACTGTGAGTCACCAGGGGGAGAGAGACATGTTACTGTGAGTCACCAGGTGGAGAGAGAGACATGTTACTGTGAGTCACCAGGGGGAGAGAGACATGTTACTGTGAGTCACCAGGGGGAGAGAGACATGTTACTGTGAGTCACCAGGGGGAGAGAGAGAGACATGTTACTGTGAGTCACCAGGTGGAGAGAGAGAGAGACATGTTACTGTGAGTCACCAGGGGGAGAGAGACATGTTACTGTGAGTCACCAGAGGGAGAGAGACATGTTACTGTGAGTCACCAGGGGGAGAGAGACATGTTACTGTGAGTCACCAGGGGGCGAGAGAGACATGTTACTGTGAGTCACCAGGGGGAGAGAGACATGTTACTGTGAGTCACCAGGGGGAGAGAGACATGTTACTGTGAGTCACCAGGGGGAGAGAGAGAGACATGTTACTGTGAGTCACCAGGGGGAGAGAGAGAGACATGTTACTGTGAGTCACCAGGGGGAGAGAGAGACATGTTACTGTGAGTCACCAGGGGGAGAGAGAGACATGTTACTGTGAGTCACCAGGGGGAGAGAGACATGTTACTGTGAGTCACCAGGTGGAGAGAGAGACATGTTACTGTGAGTCACCAGGGGGTGAGAGAGAGACATGTTACTGTGAGTCACCAGGGAGAGAGAGAGACATGTTACTGTGAGTCACCAGGGGGAGAGAGAGAGACATGTTACTGTGAGTCACCAGGGGGAGAGAGAGACATGTTACTGTGAGTCACCAGGGGGTGAGAGAGACATGTTACTGTGAGTCACCAGGGAGAGAGAGAGACATGTTACAGTGAGTCACCAGGGGGAGAGAGAGACATGTTACTGTGAGTCACCAGGTGGAGAGAGAGAGACATGTTACTGTGAGTCACCAGGGGGTGAGAGAGACATGTTACTGTGAGTCACCAGGGAGAGAGAGAGACATGTTACTGTGAGTCACCAGGGGGTGAGAGAGACATGTTACTGTGAGTCACCAGGGGGCTGTCTGAGTTTCATGGTCCAGGTCTGAGCCCAAATCAATGACCTCTGACCTCACAGTGACCTCTGACTTCACAGTGTGACCGCTGACCTCACAGTGACCTCTGACCTCACAGTGACCTCTGACCTAAGTGTGATCTCTGACCTCACAGCCCAGTGCAGTGGTGTAGACAACAGGTCTCCTCCTCTTTGATCCACTGAAGCTCCTTTGGAAATGTACAACCTGCAACACATCAATAACATCATCAGTCAAATCATCAGTAACACCATCAGTCAAATCATCAGTAACACCATCAGTCAAATCATCAGTAACACCATCAGTCAAATCATCAGTAACACCATCAGTCAAATCATCAGTAACACCATCAGTCAAGTCATCAGTCACATCAGTCAAATCATCAGTAACACCATCAGATAAATCATCAGTCACACATCTTCAGTCACATCTTCAGTCACATCATCAGTCACATCATCAGTAACATCATCAGTCATATCATCAGTCACATCATCAGTAACATCATCAGTCACATCATCAGTCACATCATCAGTAACATCATCAGTCACATCAGTCACATCATCAGTCACATCATCAGTCACATCATCAGTCACATCATCAGTCACACCATCAGTCAAATCATCAGTCACATCAGTCAAATCAGTCAAATCATCAGTAACACCATCAGTCAAATCATCAGTCACATCAGTCAAATCATCAGTAACACCATCAGATAAATCATCAGTCACATCAGTCAAATCATCAATAACATCATCAGTCACATCATCAGTAATATCAGTCACATCATCAGTCACATCATCAGTTACATCATCAGTAACATCATCAGTAAGTAGTAAGTAAGTAATCTTTATTTATATACCGCCTTTTCACTGCACATCGGAGTCTCAAAGCGGTTTACAATTGTGATTTTTGGGAGTGGGGTCGCCAGTACAGGAGGCACATGCCAGACCTATTGTACATATTTTTAGTGGTAGGGGAAACCGGAGCACCCGGAGGAAACCTACGCAGACACGGGGAAAACATGCAAACTCCTCTCAGAAAGGCCCTGGTCCAACCGGGATTCGAACCCAGGACCTTCTTGCTGAGAGGCGAGAGTGCTATCCACTCAGCCACCGTGCAGCCCAGTAACATCATCAGTCACATCATCAGTCACATCATCAGTCACATCATCAGTAACATCATCAGTCACATCATCAGTCACATCATCAGTCACATCATCAGTAACATCATCAGTAATATCATCAGTCACATCATCAGTCATATCAGTCACATCATCAGTCACATCATCAGTCACATCATCAGTCACATCATCAGTCACACCATCAGTCAAATCATCAGTCACATCAGTCAAATCATCAGTAACACCATCAGTCAAATCATCAGTCACATCAGTCAAATCATCAATAACACCATCAGTCACATCAGTAATATCATCAGTCACATCATCAGTAATATCAGTCACATCATCAGTCACATCATCAGTCACATCATCAGTCACATCATCAGTCACATCAGTAACATCATCAGTAACATCATCAGTAACATCATCAGTAACATCATCAGTAACATCATCAGTCACATCATCAGTCACATCATCAGTCACATCATCAGTAACATCATCAGTAACATCATCAGTCACATCATCAGTCACATCATCAGTCTCATCATCAGTAACATCATCAGTCACATCATCAGTCACATCATCAGTCACATCATCAGTCACATCATCAGTAATATCAGTCACATCATCAGTCACATCATCAGTCACATCATCAGTCACATCATCAGTCACATCATCAGTCACATCATCAGTCACATCATCAGTAATATCATCAGTCACATCATCAGTCACATCATCAGTAACATCATCAGTAACATCATCAGTCACATCATCAGTCACATCATCAGTCACATCATCAGTCACATCATCAGTCACATCATCAGTCACATCATCAGTCACATCATCAGTCACATCATCAGTTACATCATCAGTAACATCATCAGTCACATCATCAGTAACATCATCAGTCACATCATCAGTCACATCATCAGTAATATCATCAGTAATATCATCAGTCACATCATCAGTAACATCAGTCACATCATCAGTAACATCATCAGTCACATCATCAGTAACATCATCAGTAATATCATCAGTCACATCATCAGTAACATCAGTCACATCATCAGTAACATCATCAGTAACATCATCAGTCACATCATCAGTCACATCATCAGTAACATCATCAGTCATATCATCAGTCATATCATCAGTCACATCATCAGTCACATCATCAGTCACATCATCAGTCACATCATCAGTAACATCATCAGTCACATCATCAGTCACATCATCAGTAACATCAGTCACATCATCAGTCACATCATCAGTAACATCATCAGTCACATCATCAGTCACATCATCAGTCACATCATCAGTCACATCATCAGTCACATCATCAGTCACATCATCAGTCACATCATCAGTCACATCATCAGTCACATCATCAGTCACATCATCAGTATTATCATCAGTCATATCATCAGTCACATCATCAGTAACATCATTAGTCACATCATCAGTCATATCATCAGTCACATCATCAGTAACATCATCAGTAACATCATCAGTCACATCATCAGTAACATCATCAGTAATATCATCAGTCATATCATCAGTCACATCATCAGTCACATCATCAGTAACATCATTAGTCACATCATCAGTCACATCATCAGTCACATCATCAGTAACATCATCAGTCACATCATCAGTCACATCAGTCACATCATCAGTAACATCATCAGTAACATCATCATTAACATCATCAGTCACATCATCAGTCACATCATCAGTCACATCATCAGTCACATCATCAGTCACATCATCAGTCACATCATCAGTAACATCATCAGTCACATCATCAGTCACATCATCAGTCACATCATCAGTCTCATCATCAGTAACAGTCACATCATCAGTCACATCATCAGTCACATCATCAGTCACATCATCAGTAATATCAGTCACATCATCAGTCACATCATCAGTCACATCATCAGTCACATCATCAGTAATATCATCAGTCACATCATACACAATACAATACAATACAATTTATTCTTGTATAGCCCTAGGTCACAACAGAAGTCATCTCAGAGACTTAACAAAACCATTGAAATCACCAACACAGGTCAGAGAATCAACAGTTAAAACACATGAAGAATATAAAGCACACACAGAAGAAAATGTCCATACATGTTGTAGAATGCTAAAGTGTCCTGATCATCACCAATCCTTTCTGTTGGACACTAACTGTCCAACAAGACCCTCCTGCATCCACAAGGAACAACTCTTAAAAAACCCAGTGGGAAAAAGTGAGAAACCTTGGAGGAGAACTAGGGAAACCCACAGGGAGGGAGACCCATATGAGAAAGGGATCCGCTCCTCCGGACGGACAGACTAATGATCCAGGACCTAAGCTAGCTACAGGACGTGGACCAGTGGCCGCTGAACGTGGACAGGTCCGGTGCAGGACTGAAGCACTCCCAGGCGGGTCAGGCGGGGCAGTCCGCAGGTGTAGATGGAAGAGGCCAGGCTCAGAGATCCCGTCATCGTACCATGAAACAGACAATGGGACAACGGGTGAATAGCAATGAACAAACTACAGTCAGAATCCTAAAAATGCTAAACAGATAAAGTAGGAAGGAGGAGAGGATAGTGCTCAAGTTACCATACTTCTCCAGCAGGGGGCTCCCTATGCAGCTTGACTGACAGTCTGAGGAGTTTAGCCTTCCCTGAGTCTTACCTTCCTAGCCATATGCTAAACTAAAGAGGACTGTTTTAAACCTAGCCTTGAATAAAGAATAACATACAGCATAATATATAACATAATATACAATTTCAATTCAATTCAATTCATCTTTTTTATTTGAGCATCTGAGTTCCACACAGTTCTACTTATATACAAAGTTCAGCACAGTAATCAAAGCCAAAAAAAAATAGATAGGCGTAAGTAAATACGTAAATAATTAAATAAATAAATAGCGTGGATATGATGCTCAAAAGGAGTAGGCAGAAGCTTAAGCTTATTTGCACCTACCCCTTGTGTACTGAAGAATTTGATACATTCAATACATTAATATAGAGCTTTAACTTCAGAATCACATAGCTAGTACATAAGAGATATGTGAAGAAGAGAAAACGAACAACAACAAAAACAATATACAGGTTATGCATCACCCTATATACACTATATACATAAGCGTATACATATATATTATCATTATTATTATTATTATTATTATTTTTTTTTTTTCACTTCTGCATAGCTACATGAGCTCAGTATGGCCAAGTAGATAAACAGTAATACTTCATTTTTAGTTTGTCAGTTACAGTAATACCTCATAAATAGATTACTCTGCAGTTATTTCTATTTCCACACTCAGTGATATTCCTCCGTCCTGTACTTGGACAATATGAGTTGTTTATACTTTGATTTGAATTGATATATGGATGAGCACCGCTTGAGTTGGGCTCCCAGTTTATTCCAGAGCTTGACACCACACACACACACACATACTTTTCCTCGTGGAACGAATGGCTGGTACGTTAAGTTGGCCACATCCCCTTAAATTGTAACAGTCATCTCTTTTTATGAATAGTTTTTGAATATTTGCTGGTAATTGAGCCTGGTTAGCTTTATATACTAACTGTACAGTGTAAAAATCTATTAAATCCATGAGTTTAAACATGTTACTTTGTAAAAACAATACGTTTGTGTGTTCGAGGTAACCAGCTTTATGAATAGTTCTGATTGCTCGTTTTTGGAGTATTACAAGGGGATGGAGTGAACTTTTATAATTATTACCCCAGACCTCGATTCCATAAGTTAAGAATGACAGTATTAGACTGGAATACAATATATTCAGTGCATTATTATTAAGGACGTACTTAGCTTTGTTTATAATCGCAATGTTTTTTGATATCTTTCTCTGTATGTGTCCAATGTGTGATTTCCAGCTCAGTTTGTTGTCTATTATGATTCCCAAAAAATTTATTTCTGTTACTTTTTCTATTTTAGTACAATTTATACTTATCAATAATTCTGGACATTCCTTGTAATTGCCAAAAATGATAATTTTTGTTTTGCTTAGGTTGAGTGATAATTTGTTTAAATCCAGCCATGTTTTAAGTTTAGTGAGTTCCTGATTTACATCCTTTATAAGACTATTATAGTTATCGTTAGAATAAAATATGTTGGTATCATCAGCAAATAACAATTTTTAATAATTCTGATACTTTAAATATATCATTGATATACTTACTTATATCTCAATGTCTACATTTTGAATTTCTGCTTTTCATCCAGAGCAGTGCCTGTAGGACTTTAGAGAGTCCTGGTGGATAAAAACAAACCCATTACTAAGCTTCAGCGTTTTGTTCTTCTTGCCTCACAAAGCAGCACAACTCTCCTGAACCAGTGTGTTCGGGGTGGGCTCCAGTCCCTGCGTGCAAAGAAGTGATTTTCCTGTATTTGTCTCACCTCCCTATAACCCCTTATAAAAGTTCAGTGAAAGATCAATATGTTCTGCGGGTTTTTTATTGGTCAAAATAAAATAAAAAAAACATTTTCAAATTCTCCAGACAAATTCGAGCCTTCTGTTTTGTCGTCGTCATGCCTTTGTTGTTGACAGAACAGGACTGTCTGCTCTCAGTCGCATGTATGACTTTTCACTGTTTTAATGGAAGCCGTATGTTGGACCGCACAGAGGCCCCTGGGACGTTAGGTTGATCAGCAGAAAAAAAGGCCAAGAAACAGGATCTTTCCAAGTGACAAAATTGGCGCAACCTGTAAGGAGCACTGCCTGGGGACTGGGCAAAAACAATAAAAATGGATTGGATTTTCAATGAAGTCAGATTTAATTTCTTTCATAAATAGGTCGATGAAGAGGTTGATGCTGTGATGAGAGACCTCTGGATTATCAGGCGCCACATTGAGACCCGAGGATGTAAAGTGCTAAATCATCAGCGCAGTCCTGAGAACATACCAAATTTATTCCTGCCATGTGAGGGAACTATTGGTGGTCGGAGGGGCCGGTTGGCAGCCCTGCTTGAGTGAGTTTGTCCTAGGGCGACTGGGGCTATATGAAGAGCTCATCTCCAGCGTGTGTGAAGTCAATGAATGAAGAATTAACTTCCCAATTTCAGTATTAGAAAAGAAAATACAGAAAAGAAATAATGCAGTGCTAGGGAATTGCATTGAAGCTCCTAAGCATAGATTACTGATACAATCCACCTGCGGAGGTTTAGCTACAAACTGTACTTTATTACATGCGACTTAAATGCATTTAAATGAAACTAAATTAATATTCATAAGTGCCATTTCCTTGTGAAATTTTAGTCAAAACAGCTAAATTCCACCTAACAAAAAGGCAACATACAAGGGACAATATTTCTAAGAACAACTACTTTAACCTTTGTTGAGACAATATGATTTGTACATCTGATCCATTAGGAACACACAAAGGTGGACACACCTTCAAACGCTTGACATTTTCCTCACTATTGATTTGATTTAATTCAGTTGTGCAGAAAGCCTATGGCTGTACTTCTGTGCATGTTCAACACACTGAGATCAAGGAGGTTTTTTTTCCTCAGTTCAACAGGAACTAAAGCGTGGGCAGCTTCCTCCCCCTGGTGGCTGATCGGTCCTGTCCGTTCTCCTGAGTCAGATCCAGCGTTCGGTGGTGACGAGTTAACCCAGCGCTTTGAACATGATTGGTTTAGACAAGTAGAGTTTGTTTTCTTCACTTCTGCGGTGCAGTCTGTCAGATTCAATTCACGCTCTGGGTTTTGGTTAAAATCAACTGCTCAAGTTTAAAAATAACTGACATATTCCAAAGAGGACAAGAGAAACAACGTCTCCATTTGGCTTAGCCTCTAAAGATTTGAGGAGATCAGTAAGGCCAACAATGTGATCAGTTCCTTAATCTGCACCAAGATATGTCAATTTTTTGCCGAAGAAATGCAGTGATTTTTTTTCCTAAACTGTAAAAACAAAACTTGGTTAAAGTTAACAGATCCGTTATTCATCCCACCGTGGGGAAATGGCACGACCCACAAATTAAGCCAACTGATTGGTCAATCCAGATGAGAATTGACAAATGTCAAAATATAAAACACCAGGATCATAGCGGGCACTAAACCACAGATTTTTAAGCCCAAAATAATGAATGTGACAAACTTACATTGAAAAGTAAACTCTTCTGCCTCATTAGGGTAATAGGAGCCTGAAATAGGGGGAAGAGCACTCCTCCCTATAGAGCTAAATTTAATGTCATAATATTCAGAGAATTTCTCACCCTATTTTTAGTAGATTACTTTATCAATGAGGATTTGGTTTAGTCAACCATTGCAGCCCTAAAGATCAGGCTTTGACAAGGCCACACCCACAGAGCCTTCACACCCTCTGCTGTGTTACCTGGGGTGATGATGATGCTGTTGGCCTCCTTGATGATGTCGATGGTCTGGTCCACGTTGACCTCAGTGTGCGTGCCCACGATCTCCATGGGCTTCCCTCCAGCGGTGGACGTGGTGCCGTAGCCTCCCAGGATGACGTTGGGCAGGGAGCGGTTCATGGCCTAAAACACAGACAGTCAACTCCACGGTGAAGGATGTAGGGCTGTGGTAGATCCTGAGAGGGTCAGTGGGATTGTTTGGTTTCAAATCTAACCGTTTTACGTAAAATTACATATAAAATGACAATTTACAACCTCTGCATGTTATAATTTAGTTTGTTATTTTTTATTTTGAATTAAAGTATTGTGTGTGAATTTGTTGCATGTAAAAGATAAAAAAAAGATTCAAACTGATGAGCTGGCACAGGTAAAGTAAACTTACTAAACTAAAACGCCCCACTCCAACTCTCTGCTTTTAACACCAGAGTTTGACTGTTTTACATGTACAACAGTCAACTTTGTGTATCAACAGAAAAGTGTATACACCCAAAGCACTTTGGACAACTGTAAATGTGCCAAACAAATAAGTAGACGTTGACACTCACCACACACATGATGTAGGAGAGGATGGCTCCGGACGAGCCAATCAGCGCTCCCACGATGGTCATGAGGTTGTTGTCCAGGAGGAAGCCTTCAGCACAGAGTGCCCAGCCAGAGTAACTATTCAGGACCGTGATAACCACAGGCATGTCAGCGCCCCCTATGGCCATAGTCAGCGTGACACCCTGCACACAGGGAACCAGGAACCGTCATCACATGGTCAACTCAACGCATTTGTGTATCGCCCTAAATCACAACAGCAGTCGTCTGAGGCCTTTACAAAGATGTCGACCAACCTAAAAATAGAAGTTTGAACACAAAAGCAATAACAAAAACATAGGAGCCATTGGTCCATAGGGAGCAGGATGACCCCTGCACCCTCCAGATGGTCAAAATTATTTCAAATCCTGTAGGCCATTATCAAAAACATAGCCCATTCATGTGTAGCTTGGCCGTTTATTGACCCAGTTGCCCAACCAGGATTTTTATATGTTGTTCTGGATACTTTGACAGCACTAGTATACTGTATATTAGTATAATAAAAGATTAAAATATGTAATCATAATTAAATCACATCATAGTTACCCTCAGTTAAATTGCATATCTTTCCCTGTTGTAAAATTCCCTTGATTTGGTTTGAAAGAGGTATTTTAATCCTATCTCCTCGAATAAGAAATTATTTGCTCAATCTCTGCTTTTGTTATTGCCTTTTACAGTGTAATTCCATTATGATAAATTCCTACTGCACGTTATTAGTTTGAAAAACTTAGTGGTAAAATGACTTTGTTAATGCTGTGGTTAACATAGTTAATAATGCGTTTAACCAACAGCACTAGTATTTAAAACACTATAATCATTCTATTTGAGACAAAAATGACTTTGCGTCTCATAATACAACACAGACACCAGCTTACAGTTCACTGATGTCTAAATGTAAATATATTTGTGAGTGAGACAGACCTCGTGACAACTACTACATCCATCCATCCATCCATTTTCTACCCTTTAATCCATTTCTGGGTCAGGGGGGTGGCAGTCAGAGATGCCACCCAAGTCTCATAGCACCAGCCTCACACAACTACTACATGCTCTCCCTTATTCAAGACACATGAAGCTGTGAAGAGGCTGCGAGACAGCGGCGCTCACCATGACCGTGGAGAGACCGGACACTCCGACCAGACAGCCCATCCCTGTGTTGTAGCTGTTGGTGAGCATGAAGGGGATCATGCCGCCCATAGAGGCCGCCATCAGACCTGCGTTCATGGCATGTCGACCAGGCAGCATCAGAGGAGCGGAGTTCAGGAGGCCTGGAAACAACAACCTTTCAGACTTATGGAGGACAGACCTCACTCCTTTCTCTCTGGAGTGAGAGACAAATGCCCACAACAATTTTACAGCGCTGTGTGACTGAATTTGCTATAAAATTAAAGATTATGGGTTTAAGTCTCTGCAAAGCCTGAACTGAGCCTAGGACCAGAGCTTTGTTTTCCACCAGAGAAGAGCATGTGATAGTTATATTATAATAATTATAATATTTTTTTACCAGAATTCTACTGGCTTGAACAGGTGCAGTTGGCTCTGAGTCCTAGTATTAAAAATCACATTGCTTACCTTGCAGTTTCCCATAGGCGACCAGGGAGCCACTGAAGGTGACTCCCCCGATGTAAGTGCCGAGGTAGGCCACAGTTTTGATCATGCCAGCGGCCGGGTGAGCCTCGAGGTGCGGGAACTCGATCATGTACTCTGCGACACACGTGAGCACCGCGGCCAGACCCACGAGACTGTGGAAGGCCGCCACCAGCTGAGGTAGGTCCGTGATCTCAATGCGCTTTGCAATAGTCATGCCTGAAAAAAAAAAAAAAACAATAATAATCACAAACACAACTGCATGAGCTTCACACGCACACATAATGGTAATCACAAGCTTGAAGTAGATCTTTAGTCACTCTGCATGAATTAACGCATAGACACTCTTCACAATCAATTCAGCTTTTCCACAAACTGCTCAGACCACCTCTAAATGAGAGTCTTCGAGGATTGTCACCTTTGGGCCAATGATAGAGTTTGAAGTGAGTAACCTCGACAAGGCCCATATTAAGAGGGATCCGCTCCCACAGATAGGATGTAGGAGCACATAGCACTGTGGTTACTATAACAATTTGCTGCTTTTCCTAATAGTCCAGAAAGTGCTGTAAATCAAATTAAAGAAAAGCCTAGACATCAATTAAACTGTGCACATACCTTCATTCAGTTTTCAAAACATGTGATACTTAAGTAAAAACGTTTTGAATAGAAAAAAAAAATAGTTCAGCTCAATGTCGTACGTCTAAATTAGGTATTTGAACAAAATGGGAAATGACCCCAGAGACACGGTGCTGCTGACAGGAAGATTGATGCTCTGTTTTAAATTAGAAAAACAATTTGCACTTTTCCACAGAACAGGGCCCTCGCATGCGAGCACAAGTGAAGGCAGCAATTCTTCTGTTGTAAATAATTAGAAGAACGACAAAAGCGCCTTGGGTCCATTTAGGTCGGTCTGTGTGGCTGCTTTCAAGTCAGTCTCCCCTTTCAGTTTTTAAAATTGTTCAATATCATTCTAAGCTAGGTCAAAACCGTGATAAGAGCAGCTTATAACCAGGTCTGTTCATTTAGTTTCAAAACACTGAGCAAACTCTTATCCTGACTGTATGGAGACTATTCATATAGTTTAGCTGTGATACCAAAGTCTGGCTCTATTAAATGTTTGTGATAAACAACAAAGGAAAAATGTCCAATAATCACAGTCCGGTCGCTCTCTGTGTGGTGGTAGAGCTGCACACTCTTGGCACATGGCCTTCAATCACCGTCATCTTGCATTACCCGAATCTTTGAGAGCTCCCCAGTGCTAACCCAAACTCTTATCGCTTGTTGTGTTGAAGCCATTTTTTGTCAAAGAGAATTTCCTTGTGCCAAACTGGGGAAATGTGGTAACGTCATACATAATGTGGCCATTTTTTTTTTTACTAAATCCATTTTGTTGCATTGTTCTGACTTTGTGCTTAGAATAGATTCAAATTTACTGTCCTTACAACTATAGATAGGAGAAGCACATTGCGAGTACTTGTGAGTCTTACCCAGAGTTCCTCCGGTTGCCATGGCCATGGACATCTGGGACAGCAGTTCAGGAGAGGGTTTGAGGGCTCCAAGCGTCGCAGCGATTCCACCGGCCACTCCCATCATCCCCAGGGCGTTCCCCAGACGGCTGGTGCCCTGAGCCGACAGACCGGCCAGAGCCCCCACGCAGCACAGGCCTGAGCCCAGGTACATCATCTGAAACAGGAGGAGCAGTCAGCTTCGTCAGAGTCTGGACTTGCGAGTCAACAAGAATTTTCTTCATTGGTTTTTATGTCAACAAACTTCACACAGGATGCAGTGGATTTCAAACAAACGCTGAATATGAAAAAAAAATTACAACAAAGACATTTACTATCCAGAAACATTTCATAAAATTAGTGACAAATGTCGTACCTCAGAGCTGCCAATGGCCTTGACTGGACTGTAGTGGAAAATTATCATTTAGATTTAGAACATGAGAAACTAACATGGAATTGCCAAATTGCTAATAAAAGACAGCAGTGTCATAGTGGCTACAGTTGGTGGTATGCATGCGATGACTTTCAATGGATTGTGTATCGCAATCTATATAGCCCAGATGCATAAGTAAAAAGGCCATGACCACACACTCAAAGCTCCATTATTTACAAAGACTCTTTTCCATGTGCCTCAGAACATCTACCTGCTCTATGCTGTAACCAGCGGCGACTGAAGCTCCGTATCCACCGACGAACGCGGCTCCAGGGAGAGCGTAGAGGTAGTTGTACTCTGGAGGGTCTGTGGGCCGCTTGAACATGTCCAACATCCTCTGAGTGATCAGGAAACCACCTGAACAACAAGTGCGAGACAAAACACTTTACCCCCCATTCAGGTGTCGACACGAGTGAACAAAAGCATCCCCAAGTTGCATGTATGAACGAATGCATGTTCATGCAAGTGTGTATAATGTTGAATATGCAAATACGCGAGTCTAGTTTAACATGAAGATTTGAGAGATGGGCGGAATCTGGTGTCCTCCTGCTCTGGTTGGAACTAAAACCTGCAGCTACATCGGCCCTTTCTGGAACCAGTTTGACACCCCTGCTTTATAAACTTATAGCGTATAGAAACTGTTAGCTTACATAATACATTGAAGGCCTCATCCTGAGTTTGTCCAAAGTTTGATCAGAGAGCAACACTTTTGATGGAAAAGCTCTCATTCTCGTCTTACTGGTGTAATGGTAGCCTGGCCTTAGCCATCCGCTCAAATCATCATTTCACTGCATGTAACGTCTGGGTCTGGTCCCTGGGTTAGCGATTACAATCGGTTGAATTTCGACCGACCATTCAGAGAGCGCGGAGGGAGAGTGTTGTAGTTAGTTGTGACGTTTAGAGTTTGCGACGAACGGGAAGGTCGTAGTTTGGCAATGGCAAAAAATGCGATAGTAAAGTAATCTGGTCTGGTTCTAGCAAGAAATTGAAGCCAGAGCAAGAAGAATGTTTAGCAAATGTAATCGCTAGCCCTGCACCTGAGCGCCCACACCTTTTGACATTAGTTTACGTCAGCCTTCTTTCATAATAAACCATTTTATAAGTGACATTTGTTTGGTGCATCCTTGGTTATAGCCTAGAGCTGGGTTATAACACTGGTGTCATTGATTAAACCACAGCAGTAGTTCCAGACCTGCAATGTTGATGGAGGAGATGAACGCTGCCCCCAAAGCCAGACTCTCCGGTAACGAGGAGGGAGTCAGACCTCCTCCCATCAGCACCAGACCTCCCACCGCAGTCAGACCTGAGGAGCACACAGAAAAACTCAAGATATAAATGTTCCCTCCTTATACATTTACGTACATTTTAAATATCGCAGTAATCTTGATTAATGGCGTTTAGGGAGATTCACATTCTTAGATCAGAACGTTACCGCTATCATACATCCATTTTCTATTCTAATCTGGACACATTTTTTACTTGTTCCGTTGTGGATCACTCCTGGTTTGCCTTCAGTTAATCTTAAATTGTGACTTCTTTATGTTCTTGAATTGCAAAACCAGAATTAACCCATTACCACACAGAAGCTTGCTTATGTTAATATTGTTCAAATCAGAATGATCTTTATTGCCATTATAAGCAACAGGAAGGGCTTGGACGTATTGAGCGTACCGTTTGATACCTTCAGAAAAACCCGGTTGCCTTCAGAGCTGATAAATGTTTTGGAGTCTTACCAGAGATGGCGTTGGTGACAGACATGAGTGGCGAGTGCAGAGCCGGAGTGACTCCCCACACAGTGTGATAGCCCACGAGCCCGGCCAAACCAAACGTGGTGACCATCTGAGTGAAGGCAGCGTTTGGCGACACGAGACCCAGGCCCAGACAAGTGGAGATGCCTGTGGAGACAAGAGCAGGGCAACGGTCAAAGATCTGACCATAGACTGTATAGATGGACAGTGAGAATCGGAAATGTATTGCCATTCTACTGTAAGTAACAGGAAGTCAAACTAGGAATTCGCTTTGATCAAAGTATGTAAAGTGTGTGTATGATATTCTACACACATGTAGCATATCATATATAATACACTCACACATTGCTATACTGTGTAAAATTAAAACTTTTGTAAATTAAAATGCTTTATATATATATACACACTGTACAATTCCCTCATCCTTCCATACCTCAGCTACTGTGTGGAAATAACTACAAAACTAATATAAAACCTATCTTTATCTTACAAAAGAAAGCCATTAGAGTGATCAGTCATGCCGAATACCTTGCGCCAACAAATCCACTATTTATTAGACATAATATTCTAAAAATGTTTACACTGCAGCTGTGTTATACAAGGCTCACAACTTCATGCTTCCTCACTGTTTACAAAAGATGTTTCATACTAGAGAATGTAGCTACAGCCTCAGAGGAACTGATCTGCAACAGAAACCTTATCTGGGACCACCAGACGCCAGACGCCTGGTGGTCCCTAAGGTCTCAAAAATCACTGTTGGTGGCAGAGCATTTAGCTACCAAGCTCCTTTACTGTGGAATCAGCTTCCCATTTATGTTAAGGAAGCAGATACGGTCTCCACATTCAAGGCCAGGCTTAAAGCACTTTACTTTAATTTAGCATATAATTAGGTAATATATAATATATGGTGTATATATTATATATGTATGCTGTATTATGTTATATATTATACAATAATGTATTATGTTATGTTGTATATTATGTTATATATTATGCTGTATGTTATGTTGTGTATTATTTATGATATATATGGTATGTATGGTATATATGATGTATATGATATATAATATACAATTAGGTTTGCTTGGATCGGTTTGCACACCTGGTGTGCAATCCATGAATCTCTTTATTCAAGGCTAGGTTTAAAACAGTCCTCTTTAGTTTAGCATATGGTTAGGAAGGTAAGACTCAGGGAAGGCTAAACTCCTCAGACTGTCAGTCAAGCTGCATAGGGAGTCAGTTTGCTGGGAGAAGTATGGTAACTTGAGCACTATCCTCTCCTCCTTCCTACTTTATCTACTTTATCTGTTTAGCACTTTTAGGATTCTGACTGTAGTTTGTTCATTGCTATTCACCCGTTGTCCCATTGTCTGTTTCATGGTACGATGACGGGATCTCTGAGCCTGGCCTCCTCCATCTACACCTGCGGACTGCCCCGCCCGACCCGCCTGGGAGTGCTTCGGCCCTGCACCGGACCTGTCCACGTTCAGCGGCCACTGGTCCACGTTCTGTAGCTAGCTTAGGTCCTAGATCATTAGCCTGTCCGTCCGGAGGAGCGGATCCCTTTCTCATATGGGTCTCCCTCCCTGTGGGTTTCCCTAGTTCTCCAAGGTTTCTCACTTTTTCCCACTGGGTTTTTTAAGAGTTTTTCCTAGTCGATGCAGGAGGGTCTTGGACAATTAGCATTCTACAACATGTATGGACATTTTCTTCTGTGTGTGCTTTATATTCTCCATGTGTTTTGGCTGTTGATTCTCTGACTTGTGTTGGTGATTTCAATGGTTTTGTTAAGTCCTCTGAGATGACTTCTGTTGTGACCTAGGGCTATACAAGAATAAATTGTATTGTATTGTATAGTAGAAACCCAGAGCAAAGAGTAACACTAAGGAGATGTGTATCAATCAAAGGAGTTGATCTATGGAACAGTCTATCTATTCAACTTAAGGGCTCAAGAACTATTAAAACATTCAAAAAAAAAAGTATAAGTCAAATATTATGGAGAAGTATAGGACAATTGAATTGGACTATGCTTAATAACTCGCGTTTATGGAAGTTCATGTTTTGTGCTTCATTTTACCATCGTTGGTATATGAGAATCTGTATATTGTGTCACCTATAATTTTGATCATGTATAACAATCTTGATTTGTTGAAGCGCAATTTTTGGTGCCTCATGTTACCATTGTTGGTATATGAGAAACTGTATAATTTGACATCTTTGGACGCATTTTCAAATTGTATTAGGGGTTAGGCAGTACAAGTTTTGACTTCAGCCTAAACCCTTTTGGTCAGGTATTGTTTCGCACAAGGTCCTTTGTGGACACATTTTGGTTCTTTTTTTCCATTTTTTTTATTTTCTTGTTGTAAAAATAAATAAATAAATATAAAATCATTCTAACCACTGCTGCAGTTACTATCTGCACCACACAGACCCATTAACAGAATAAAACTAAGCTCTCACACTGTTATATAAATCAATAACTACATTTCTTAGATTTAAAAATTGTAATATCCAGCTATAACAGTAACTTGCACACCACAATACATTAAACCAGAGCTGCCCCCAAAAAAGTAATGTTTGTTTGAATTTGTTGAATTGCAATTGTGGACAATTGCTTCTCCACCTCCCCCCTCTGATGTCCGCTTTTGTTGTTTCCTTGGGCAAGACACTTACACCCCACTTTGCCTGAAGCAACCACTTAAAGATCAAGGTGTCAATGCCAGAGCAGCCGTCCTCCTGTGGACTCACCACCTGCAGGATCAGGTGCAGCTTTGACCGACACCCCCGACCCAGAAATGGATTAAAGGAAAGAAGATGGATGGATATTCCAAATAGTACAATGGTCAATGTATGTATGAGTGAGGGAGGGGCTGACCTGCAGTGTAAATACTGGCAGATGTCATGGTTTTGTTGAAGGGAGAAACAGAAGCAGCTTTTTCCTTCTCGATCTCAGCGACTGACTTTGCTTTGACTGGAGCCGCAGGAACAGTCTTGGGCAGAGGAGCAGGGAACATGTTCTGGCCCTCCTGTGAGTCAAATAAGAAAAACATTGATTTAATGGGCAAAAATAGAGTTACAAACAAGTTTATGTGGGCACTGGTCCCTGAGATTATGTTAAAGAGAGTAAAGGATTGGGATAAGACCAGGGCAACAGACAGGAGGATCGAGAGTGCCTCAGAGGAAAACGAGAGGTCCCTTGATACTTTTAAATGAGGATCTACGTTACACATGTGTATCTTTTGCACAAGTGAGGGAAAGATGGACCATGAGACCGTCATGTTGAAGAGATCAGACTGATGTGATGAAGGGGGGGCTGGTCAGTCTACGTCCTCTTCCTTCACCTCTGTCATGAGCTGTGGGTAATGTCTGCGTGAAGGAAACACAGAGTGGCTGGGTGCTCCCTTAGAGATAGAGTGGGAAGCTCAGTCACACCGGAGGAACTCTGAATAGGGCAGTTTCTTCTCCACGTCTGGGGACATGTTCCAGGCCTGTCCCACTGGGTGGAGGGGAAGACTCAGGACACGCTGGAGGGACAGGGAATACCTTGGGATTCCCCTGGATGAGAAAGAGAATGTGTGGAGAGGGATGTCTGGACTGTAGATTCACACCCAGGCTGTGTAAGGGCTATTTGACCAATAAGGAGAGTGGTGGGTGCTGGGCCAGACGACCCGGCCTCCACAGTCCAGACCTGAATCCAATCCAGATGGTTTTGGGGCTGGACCACAGAGTGAAGGCAAAAGGGCCAACTACTGCTATCATCTGTGGGAACTCAGACCATTTCAGGTCACTACCTCCTGAAGCTCATCAAGAGAATGCCAAGAGTGTGCGAAGCAGTAATCCGAGCAAAAGGTGCTACTTTGAAGAACCGAGAATATAAGACATTTTCAGTTGTTTCATACTTTAGTACGTACATAATTCCACATGAGTTAATTCGTAGTTTAGAAGCCTTCAGTGTAAATCTACAATTTTCATAATCATGAAAATAAAATAAAAACTCTTTGAATGAGAAGGTGTGCCCAAACTTTTGGTCTGTACTGTACTTCACCAGTGTAATAAGAACCAAATAATAATAATACAAGAGCTCAATCGAGTTCAGTCATTCCCTCCTTCCACACAGACGGGAGCCAGAGCAGGTGGCGGCTCACCTTCATGACGATGGTTCCCCTGATGACGTGGTCGAGGGTGCCGTGGTCAAACTCCTCCACAGGTTCGTAGTGGAACACCTCCTTGTCTGGACTGATGGCTTTGAGGAGCTTCAGCACGTTGTTGGAGTACAGAGTGCTGGCCTGAGTCGCCAGCCGGCTGGGGAGGTCAGTGTAGCCGATGTGGGTCACGCCCTGGGGAGGTGGAACAATGCATTATGCTCTGGTGGCCAAAAGCAATCAGAAGATATTAAAGTGTGTACTGGACTGGCATCAAAAGATTATTGAACAAATTGCAAGAAATCATAACATGTGAATAAAAATGGAAAAAAATAAAAAAAGAGATCAAGAGTGGAAAATTCCATCTCAATGTACTACTTCCTCATGTTAGTGCCAAATGAACCAACTCGGACTCTGAGGAGCAGAGGGACTGGCCTCCTGCAGGTGCCCAGAGTCAGGACTAAACATGGGGATGGAGTCGCAGATTTATGCGGCTAGGATGTGAAACAGTCTTCTTGAAAATGTGAGAAAAGCTTCTACTCTGGCAATGTGCAAAACAAGGTTAAAGACAGTTCTGTTTAGCTGTGTATAGGACTGAAGGATTGTATCCGCTTTTTTTAATGTTCTGTGATGTATTTATTTTACTGCCTTGTGCGATTGTTTATTCTTGTTGCAGTCCAGTTGGAGGAGAATATGTCCAACCATGATCCTCTGTTACACTGACGTTAAAGGAGACTGGTTCAGACCTTGTAGACGTGCAGCTCTCCTGGTTTGGTCGTCTCAATGTTCCCTCCGGCTTCAGCCGCCAGATCCACCACCACAGAGCCCTCCTTCATGGACTCCACAAACTCCTTCTTGATCAAGAGCGGAGCAGGTTTTCCTGAACATTAACACCAAGCAATTTCTTTTGTGTTTCTCCCCCTCTTATTCTTGCTTTATTAGATACCTATATTTTCTCCTTTAAAATAAAGACATAAAACTGCTGAAACTAATGCTTAACAAAATGGATTGTTTTATGGAAGGAATTTAAGACTGCAATTTTGAATGGCTGGATGCAAGAGTATGCCCGCCCCAATAACACATTTTTAGAAACACTCACATTTTTTTATTAAACTTATGGAGGGAACAGACCTGGGATCAGCGCGGTGCTGATGAGGATGTCCACCTCTTTGCACTGCTTGGCAAACAGGGCCATCTCCGCCGCAATGAACTCTGGGGACATCTCTTTGGCGTAGCCTCCCACTCCGTCACCAGACTCCTTTATGTCCACCTCCAGAGGCTCAGCGCCAAACGACTTGAACTGCTCCAGGGCCGCCGGTCTGACCAAGGAAATGTCATTTAAAGCAAAGATTTGACTATTATAAACCAGGATGAAAAACAAGGTCTACCTGGTATCAAAGCCCCTCACGATGGCTCCCATGGATTTAGCGGCTCCTGCTGCGGCTAAACCTGCAACTCCACCTCCGATGACCAACACCTGGGAACGGGAGGAATACAGAACTTTAAAGACATCCAGTGGTAATAAAAATGCAAAAGGGTAAGTGGAATTTCTGTAAAACCATGTCTAGAGAAACCCCAGCAGGTGGATTCCATCTGTAATCAGTGCTTGGGAGCTACATGTGTCACAGGAGGAATATTGTGGGAAAAAAAAAAACAAATTGTGACTGTAGTTGTGATGAGTAAGTGCACATTACAGACACTGCCTTTGTCCACATGTCATTGGTCCTGAAACGATCCTATCGGTCGACCTCTAATACAGAGTATGCACATGTGGCATTCTGGGTTGTAAGAGTTGCTTACTTTGGCTGGAGGGACTTTTCCAGCCGCTGTGATCTGTCCGGTAAAGAAGCGACCAAAATGGTTTGCAGCCAAAATTACCGCCTTGTACCTTTAAAAAAAATAAAAAATAATTAGTCAAGCTCCGGATTATTTTGGTTGTTCATTTCAACAGCCAAACACCGACTTACATACAGAATGTTTGATATGATATTTACTGTCAGGAGTCAATAATATAGAGTCCAGTTAAAAATCGATCACATTTTGATCAGCTGACAACATTCTACCTTAATTTAAGAAATTTTTGAGGCCACTTCAGATCATCAAAAGTGTCCAGGGTCCGACAAAAACAGATCAACTGGATTCAAGCTGTTCTGAGCTTTAAATCTGAGGCTAGACTATAAATAGTTCACACGGTTGATATTTACCAACCATGTTCTGCTCAAAAAGGAATCTCAAATGAATTAAAATCTTATATATATATATATATATATATATATATATATATATAAATTCTACATTTATATTTACATTTCCATTACTCACCCGGCGATGTTAGCCATGGAGCTGAGTGCGTCGTATCCCTGTGCGATGGTGACGCGCGGCACCTGGTCCATGGCGAGCACCGTGCTCTGACGCTCTGACAGTTTGGACATGAGCTCCTGGTTCTGAGCCGGGTAAATGAAGCTGACCAGGGTGGACTTGGGCTTCAGCAGATCCACCTCCAGGAGAGTGGGGGCCCGCACCTACAGCAGCAGTTTAGAGGAGGCAAGAAAGAACACATCAAGTTAACGGTAGGAATGTCTGGATTATAGACTAAGAGCTTTTAAAAATCATTTTCCAATTTCCAGTCGATACCTCATCTTAATGTTTGACTTTATGGCTCAATTTTAGGCCATGAGACAATGAACTACATTTAACATCAAATATAAAACAATATAATCCAATAAATGACCACAAGACAGAGAAAGACAAAACAGTGTTTGGGAGTAACAGAATACATGCAACGTCTAGTATTTTAGAAAACAGTTCCTTTCTAAAAAAAAAATAAAAATCCAAGGGAATACATTAAGTCTTTAAGGTCAAAAAACCAATTCCAGGCAAACAAGTGCAGCGAGCGCACGGAGGATACTTGGTGGAGTCAGACACTGCATTATCAGAGGTGGAAACCAAGTCGCCAATGCATTCATAGCGTGCAAGTTCAATCGTTCCATTTTCTTTGTGCCATTGTTGAAAAAAAAAAAAAGAATAAAAGCCCGTGCAACAACCACCCAGCTAGTATCAGCTGGACGTAGCTTTTTACTGTGCGAGTGGCCCTCATTTATGAAACTTGCGCTGAAAAGGGTGTACATTTCAAATACGCACGAGCCAACGCAGGATTTATGAACGTGTGAGATCCTTTATGAAAGTCAGGTCTAGAAATATGCAGCAACTGCCTGTTTCACGCCCCGTTTTTAAAACAATTGAGAGGAAACGGCAAAGAAAAAAACTTCAGAGTGGGAAAAAAATAAAGTCTTACTATTTGGAAGCCTCAAAAGTGGCATCAAGGGACTAAAAATATGGAAAGAGATGACAACATCTGTAAACAGTGTGGGGGCTGTAACACTCCTGAAGAGATGAGTTTATGTTTGAAGAAATATACGCTATATTATGTCAAACAGATATATTGGGCCAATAGTTAGTATTAAGACATTTATGCTACAGGTGAAAAAAAAAAAAAAGGGATCAACCTTAAAAATGGTAACAAAAAGGCGTTTAGCAGCTCATAGAAGAAGTGCTCAGCAGCCCAGGGGGAGGACCGCCAGACCAAAGCATCCAAAAGAAAATATAAAGCAATAAAATAATCTCCAAATTGTGTATGTGATTATTATTTTAAAATGGTTGAATGAGAGTCTGTCTGAGCTGTACAGGCTGAAGGCAATGCTGGCCATGGTCTCTCATCCATGGGCTGCTCCACCAGTGCATCATGGCACACCATGGTCCTGTGCCTGCTGTGGAGAACCGAGCCAGGATCATATGACACACTTGTACCAGGAGGTACCAGAGCGTAGCCCCTGTATGTCCCAGAGCCATCTTCCTCTGATCAGACCCGTGCTGCCTCCACGCTGGCGTGCGTCTTTGCTTGGACCCGCATGAACCAATTGCCGATGCACACTGGTTGTAGGTGCATATAATCCACACATTTGTGGGAGACTTTTGAGTTTGACATCTTGCACGTTATTTAATAACACAAACTAGCCCTAACATAACATCGTAAAGAGAAAGGGAATATGTTTATTGTTGTTGAATCTTGAATTTCATGCGTGTTATTTGCGTGTTGAGATGGGTGTAAAATGTACACCACCTCCAGAGTTGCCGTATTTTTTGTGCAAAACGTACGCCCACGTCCAAATTGATAATTGCCGAAAAGTGTAAATTTTGGCCCTCACATACATGAGGGCCAGTGTGTGTGTGCGTGCAAATAATTAGCAAGGTTATAGTTCTAGGTGGGTATATTTGTAATTCGTGAGGAAAGCCATAAAGGCAAGCATCCAATAAATGTATTCTAAGCGCTCTGAATAGTTACTATTTTTTTTCAAAAGTAACACATTTTTAAAGTAATCCAACCCAACACAGAGTACAGTAGACCTATCTCAAGGCGTTGATGCTGTGTCAGGACGGGAGTTGGAGGATTTTACTCATTCCTACTGTTCTGTAACTTGATGAAACACTAAAAATTCCTCACTGTCGGACGAACAAAGGATCTTAATCTCTATCCACCACTCGCCTGATGGTTCGAGTCATTAGACATCTAAGATTACGAATAAAATCGCCAGTTTGGGATAAATCCATTCTTCTGAATCTGACTCACCTTGAGGACCAGGTCTGACCCCAGCGCACCAGAGACGTCCGTGATGGAGGCCCCCGCGTCTCTGTACAGCTGGTCTGAGAACTGCGAGGCATCTCCGGCTCCAGACTCCACCTGCACCTGGAAGCCCTGTTTGACCAGAGCCTGCACTCCGGCCGGGGACAGGGCCACACGCCGCTCATTCAGCAGGGTCTCCTTTGGGACGCCCACCACCAGGTCTTTGTATGGGACCCCTGCAACACGCAACATAACATGCACTAGTTACACACAAGCCTAAATGGGTTTCTATACAAGTTTCTGAGTGGGTGACATTGAGTGGAAATGCAGAAATCAACTTTAAAGTATGTAAAAAATAAAGTATAAAAAAAGAGGTGTCAAGTGATCTCAAAAGTGAAGCATTCCTTTTTTAATGCCCATACTTGCTTCACTACTTATACATCACCCACAATGCAACACTATATACACAGAAAGTCAAGCTTAAAGATAATATGCACAAAGTTAAAATATATTACAAGAGTGCAAAAACCACCACAAGATAGACTGAGACAAAAACTGAGTCTGGGAATAAAAGTTCTTTCTTCATGTTGAATAATAAGAAAATAGATTGTTGATTAAGGAATGCAATTTTTGGCATTAGCTTTACTCGCAATCAAAACAACGGCTCTGGATAATCCATCATCTATCCCAAGGCACAAAACATTATGGTATTGTGCAAGTAACGAATGAGCTCAGTTTAGCAGGACTAGTCCAAAACAGAACAAAAAAAAGTTATGTTTCTAGTCGTCCATAATGTGAGAATATGTTCAAATCCAGGTTCAGAACAGTTCTGTTTAGCTGTGTATCCGACTGAAGGATTAAACTTCTCTTTAATGCACTGCGATTGATTTGATGGTTGATTTTAATGCCTAGTGCGATTTTAATGTTTAGTTCTCTTGTTTTATTATCCATGTTGAGTTTCCTTGTATTGCCCTCTTCCACTGATAATCCACAAGCCATAAAATACATAAGAGATAACTACACTGTTCTATGGTACCTGAGCTTTTTATGTTTATTTATTCCAAACCTTTTGTCACACGTTGTTGTATCCAGTACAGAATGAATCAAATCTGGCAGGAGCACTTGTGTTTGAGGCCACGTCACACATTAAGAGATATATATTCTAATGAAGATTATAGTGGTATTGATCCGTCGTTGGCCCTGCCCCACGAGTGCCACAGCAGCAGAGTGAATTAACATGAAAACACATCCACGTCTGCATTTGGACCGGTCTTGGTGTAGAAAATAAAACCATTTATAATGGCAAGTTTATGCAGGTTACAACCAGATCCTCAACTGGCTTCTCCCTCGGTTCTTAGGTAACCTTGTAGTGTAGCATGTGCTCTGATATTGTGCATGTTTATTGAACGGGGAAAAAAACTGCCGTTTTTCATTCATTCATTTTTAAGTAGCAAATCATAAAACAACCCAAAACAAGACAAACAATACAATCACACAAGGCACAATAAATCTCAGTACACTTAAGAGTGAAGATACAAGCCTTCAGTTGTATGCACAGCTGAACAGACAAGTATTTAACTTTGTCAGTAGAATCCCGTCTCACATTTTCAGGAAGATTGATCCAGATTCTGCCGTCCCACATTTAGCCCTGACTGTGGGCACCAGCAGGAGGCCAGTCCCTGTGCTCATCAGGGTTAGAGTTGGCACCAAAGTAAATCTGTGACATGTTGGCATGGTGTACTTTGGTGCTAAGCCATGGAGACTTGTAAACAAGCAGAGCTGCTTTAAAGTTTATTCTGTACAACAGCCATTTCTTGAGCTCTGAAGTCTCCTAAAGCAGCACAAATACATAGGTCATCTTATCTTCCTAAAAGTGTACTAGTAACTTCCCTCAGATATTCCTACAGCACTTGAGAGGTGCATGTGCAGATTGAACTGTGAAACGTGGGGCTGTATCAGGTTTCTCATGTCTGTCCAAACACGGTGCAGTGACCTCGCTCTCATGGAGGCTCCATCAGCAGGTGATTGGACCAGTGCCAAACTCACAGGGACCTCATCACACATGCAGGGGTCCCTCAAAGACAATCATTATCTGTCATTTTATACATTAAGGTGCCCAGCAACACTCTGCCAAGCTTCCCTCTTGAATGGCATGTTTGGTTGTACAACAGTGAAATCAAATGCACTTCCATGGAGACGAGCAGGTGACCAGACAAAGTTACATGTCAGATCATGTGGAAAGGCAAGAGCATAGAGCATTCTAGAGAAAACCCATCTCCAGGGAGACTCTTTATACAAGAGTCAAAAGCTGAATAAAGTGATCAAGCTTCCCCCAACCAGGGTCTCCAGGAGGTCTGTACATTCAAATGGTTTTACTTCCGCAAGACCAGCGTAACACATGAGCATTCAGACCAATCAGACAGACCAAAGATAGACTGACCATAAAAAAAACGACATTAACTCACATGCACAGGGCAAAACATACACCGCCTTAAAGTTGTGACTCAGTGGAACTTTCAAAAGGGGAGTGCCCTTTCTTATGTCACCTCTATTTGACCTCACCTCTGTTCGCTCCAGACTGGATCAGACGTTCTATTTCAGGAACCATTCTAAAAACCTTTCTGAAATCTGTTTAAAATATCAACAACACACAACCTGGTAATAACCTTGAATGAAAGCACATGCCCTCGAGATAGGCTGTGTAACAGCCATGCATAGCCTTACCTTTGGAAACGCTTTGGTCCCATAAGACTGGAAAGGTCCTGAACTGTCTCTTGGTGGAAAGTCTCAGCCGCTTGCCGTGCCGAAGGAGCGCGGCAGAAGACGACACGCAGCGCAGAAGAGTGGACATGGCCTCTCCTCCAAAAGCTTCTGGTGAAAAATAAGTTAATGCAAAGAATTAGGTTAGGTCGACTCTATGCTAAAACTGCATTATAACGCAAACAGGCCTCCCCAGACACCCTGTTCTCTAAGGCCTACTTAAACAAAACAGGGTAACATTTCAGAGCTGCTGGAGAGGGTTATGCAAAGGGCCAGAGGTTGGCCATGTTTCAGAGTTCGTAAGACTTGGGAGAAAGTTATGACCTCAGGGAGCAGGGCCAAGAGCTTTGGTAATCCTAATGAATGGGAGCAAAGTAGATAAGAATACTCAGGTATGGCATTGTCATTATAATTTGAGTTTGTAAATTATGGACAAAAATGAGTTAGGAAACAAGGGAAAAAAAAAAAAGATGTCTTCCAAGTTTATGATGACCTTAGCAAAAATAATCTACAGGTAAAACCTGGCCAAACTATGGTCGAGTTTGAGTATAACAACATTATCACACATTCAGTCACTCCCAATATGACTGAAGTTGATCCACACACATCACCTTCAATGCAAGGTGAGTGAATAGGTCTGTAGTGTATATAAACCAGAGTGAGACAGAAAGTTTGAAAGGGGAGGGGGGAGAATCAATCAATGTCATAACTGAAACACAACAGCCAAATTAGTGCAAGGGTGTCCAGGTCAAGTGGGATTTGCTACAACCCTCGAATCAACATGTATGCACATCTATACACATTTTATAAAATTATTAACGTCTGGCCATTCATTGCATTTAAAAGTTAGTCAGAAGTTTAACATGTTCTATTGGTGCAATACAGTTTTAATTGTTTTCTGTAAGACAAAGACAACACACTTCTCCCAACCCTAACCATTTTCTGGTCTTATCCATTTTATAGCACGAGATGAGCTGTAGCGTTGCCAGATTGCTGCCATTTTGGCCTCTACAGACAAACTGGACTGGTCTAACGGACTGCAGAGCTTTACAAACGCTGTGGGAGCTATACATTTTCTGCACAAAATCTGCTTTCGACGTGGCGTTTGCATATTGTGCACAAAGCTGCAGTCTCTCTCCCTCTCTCTGTGCATGTACGTGTATGTTTCAATTTATGAGGACATTGTGTGCTTTATAATGTTAAAGCGCGAGCTGTTCATAAAAGATTGCATTAATCCAGACTCGCTGTTCTGTGCAGCAACCACAACAACAACACGGGCAGATTCGTCATTCATCCCCCTTCACCGAGAGCCGCCATGTGCCCTTGTCCTTCACTGGAGCCATATCTGCGCCGCCCGGTCCTCGGGTCTAATCTACAGACTTGCCTTGGAGCGTGGAGACCGGAGAGAGTGGGTCTTACGGAGCACTTTCGCCCCTGGTGCAGCAGCAGGTCAGCCGAGACGCGATAGGCCCAGTCCCGGGAAGTCAAAGCGCTCTCTCCGCTGTAGGAAAGAGCCAGTGGGCCTTCCGTAGTTTGATATCTCTGCTGCTGCGCTATTTGTAGAATGAGGAACCACGTGACGGGCCCGCTGACCACTTGGGGCAGAACTTATGGCAGAACGGGCAGAAGCACAGGCAGAAGGGCAGAGATGGGGCAGATGCGTCGCCACCACCAGCCAGCAGTCTAGGGCGCAGACATCAGACAGTAAACCAATTATGCTCGTCTAGCCATACAGTCTATGGTCTAGCCGCGGATCTGCAGACGTCATGCCTGGAAAATCAGCATTACTCCTGCCTGCAACCACAATATCACTTATTTTAACTTATCTTGATTATTTGTGAACAAATGCATTGATTACTCCTAATGCATTGTTTATTTTTTTTATTTTTTTATAAATGGAATAATGTTGCATAGCTTAGGGACAGGCCTCCTGCTCGGACTCTGAAGAACATTGGCCTCTTGCTGGGACTCTGATAAGCACGGGGACTGGCCTCCTGCTGCTGCCCAGAGTCAAGCCGTGTTTCAGAATTATGCAGCTAAAACCTGGAAGTTTTCTTAAAAATGTGAGACAGGCCTCTACTCTGACGATGTTAAAATCCAGGTTTAAACAGTCCTCTTTAGCTGTGCATACAACTGAAGGATTGTAGAGCCAAGTAAAGTAGGGCTGGTGGAAACGGGGCTTATTTCACTTTCACTTGACTGTTCCCTCAAGTGTAGTAACAGCTTTAACCACAAGCAAGCAGCAGCTCAGCTATTTGAACTTAATAATTATTACTAATAATTACTAAATATATGGTATAGCTATATAGTATTCTTTATCATTCTAAAGGCTTTTTTCATAATTATATAATTATTTAATAGTAGAGCAAAGAGCGGAAGTCCCCTCGGTGCTGGTCCCGGAAACACTTCTGTGTCACCAACAGCAACACAAACCACATGGACATTTGTAAACACTCGTTTTGTTTCGTTCTGACAGAGTTCATAACGAAAATCTCTGACAGCATTATGGATTAAAACTGTGCCTTTACAAGTACCGAATTCATCGATCCAGTTACAAGGTCCGAAAGACAACAAATGACAATTTTATAGCTATCATTTAGCCATTAGCATCCTCCTGTCTTTGGTTAATCCTATCTATTTCTCATTCATTTAAATTATCAATATATTCTGACCATATTGTGTCTTTAATGATAAATATGCATTTCTACTAATTTTATTTCAATAGCTCATGTTAAGCTCCAATGTGATACTACAATGTGGTACCCCTGTCATTGAGCTAAATTCCATCTTAACACTAGAACTGCCAGAGCAGAGTCAAAATGCTTGTCGACGAGATCCTTGACGACCAAAACGCAAACCCTACTTCAAAATGGGAGTACTTCAAATTTAAGGTAAGAGAGTGTGCAATAAAAAGGAGCAAAGAAATAAAATATAGGAACAACAAAGAAGAAAACAAATTACTTGAAGAACTGAATGCTTTATTAACAAAAAATAATTTATTGGAAAAAGAAAAACTAAGATTAAAAGAAATTCAATACAAGATAGACCAGAGTTACATAGAACTGGCTAGAGGTGCTTTTATCAGGTCAAGAGCAAAATGGTTAGAGAACGGCGAAAAAAACACAAGTTATTTCTTTGCTCTAGAAAAAAGAAATCGCAGCAAAAACAATATCACATCACTCAATTCAAATGGTAAAATAACCACTGACCCTAAAGAAATTTCTAACACTATCTTTTCCTTTTACAACCAGATTTACCAATCAACAAACCAAAACAAAATAAGTGAAGAGTTCCTGGACTCCATTCAAAACATTATTCCCTCAATTTCTGAGCAATTCAAGCAAAACTGTGACGAAAACATTACAACTAAAGAAATGAAGGAAGCCTTGAAAAACATGCATACTGGTCGCTCACCTGGAAACGATGGTATTACAACCGAATTTTATATTCATTTTTGGGACCTTATTGAAAATCATTTGTTTAAGCTTTATCAACAATGCATACTGCAAGAGGAGATGTCCGCCAGTATGACACAAGGCTCGATAAGTCTCATCCCCAAACCTGGAAAAGACACACTCTTAATAGAAAACTGGCGCCCTGTCACTTTATTAAACACAGATTACAAAATACTTGCTCAAATCTTTGCCAAACGGTTAAAGAAAGGATTACCCGAGATCATTAATGAAACTCAAACCGGATTTATGGCAAATAGACATATAAGTTCCAATATAAGACTAGTTTTAGATATGATTGATTACTCTGATCTCATAGAGACAGAAGCACTTATTATGTTTCTCGACTTTTATAAAGCCTTCGATACTGTTGAACATTTCTTCTTATTTAAAACGCTTGAACTTTTTGGTTTCGGTCCCAAATTTATTAAAAATGTCAAAATGCTCTACAAAAATATTAACAGCAGCATAATTCTTTATCCGAACACTACGCCGAGATTTGCAATACACAGATCGGTCCGACAGGGCTGTCCCATTGCACCCTTTCTTTTTTTAACAGTGGTTGAAGTACTCTCATTGTATATTCGAAACAGTTCAGTCATCAACGGGATCACTATAGCCAGTAAAGAAATAAGAATTACTCAATTAGCTGATGACACTGCTCTTTTTTTAAGAGACAAACACCAAGTCGCCCCTGCAATTTCTTTAATCGACAACTTTTCTGCTGCATCTGGTCTTGAACTAAACAAGCATAAATGTGAGATATTACCTCTGTATAGTTTACAGGATCACCATATTTGCAACATCTCTGTGAAAAACAATACAAAATATCTTGGAATCCACATATGCAAAAATAACCACGAACGCCAACAACAAAATTTTGCACACCGGATCAAGAAAACTACCACCATTTTTAACATGTGGCTACAAAGAGACATTTCCATCTTTGGCCGAGCCTTGCTGTCCAAAACGGAAGGCATCGCAAGACTTGTCTACCCTGCCCTCTCTCTCTACGTAAACAACAGTACTGCAAAGGACATCAATAAATCAATCACCAACTTTATTTGGAAAAACAAGAAACATTATCTTAAAACCAATATTCTCACAGGTTCAAAAGGAGAAGGGGGGATCGAAATGCTGGATTTCATCGATATGAATTACACATTTAAAATCAGATGGATTCAAGAGGCATTAAAAAACCTGAACTCAATATGGTACCTCATCCCCAACCTAGTATTTAATAAAATAGGCGGTCTTCATTTTATCTTAAAATGCAATTACAATATCAACAAACTTCCAATAAAACTCTCTAATTTTCATCAACAAGCCCTTACAGCGTGGAAGCTCTGTCACATCCACAACTTCTCCCCACACACCTGCATTATCTGGAATAATGAATACATATTAAAGCGCAAGAAATCAATCTTTGAATCATCATGGATCGACAAAGGTATAATTACAGTTTCCAATTTAATCGATATTCATGGCAATATTTTAAGTTATGATAACTTTCTTTCTAAGTTCCAGTTTCCCATCAGGTACAAACAGTACAAAGCTGTTACAAAATGCATTCCCGATGGACTATTACACTTAATGAGAGCTTCACAACTCACTCCAACCATAATGACCACAAAGCTTTTTCTCAATGGACTGGACATCACTAATCATAAATGCAACAATAAACATATTCGACAAATATTTCAAAATATGAAAAGCATTCAACCCAGAGGGAAATTTTTTTGGAACTCCACCTTTGATAATATAAACTGGCATAAAACATGGTTGTTACCCTACCAATTCCCCATTAATAATAAAATACGTGAAACTCATCTCAAAATCCTACACAATATCTACCCCACAAACTCCGAAGTCTCAAAATTCATGAACATAGATCCAAATTGCTCCTTTTGCAATACAGTTCCAGAACTTATTCAACACTTATTCTACTCATGCCCACTCATCACGCTTTTCTGGAAAGAGATCAGTCAATACCTCTCCCAAAAACTAAATATCTCCATAACTATCTGTGACAGAAACATTATCACCCACTTTTCTCACCAAAACAATAAAATCGAAAGAATCACCAACATATTCATTTTATTTGGCAAACAGCACATACATAGATGCAAATACAGTAAAACCAATCCATCTTCCCAAGCAGTCACTCTCGAAATCAAGAGCTACATTAAGTCTATAACCCTAATAAACAGCAAAAAAACCAACTCCACAGTCAAATTATTAGAACCCATAACACATCAACTCTAGATGATCGTCTCCCTTTAGCGCCCTTTCTTTCAATCTAACCTCTCTATAAAGTCATTTAAATTTATATAATACCTTACTTCCTTTCACTTTATCACGAATGTCATCCATTTCTGTATATATTGTAAATATCTTTGTTTCTGTCTTTGTCATGTAATGTATATACGAATAAAAAAAAAAAAAAAAAAAAAAAAAAACTAGAACTGCCAGAGCAGTCAATTTGACTGTTCCCTAAATTGTAACTTAAAATTCAAATTTTTGGTCACTTTCCAATAGACATTCCATGGTGGTCTGGTTCTTGTCCTTAAAGAAGCTATACCCGATTTTTTTTCTAAGTAGTTCATAAAAATGCTTTTTACTACATACAAGTTGTATCATAATACATCATTTAATTGAAAACTTGAGGTAATTGATTCAGCTGTGTAAGAATTACAAGCAGTGAAAAGTGCTGAGTAGAGTCTGAGCGGGCCGCTCTTTCTCCTCCGCACAGAACAAGGAGCGACCAGTCTGCGTCCTCTAGCCTCTACAGCGCTGCGGAACACCAGGGCTTCGACTTCAAAATTCGAATATAATTCTAAAATAAAAAATGTGAACAAATCTTAGACAACCCTTGTAATTCGAAATGTATTTAATGACTGCAAATAAAATAGTTAGCTCCCAAAGGTTTCACCGGGACGTGCTAGGCAGGTAACAGCTAAGCTAGCTAGTTGTTTCATGGTAACTTCCGGGTTTTTCGCAATCGCTTTTTGTCACATTGAAACAGTATTTTTGTCATGAAAACGTTAACAGCAAATTCTGAAATCGTCCGTGCATGTGTGTTAAGGATGTATATGTGTACTGTATTGTCCGATTGACGTTTAATGGTGTTGATTGATAGATATGTAGTTGTTTATTGAGCGTGGCTAGCTCCGCTAGCTTCTCTACACAGACAAGTGTGCAGAGAAACTGCACAGTGTAGTGACAGGCGCTGATAGCTTGTTGTACTTGCAGAGTAATGGCAGTATTTTACACACCTGAATTACAAACAGAGGTTGCATTGGGGCTTCGGTCATTATTGGTTTGAGAGTTCTGTTATCAAGAAAAAATGATCGGAAGAATTGCTGCTGCTGCTTTGAGGAGCTCTATAACACATTATAATTAAATATTAGAATATATTCTAAGGTTTTAAATTAATACATTCGGACGCGAAACTAGCGGTATTCTTTTACTTATATATTGTGTTAGCAGTGCGTTGCTTTAGTGCCATTTCATCGGTGATTGTTGTACAGCTTACAAGAAGTTGCGCTAATGCTAATGTTAGCATATGTATCAGATCGCAAATAAAACTAGGTGGCTCTGTGTTATGAGAGCGTAGGGGAAATGAGAAGCCTGTGAGCGAGTTGGGGGGCGGTGCTAAACATTCAAACATTGCAGCAACGGGTATAGCGCCTTTAAGTCTGTATTTAGCAAGTTTGTTTACTTTTGTTTCTTTTCCAGTTTGAGGTTTTGACAATGGACTCTCTGCGTCTGCTCTCCGTGGATCTGCCCGACAGAGGCTCACAGCGTTGTAGGTTGGGTCCTGGTTTGATGTCGTCGTTGAATTTAAGTCTGGGCTCCCCTGTGCTGGTCTCTGTCTCCGGGTCGACCTGCCTGTGCACGGCCTGGCCCCGCCCTGACTGCGCAGAAGGCTTCATTCAAATGGACCGGAAATCCTGCTCACCTCAACTCATGCTGCATCCTACTATGTCCCCTCGCATCAGAACTGAGCAGATTTCAGCGGTGCAATGTCCAAAGCTTAAAGGCATCAAGATCACCGTAGTGGTCCAAAGCTCGGACTTCAGACGCAGTACTCCACCACGTGTGATTCATGAACTTACCAAGGACATGCTTAGAGGAGTGTATGTCCACAAGAGCCATGTGGTTAACCTGGGGGAATATGAGACAGAAATTAAATATGTAGTAGTTGAAGATGTTAATCCGGATTCAGAGAAATGTGGACTTGTTACGGCAAAAACTGCTATGGAGATTATGGGCATAAAGACACTCAGACACTTCAGGGGAAGATTCGAGCAGCAAAATACAGCAGTCCCTTTGGGCGGCCTGGACCAGGTCAGTACGTGAATATAAATGCCTGTGTACAATTGATGGTGGTGAATGTTTGGTGTCTTTTCTCAAACCAGGATCCAGGATCAATCTAGGATAAAAAAATCGCATTGCAATCTCAATGCTGGTCAGAATGATCTCAAATAGATATATTTACAAACTCGTGCAGGTTAGAATTCAAACAGTGCAGCAACAGTAAATTCAGCTGTATTTTGAACACATTACTGTGCTTGTGTCTCAGGTCCGGTCGTCCCTGAAGGATATGTTGCAGCTGCCGTTGGTTTATCCAGAGACCCTGATGTCCCTGGGTCTGTCCTGCCCCAGAGGAGTGCTGCTGGTGGGGCCTCCTGGAGTGGGAAAGACTCAGTTGGTCCGCAATGTGGTTCGGGAGGTGGGGGCCAGCGCCGTGGTGGTCCAGGGGCCAGAGGTACAGTCTTTGTACCTCATTTCGTCGCTATAGCAAAATTTCAGATTCAAGGCTAATACTAATGAATATACTCTATGCTTGACAAAAAATTTTTTACCTCTGTGATAACAAACATATATTATCATGATGAGAACCATAAATCGTACTGAATGAAGGTACTAAATCCTCCACACACCAGGGATTCAGAACAGTAGATTGGCAACAAAGAAAACATGGTATTGCACATAGGATCCTCAGTCAGACTGAGGGGAGGACACTTTCTTCTTGCTAACAGAAGGCTATTAATGAAGCTCACAATATGAAAACAAATTTCAAATCCACACTGGCTAAAAAAAGAAGAAACTTGGGAGCAACTTAGCTGTGCAGATTTTTATCTTTTTCAGATTGTGTACTATTTTTTTTAATTCAGCACTCTAGATCAAGCCATTTGGATGTGGGCCTTACATGAAACTTTTATAGAAAAAGTTTTCACACCCAGCCTTTCAATTCTATGTAGATTACTGCCCATAAAAAGGCCCTTAAATGTCCTGGATTATCACTGTCCTTAGACCCTCCTGCATTGACAAGGAACACCACAGTGAGTGAGGATAAAGTTTTCATTAAAAAATCTGTGTGTAAACTTTCAAAGACACTGCATAACTGAAGTACACTAAAACTAAAAGTCTATAACAGTCGTGGGCGAAGTGCAGCTGGGGCCACATCCAGCCTGATCCGGCCCCCGGTCCCTTCCTGGCTGCATTGCTCGTGAAGGCTTGTAACTAAATATTTGCTACCATGGTTTGTTATTCATTTACTCTGTTCTCATCATGACCCCAACATTTTATTATTATTGAATTGGCTTAAGAAAATGTACTCAAACACAAAGTAAAAACTGGATATCGTCATGTTTGTTAATAAATGAGAAATTAACCACATGATATTGCGCCCTGCCCTCCACAATAGGGCAATATCTCAATGTGACCCCCCAAAGAAAATAATTGCCACCTCCTGGTCTATAACATGGTCAACAGCTGTGGAAGGTCGATTTTGCCTGTCATTCCTTTAACAATGATCAAAGCTTTATTACAATTAATTTTATCGGTCGTCTTGTAATGATTTGTCAACTGCTCATTGCAGCCATGGATACGATAGATTATAACTGTATTCCAGCAAAAGCAAATGAGTGGTGTTGTGCTTGTCAGATCGTGGGAGCGCGGCCCGGTGAGAGCGAGGAGAAGCTTCGTGCCGTGTTTGCGAACGCTCGGTCGGCGGCTGAAGAGGGACCGTGTGTCCTGTTCCTGGATGAACTGGACTCTCTCTGTCCGCGGAGAACAGGTTCCACCGCTGCAGAGAACAGACTCGTGGCCCAGCTCCTCACGCTGATGGACGGCATGGACCAGACCCAGCGCTTCCTGATCGTCGGAGCCACAAACCGACCGGACAGCCTGGACCCCGCGCTGAGACGCCCGGGGAGGTTCGACAGAGAGGTACAGGGAGCAAGAGAAGCACTGCTTTTTATCATGAGTTTAAACGTTTTTAATACATTGCATTCTGTTTCTGTTCTTTTAACTCATAGTCTTGGTGTTTCTCATAATGTGAAGTCCATAACTGCTCAATTTACATTTAATTCTATTTGATTCTGTCTAGCCCTAAATAACTAACCCTAACAGCAGCCGTCTCAGCGAATCAGTTCGAACGCAAGAAATGCAATGATTACAAACACGTAGGAGCCATTGGTCCATAGAGAGCATGATGACCACTTTCTATAAATGTTAATTCATTTTCTTTAAATGTCCCAGACCATCAGTGTCCCTAGAACCTCCTGTATCGGCAAGGAGACACTCAAAAAAGGTTCAGGCTGTAGAACAAGGACTGAAGCTGTGCGGTGCAGGACTGAGACCCACCAGTCCAGGCCGGGGGAGACCAGTCCACAGATGCGGATTCCTATCATCATGCCATAAAACAGACAATGGGACAGCAGGGGAATATCAATAAACATTCGATGGATGAAGTCATAATGATGTCAGATAAAGCAGGTGAGAGGAGAGGATAGTGCTGTTACCATGCTTCTCCAGGAGGGGTCTCCAAATACATATTGACTGACAGGGCCATGCTCAAAAGGGCGACTTTTAATTTCCTCGAATTTCCCACCCTACGTTTGTGATCTACTTGTTGAGATCCAGCTGGAGTTGGGGTAACAATAACAGAGATAGAGAAAATGCTCTCCATCCCCGTGGCAAATTGCACCCTGGTTGTAGTTAATTTTACAGTACTTTTTGTCCAAGCGTAGATCTTTCCTCATTCTACTGCCTGAGTCCTGGATCTACAGCCTGTCCGTCTGTGGAAGTGGATCCCTGTCTCAATGTGGGCCTTAATTCTTCCCACGTATCTTGACGATGCCGTATATTGCTGATACATTTAAGGACATTTAGTGAAATTTCTGGACAGTGGTCATTCCGCTCCTATGTGTTTGTTGTCACTGCATTTCCTGTGTTTGAAATGTTTGTTTCTCACAACAAATGCATTGAATTGAATATGTTCCCTTAGGTGATCATTGGGGCCCCCACGCAGCAGCAGAGGAGGGACATTCTGTGCGTTTTGTGGGAGAAGATTCCAGTCTGTTCGTCTGTGAACTCTGAAGAACTAGCTCAGCGGACGGTGGGGTACGTGGGAGCGGATCTGAGTGCATTGTGCAGAGAGGCGGCGATGAACAGCATACGAGAAACAGCAAAGGTGAATTATGAAGTCATGTAGCTGTATGATCACGTCCAATCATTCAGAATGGACGAAGTTATAACACAAAGGAGTGAGCTGGGCTGGATCATAGAGCGTTGGGGAAAACGAACCCAAACTTTTTTTAAATAATTATGTCCCTTTTAAATAAAAAACACATTATTTCGGTTTCAAACTGTCACTTAAGACGGGGTATTAAACTGGTTCCAGAAAGGACCGTTGTGGCTGCATGTCTTCATTCCAACCAAGCAGGAGCACACCAGACTCGCCAATTTCCTCAGGTTAAGATCATGGATGCAGAACAGAGAGAGCAGACATCTTGGAGGAAATAGGTGGAGTCTAGTGTGCTTCTTCTTGGTTAGAATTAAATCCTGTTGCCACGTTGAACCTTTGAGGACTGGTTGGACACCCCTGGCTTAAGGTAAAACCAAATTAAGCCTTGTATTAACTCAGAAGTCCTGTGTCTTTTTCAGGGTTCAGGAGAGCAGACTGTGACTATGAAACATTTCACTGAGGCCCTTAAAACAGTGGGTCCCTCGTGTTTAAGAAGTAGTCTAGGAAAGACTGAAGTGGCCCCTGTTTCCTGGGACCAGATCGGAGGATTGGACAGCGTTAAACTCAAACTCAGACAGGTAACAGATAAAGGCTGTGTATCTTGCCTACATACAGTATTTGTACATTTTGTGGAACATTTTTATGGTTGGTCCTTCATGATGATTCTGATCGCCAAAACAATTACATCCTCTTTGGGGAGCGGTCCCATATCCTGTTGTCTCCTTTTATGTCACCATTATTATTATTAAGTAATCTTTATTTTTATAGCGTAATTTACAGACCAAGGTCACAAAAAGCGCTTTACTATTTTTTGTGGACCAGTTATCTCCATTCACTCCTCACACAGTGAAGACAGAAGCAAGACACCAAACACCTGCCAGATCAAAGCCTCCGGGCCATCGCAATCACTCGCTCGTTACGTTAAGACCTACTGTATATGTTTTAGTGGTGGGGAAACTGGATAATAATTTTCTTAGTCCTCCGATCTAAAGCTGAGTTAATCCTTTCCCGCTCTCTCCCTGTGTAGAGTATAGAGTGGCCGCTGCTGTACCCTGAGGCGTTCAAGAGGCTGGGTTTGTCTCGTCCTCGCGGGGTGCTGCTGTACGGTCCTCCTGGATGTGCTAAGACCACGCTGGTCCGTGCTGTAGCCGCCTCCACCCACTGCTCCTTCCTGTCAGTCAGCGGGGCCGACCTCTACTCCCCCTATGTGGGTGACTCAGAGAAGGCACTGGCTCAGGTGGGTTACAACAACAGAGTAATACAGTAGAAAAACAATAAAGATGTCGATTTTAAGTCAATTTAAGTCGAGTGCAGTGTTCCCATACTCGGTCAACTATCTTTCTTACTTCTTGTCTTTCTAGCCATTAGCCTGAGGAGCACTCTTACTAATGACATCATCACATGTAAATGGTTGTTACTCTCACATCAGAGCTGTACACACTGAGTAACACCTGTCTGAGAGTGGCTCAGGTGACAAAAGTTCTAAAACTACACACAAGTCACACAAGGGACAATATTCAACTCTTTGAAATCACAGTTTGGACTTTAGCTCATGCAAAAGCAAAAGATCCCCACTATAGCCCTGTGTTTGGGCTACAGGGCTACAGTGGGGAAAAGCCTACAGATGCATCATATTGTTAGGTTTAAGGGTCAAGGTATCTTTAACAATCCCTAAGCACAATTTGGTTGCAGCTGCAGAATGGCACACATATACACAAGGAAGCAATTTGTGAACAATGACTGTTATAAAATACCAACGGCAACAGGGATAAAGAGTTCTTAAATATGTTAGTCCTAAATTTAGTTTTAGAGTTTTATCTGCGGCCAGATGGAAGCATTTAAACTCTGCCAAGAGTGGGTTTGTGGTAGCCAGTCTTACCATACCTTCGTACTGATATGGTAAGACAGTACATTTCGTACTTAGTACTGATAATTGACTGGGGTTTACAGATATCTAAGCCTAGGCTAGGTGTGTGGTGTCCGTAGATATATGTTGGGTTCTTTTTAGGATCTGAGCCCTGTGGACATTAACAGGACTGTAAAGACTGAAAAATCTAAATGACATACAATTATGAAACATTTACTGTAATATAGATTTACGTAGGTGTCCCCATGTGATTAACGCCTTTTTCTGTTAGAGCTTTCACATGGAAGGAGAGAGAAGTGGATGACTAACCCGTTTCAACATAGCTAATTATAATATATACACTATAAGTAGGAAGTGCCAACTATTATGAAATGTTTTAATAAGTTAAATGTATTGGTTTTGTTGGATGCAGGCTTGTTTTTGAGTGTTGTGAACGTGATTTTTGTTGTGTTCAGCTGTTCCGTCAGGCCCGCTCCTGCACTCCCTGTGTCTTGTTCCTGGATGAGATCGACTCTCTGATTGGCTGTCGGACGCAGGGGGCGGGCTCTAGCAGCGTGCAGACTCGGCTCCTGGCGGTGCTGCTGAACGAGATGGACGGAGTCGGACTGAAGACGGACGAGAGACGCGGAGAACGAGTGCTGCAGGCTGAAGGAGAGCTACACGAGCAACAAGAGGTGACCAGGCCCTGTCTGAAGCAAGGATTCGCTCTCTGGTCTCTCTCTGTGGTCTCTCTGTGGTCTCTCTCTGATCTCTCTCTGTGGTCTCTTTCTGGTCTCTTTCTCTGGTCTCTCTCTCCAGACTCTTTCTCTGGTCTCTCTCTGTGGTCTCTCTCTGGTCTCTCTCTGTGGTCTCTATCTAGTCACTCTCTGGTCTCTCTCTGTGGTCTCTATCTAGTCACTCTCTGGTCTCTCTCTGGTCTCTCCCTCTTGTCTCTTTCTCTGGTCTCTCTCTGGTCACTCTCTGTGGTCACTCTCTGGTCTCTCTCTGATCTCTCTCTGGTCTCTCTCTCTGGTCTCTCTCTGGACTCTTTCTCTGGTCTCTCTCTGTCTCTGTCTGTGGTCTCTATCTAGTCACTCTCTGGTCTCTCTCTGGTCTCTCTCTGGTCTCTCCCTCTTGTCTCTTTCTCTGGTCTCTCTCTGGTCACTCTCTGGTCTCTCTCTCTGGTCTCTCTCTGGACTCTTTCTCTGGTCTCTCTCTGGTCACTCTCTGGTCTCTCTCTCTGGTCTCTCTCTGGACTCTTTCTCTGGTCTCTGTCTGTGGTCTCTATCTAGTCACTCTCTGGTCTCTCTCTGGTCTCTCTCTCTGGTCTCTCTCTCTGGTCTCTCTCTCTGGTCTCTCCCTCTTCTCTCTTTCTCTAGTCTCTCTCTGGTCTCACTCTCTGGTCTCTCTCTGGTCTCTCTCTGGTCTCTCTCTGGTCACTCTCTGGTCACTCTCTGGTCTCTCTCTGGTCTCTCTCTGGTCGCTTTCCCTGATCTCTATCTCTGGTTGTTGTGATTTAGGGCTGTACACCAATAAATTGAATTATCCGTGTTGTAGCTGGACTCTGAGGAGGTGTGTAACTCTGAGGTGATGGTCGTCGCTGCCACAAACCGACCGGACGCTCTGGACTCGGCGCTGCTGCGACCGGGACGACTCGACCACATCATCTACGTCCCACCACCGGATCAGGAGGTACTGCTGCCTAACATGACAAAACCTTGTATCTGTCCATGTCAGATTCAGTGCTGCTTTCGGCCATTTTATCATTTCTACGAAGCGGGCCCTGGCACACTTTAACCGGGCTTTAGGCTGCGCAGCTGGCTGGGGGGGTGTGTAGGGAGTACAGAGCAAAAATAGTGTGAAACCGTTGTCCATCCATCCATCCATTTTCTTCCGCTTTATCCGTTGCCGGGTCGCGGGGGCAGCAGTCTAAGCAGAGACGCCCAGACTTCCCTATCCACACACACTTCCTCCAGCTCGTCCGGGGGGACCCCAAGGCGTTCCCAGGCCAGCTGAGAGACATAGTCCCTCCAGCGTTTCCTGGGTCTTCCGCGCGGGGCCTCCTCCCGGTGGGGCGTGCCCGGAACACCTCCCCAGGGAGGCGTCCAGGAAGCATCCGGAACAGATGCCCGAGCCACCTCAACTGGTTCCTCTCGACGTGGAGAAGCAGCGGTTCTACTCCGAGCTCCTCCCGTGTGACTGAGCTCCTCACCCTATCTCTAAGGGAGCGCCCAGCCACTCTGCGGAGGAAGCTCATTTCGACCACTTGTATCCGCGATCTCGTTCTTTCGGTCATTACCCAAAGCTCATGACCATAGGTGAGGGAGGGAACGAAGATTGACCGGTAAATCGAGAGCTTTGCCTTTCGGCTCAGCTCCCTCTTCACCACAACGGTCCGATACAGCGACCGCATAACTGCGCACGCTGCACCGATCCGCCTGTCAATCTCACGCTCCATTCTTCCCTCACTCGTGAACAAGACCCCGAGATACTTGAACTCCTCCACTTGAGGAAGGACCTCTCCACCCACCTGCAGAGGGCAAGGCACCTTTTTCCGGTCGAGCGCCATGGCCTCGGATTTGGAGGTGCTGATTCTCATCCCAGCCGCTTCACACTCTGCTGCAAACCGTCCCAGTGCATGCTGCAGGTCCTGGTTCGTTGGAGCCAACAGGACAACATCGTCCGCAAACAGCAGAGATGAAATCCTGTGGTCTCCGAACCGGACCCCCTCCGACCCCTGGCTGCGCCTAGATATTCTGTCCATAAATACAGTGAACAGAACCGGTGACAAAGGGCAGCCCTGTCGGAGGCCAACATTCACCGGGAACAGGTCTGACTTACTGCCGGCAATGCGAACACAGCTCTGGCTCCGGTCATACAGGGATCGGATGGCCCTCAGCAGAGGACCTCCGACCCCGTACTCCCGGAGAACCCCCCAAAGGACACCCCGGGGAACACAGTCGAACGCCTTCTCCAAATCCACAAAGCACATGTGGACAGGTTGGGCGAACTCCCATGCACCCTCGAGTATCCGATGGAGAGTATAGAGCTGGTCCAGTGTTCCGCGACCGGGACGAAAACCACACTGCTCCTCCTGGATCCGAGATTCGACCATTGGCCGTAACCTCCTCTCCAGTACCTTTTCTGGAGTATTTACATTATTTCAATGCTAAATTCAGTTCATATTTGGGTTCACAGCTCGAGGTTATAGACGGAGGGTGGGGCCTGAACCACTGATCTAAGGCTTATTGTACACATGAATGTCCTTTTAATATAATTATGTAGCTGTACAACAGCTGCAGTACATTCAAAATGCAGCAGCTCGAGTCCTGACTAGAACCAGGAAGTACGACCGCATTAGTCCACTTCTCAGGTCTCTGCACTGGCTTCCTGTGGCTCAGAGAATAGACTTTAAAACAGCTCTGCTTGTGTACAAGTCTCTCCATGGCCTCGCACCAAAATATATTAGTGACATGTTAGTCCCATATGAACCAGCCCGGACTCTGAGGAGCACAGGGACTGGACTCCTGTTAGTGCCCAGAGTCAGAACTAAACATGGGGAGGCTGCTTTTCAGATTCATGCTGCTAAAATCTGGAACAGTCTTCCTGAAGATGTGAGACAGGCCTCCTCTGACAACGTTTAAAACCAGGTTAAAGACAGTTCTGTTTAGCTGTGCATACAACTGAGGGATTTTATATTTTTATCTTTCTTTTTAATGTACTGTGATTATGATTTTAATGCTTTCTTATTTTGTTCAGCACTTTGAGTTTCCTTGTGTATATTGTGCTATATAAATAAACTTGCCTTGCCTTGCCTAATATTTGTTGTTTTCCTCGTTTCTAGAGCCGTCTGTGCATCCTGAAGCTGTGCACCAAGTCTATGCCTGTTTCTGATGACGTCTGTTTAGAAGAACTCGCTCAAAAGACAAACCTTTTCTCTGGAGCTGATCTACAAAATCTCTGCAAAGAAGTAAGATTGTGTTTTAATGTGTCCTGACAAAGTGCCGTATGTTCAAAACGCTGCCACTTGAGTTATAGATCCTGGAAGTACCATAATGTTAGTCCAGTTCTCAGGTCTCCGCGCTGGCTTCCTGTGGCTCAGAGAATAGACTTTAAAGCGGCTCTCCGTGACCAAAGTACCATATGAACCAACTCGTATTCTGAGTAGCACAGGGACTAGCCTCCTGCTGGTCCCTGTGTATATTTATGATTATAATGGCTTGTATGATTGTTTATATCTTGTTTTGTTCAGCACTTTGAGTTGCCTTGTGTATGAACTGTACTATACAAATAAACTCTCTTGCCTATGTTTACTGTATTCGTAGCTAAATGAATGCGAAGAAATTAATGTATTTTTCTCTTAGGCAGCGCTGTTGACTCTTCAGGAAGAATCCATGGAAGCGTCATCTGTTCAGCACAAATACTTTCTGAAATCTCTGAGTAAAATGACGCCGTCTCTCACAGCGCAGCAGATCCACTCGTCCCACAATCCACATGCAGAATGTGAACCGTTTAGGGAAGAATAAATTATTATTTTAGAATACATTGTGTCCATGTTTTTATTTGTTTTTGTAATCGAGTGATGCAAGATACATGTGTTAAATGGTACAGAGCGATAATATCTTAATGGCGGCTGAATAACATATTCAATGGAAGTTATTACTTGTGTATCTCCCTAAATCACAACAACAGTCATCTTTGAGATCCACTCCAACGAATGGACAGGCTGTAGATCCAGGACTCAGGCTGTAGAACGAGGAATGAGGCCGGGGGAGACCAGTTCACAGGTGCAGATAAAAAAAGGCCACATTCAGGGGTCCCATCATCCCGCAGTGTCTCCATTTGCACTTTTCTGTCTGATAAAGCTGATCTAAAGATGTTACAGAGGATACAAATAAGGTTTTGATGGAATAAATTGTATTGTTGAAAAGTTTGAAAGTAACAAATCTCAATGAATAACAATGTATCAATAAATATTACGTGACTTCTGCCGCTGCATTAAACAGTGAGGCCCTTTGAAATAACTTCACAACACAGTGGAACGCTCACATGATTCCTCTATGACATATTTTCCATAGGCCACTCTCATGGATCTATTATAATACCCCTCTACTGTTTCCACCTTCACTGCCTCATAGTCTCCAGCAGGGGGCGTATTGTGCCCTGAAACTTTATCGATCGTTTTACGTGCGTGTGGGTGATGGGTGCGCGTGAGTGTGCGGAAGCTGAGCCTACAGTACGTGCGTCTCACCTCGTCCTCTTGTGACTTCATGAGCTGTGACCACAAAAACGGAGAGATGCTGGTGTCAAAGCTCAGTCCTGGTGCAGACAACAGGTGGACCACACACAGACATATTTACAAATACTGTACTTGACTCTACAATGAGCGGGATTCTGAAGATTCTGAAGAAGAAGAAAGAGGTAAGTCCCATTCACTGATTTTATTTTTGTATGTTTTATTATAGAGCTATTTATTTGTGTTTTATGTTTGAAAAGTTTCTCAAAATTAGAATCAATGTAAATGATCAAATAAAATTTTCTTCCTTTCTGAACCATTATTAAACATGAGATTGACTTCACACATGTTATTTATTTTATTAATATTTATTATTTTTTATCATACCATACAGTTAGTTATTTGTTTATTTGTATGTCATTTTACTCAGTGGTAGTTAAATTACAAATACTGTTTTTTATTAATATTATTAATAAAATTTATGTTTACAATCCAACTGCTTTATTACATTTATTTAATCTGGTAGAGGCAAGTGCACACAATTCAAAGTATTTGTGCATCACCCTAAAACAGTTGTTCATTCCTTAACAATAGATCAGAGAATCAAACACAGAAAATACAAAAATAACTTGTTTCCATTGGTTCTGATTAGTGATGTTTTTGTCACATCATTAAAGTTGTATACTATTTGTAATGCTTGTTTCATTTATGGTCAAATTAAAATCGATTTTTGATTTATATGATATTTTTGTTTCATATTTACTCTGATTAATTGTATTTTCATATTAACCTTGCACCTTATTTTCTTCATAATCGTGTATAGAAAATAACCAAATATATACATATATTTTGGATACCTCTTTAGCTGATCCCGTTGATCGGCTTCATGGCTTTTGCTGCGACAGGAGCCACCTCCGCCTCCCTCTACTTTCTCTTCACCAAAACCGACGTCATGTGAGTCGATAATATTCCATCTGTTTTCTGTTAACTGCGACACGGGGAAGAAATATTAAATCAAAAATGCATTTCCAGTTTGCTATCTTTTCTATTGTCTAAACTTTCTACTTTTTAGAATCAATAAGAGCGGGAACCCAGAGCCGTGGGAGAGAGTGGACCCAACCAAGCCACAAAAGGTATTTCAAATGTTTTTTTTGTTTTTTTTATGTAGTGAAATAATGTATAGATATGACACACACACAAAAAATCTAGTTCCCTGCGATATAGTGTGAATATAAAGCCCTGTTTCCACCAGCCCTACTTGGCCCTACTTGGCCCTACTCTACTCTCGTCTGCACTATACTCTACTCTACCTTACTCTACTCTACTCTTCTTATCTGATACTGTATCCTAGCAACCTACTGTACCACAACAACAAAATTCCTTGGTAACCATGACTTGCAGCAGCACCTTGGCCAATCACTGTCAGTTAGAACACTTTAGTACCGGATAGAACCAGGACCAATAGGGACTGAAGACAGACCTGGTACTGGTTGCCTGGTACCAATTGGGAACTCTCCCAATTGGGGTAGAGTAGAGCTAGTGAGTCAGTTAGAGATCCAGATTCAGTTTATTTGCCATTTGCTGTAAAACCACATGGAATACATGTGCAAAAGTACCCCTATGTGCACCAGACATGTACATGAATACAACAAGCTAAAAAGTACAGGAAGTTACATCTTTAGAAACTGATCCCTGATGCATCTGTTCCCCAAGAGAACCAAACTTTAAAATAAGAAAAGGACACAAATGCTGAGGTCTGGGGTCGTGTCTATTTTTGGTTCACAGCGTTAAGTGGCACGACCATGAGACTTGGTTTCTTATCAAGACGAAAATACGGCGGCTCCCTTTAGCATCTCCCACTGCACCAGTAGATAAGTTTGCTCCTTTCAATATAAAAAAAAACCAGACTTCTGCAGACTGTTATGACCAGCTCACTTTTAAAATAACTGCACAAAAAGTTAAAAAAAAATCCATAATATCACAATGTTAGTGTCTATAACTATGCTGAATATTCAAAGGACCTCTCCACAGCATTCTCACATATCTAGAATCATTTAAAAAACAAAATCATAATATTTATATGTGAGTGAGTGATATGTGCGTGGACAGACTGCAGAGTCACTGTGGAGAATCACTTGTGTCAAGTGCTTTGTCATTGACATCAGACAAATGAAAGAGCCACTCCACAGCAGCTCAGGTTACTATCCTCTTAAAGGGACAGCGCTGTTATTGTTTCACCGAATGGATTAAAGCACAGCAGGCACATTTCAGTAATCACTCTCATATGATTAGATAAAGAGATCATAAGAAGTGCATCATATTTTCTCAATTACAAAAGTCGAGTGTCGCCTCATCGTCTGGTCCATCCTCACAACTACTGTCTTTTATCACATGCTGGTTTCAACATTTGTGTCTTTATCTACTACATACATATACACTACCTAGCACTATCTTGAATATAAGTTACACAGTGCAATGTTCCACTCCAGTCTGATGTTACTTTCACTTTCATTGTGAGGGGTGTGTCTAAACCAGGCGTGTCGAAAAACCAGTCCAGAAAATGCCGGTGTGGCTGCAAGTTTTCTGTCAGACCAAACAGGCGGAGAGCAGACCCCACCCATTTCCTCATTGAGTTCATTCTTAATCTGAAGATTTGAGGAAATTGGGGGAGTCTGCTCTGCGCCTGCTTGGTCTGATAGAAAACTTGCAGCCACACTGACCTTTTCTGGACTGGTTTGGACACACTTGGTCTAAACCAATCGGATCCAAGTGTATTTCATCAACCGTTAAAGCCCATTAAACATGTTAAACTTGTTATTCCACTACTAAATTATAGTTCAAATCACTGAGGCTGATGGTAGGTGAGGCACTGACGTCATCACAATCACATTGAAGTCACATCACCATGATTTGGCACAAAGCGGCTTATCCCCCATTTGTTAGTAATGATGGAATATGATTGGTGTTAGCACATTTACCTTAAAGCCTAGTAATAGTTTGAGTTTAGATATTTAATCCTCTATTTGAAAATAAGGCCAGTTGAGAGGAAAAAGTACAAATAAAACCATGTCAGCCTTAACTTCCCTTCACTCTTCATCGTTATCATTCCTTATCAACATTTGAAGCATATATTTGACCTGAGTGGTTTTAAAATCCTCTGAATGAGTGACATTTATCTTGGCCAAACCAAGTGGCCAAGATAAATGTCACTTGGTTCCTTGTCGTTCAGCAGAGGAAGGATAAGGAAGGAGGCTTTTTGGTGGATGCAGCCTTTTAATATGTATTTATGCCCTATGCTGATCAAACAAAGTGCCCCTGCAGAGGTAAATAAAGTATTCTGAATCTGAGCAGGTCTACGGTGAGGCCGGGTCTTTACTGCAGGCCTCACTTTAGTACTTTTTTCAAGCAGTGGTTTAGCGCAAAAAAAGACACACATTTATTGTCAAAAATGCATAGGACACATCTGATATAATCTGGACATATTGTTTGTAAAGATTTTTTTTTTTACTTTATAACAGAGCTAAACAAACAGTATGACCGCACGGCACATACAAAAAATAGGAGAAAATTATTTTAATTTTAGGTGTAAATTATACATAAAATAAGGCAAAGTTACATGGAAAATAATGCAATATCAACAATAAGTATTATTTTTTTTGACCATCTTCACTGATTCAAATCAATATAGTTAAGATACAAGTACTAGTTTGGAAATTCTATGTTCTAATCCCTAGCTGGAAATGGGTCTTCAAGAAATGGCAATGGATTGGTGATTTTCAGCAATTATATGAAACTGTTTTTGATCAATATGAGAATCAAAATAGTGGCGACACCAGTGAGTGAGGCTGGGGGATTGAATGAGGGGGAGGAGTTCAATATTGACCTATTTTTAACCAGGAGAGTTATTATTATAGATCCATGGGAGAGTCGCACTGAGATGACAGGAAGCCGCTTCTCAGTCATTATAGTCCGTCCTTACGCTGTTTGAGCAGCTGTTTGTTAATTCAATGTATTTGTGTATCACCCTAAATCACCGCAGCAGTCGCGACAGCGGATTTTACTTTTTAAGTTGTAGATTCCTCAACAAAAGATCAGAGAACAGAGGAAATCCAAAAATAGCAAACAAACAGGAGCCATGGGTCCGTTGAAAGCAAGATCACCACTGTCCAGAGATGTTTTGACCCCCGTTTCGCCTCCCTATTTGTTATGGCTCTGAGCCAGCTGTAACAAGTTGTTACCAGGACAGGGCCAACCAAGACAGCAGCACAAGAGAGAGTGAGCAGCTGATGAGGGCGTGGCCTGGTGTAGGTATGACCCTGCACAGAGGAGGAGACGGCAGAGAAGGCAGGCAAACGGATACAGCACTGTTTGCCTGCCTTGACACTAAGGGCCTGGCCCGTAACAAGTACGACACAAACAGTTACTGAGCTAGAGGAGTTTATTTTTCAATATAAGTCAATAGGTGTCAGAAACTTCATCCACGAGCACTTCCCTATCAGGCTTCATTGAGCTCTGGGGTAGGCCTTGTCCATCTACAGTCTATGGGTGAGTGAGAGTGTACTGTACACACGGCAAAGAAGGTTGAGAACCACTGTGCTAATGTTTATTTTTCCCGTATGTGTCTCGCTGACGGCTCAAAGGGAAATGAAATGAGTAACTGTTTGTGTCGACCGTTATTACAGACCTGTGGTGTTGACTTGTGCCTTGTCTCTCAGCTCATCACCATAAACCAGCAGTGGAAGCCCGTGGAGGAGCTGCAGAACGTCAAACACATGTTCAAGTAAAAGCTCTGCTCGACAGCGCCCCCACCAGTCCAACGGAATCCTTTCAGTGCTCCTGCTCCTCCTGCTCCTGCTCCTCCTGCTCCTGCTCCTCCTGCTCCTGCTCCTCCTGCTCCTGCTCCTCCTCCTCATGCTCCTCCTCCTCATGCTCCTGCTCCTGCTGTGACCACACCTGATGAGCTGCTGTCCATTAAGCTGGTAGACTAGAACTCCCAGAGCAGTCAATTTGACAGCTTTTAGTTTTGGAAGTGCAATTACTCAACTCATGTAAATTTTTGGTCTTCATAACTTTGTGACTTTATCTTTAATTAAATTATTTATGGTTTAGGTCTGGTCTTTAGGTTTATGACTGGTCTTAAACTGGTCCAGAACCAGTAAAGTAAAAAAAAAAAATCCTTATAATAAGTTTTCCACCAGTTTTATTCAATATTACTACATTTTTGGAGAAATCTTTCAGAATTCCATTGATTTGAAAGTCTGCTCTGGGAGTTCATGAATAAAGCTGGGGTAACTGGGGAGAACCACAAAAAATAATTCTTTCTCTTTTGGTTGATAGAAACATTTATGTTCTATTGTATTGTTTTTAGAGACATGTTCTGAATCTGTCAAATTTATATCCGATTTTTCTGAAGAAGAGAGGACCACCCTCACTCAGACACCACCATTTACATGTACCAGACTTCTCCTGTTGAGATGAATAAGATGTATTATTAACCTCAGCTTTAATGCTATCGAGGTCACAAAAAAGAGGATGGAAATGTTTTTGGTGTGTTTTGTACCAGTTTAATGCACTGAAAAAAGGCACTGAATGACGTCACACATTCTTACACTGGAAAGAACATATGTGTTACTAATCAGACTGCAGAACTCCTTTAATGCATATGCAAGTAAATATTTTGTGTGAAATATGTTTAATTTAAAGTGAAAAATGCACTGTATTTAGAATAAATTATTATGAACTGTGTTTTTCCTTCTTATTACGTGAAAATAACACAGGGATCTTGAAAGTAGGAACATGAAAGTGTCTCTGAGCTTATAGCCCTGTTTCCACCTATACTCCACCCTTCTCTTCTCTACCCTAAACCACCCAACCCGACCCTACCCTATCCTCCTCCACCCTACCCTACTCTACTCAGTCTCTCTTGGCCGTAGTAGTTCTATCCAGGCTGAGTATTAAAGTGATCTAAAGGCCAGTGATTGGCCAGAGTGCTGCTGGAAGCCATGGTTAGCAAGGTTTATTTTTTCTGGATACTGGTTTGTTATGGGTAGGTTGCTAGGATACGGTACCAGATATTAAAGCTTAATGGAAACACAACAAAGTAGAGTAGGAGAAAGCTGAGTAGACTAGAATCAAATCAAGTATGTGTAGCCCGGTGGAAATTGGGTTTCAGATTAGGTACTGTACATGAAAAATCCGTAATTTACTTCAAAATTAAAGTTCAGTTCTTTGCGTTCAGCCTTGTCTCTGTAACGTAAACATACAGTATTATAAGGAACTTTGATAAACAGTACAAGCAGCACATCAGTTACATCAGATTCTACTCTGATAGACTATGATCCTGGCTCAACATTTATTACACGTTTAACTGGTGAAAAGTGCTGTAAAAGTACATCATTAAACTCACTTTGGATCCTTTTTACAGCAAGATTAAATGATCCGTTTTCCATCCAGTGAACTATGTGGAGCTCAGTTATGGGATGAGACGCACACTATCCCAGTCTGTTGTCTGTATGTGTAGGGCACAAGGCCATGAGATTATAAAGTGACCAGAGGTATGAGATTAGATATGAAATTATAAAGTGACCAGAGGTATGAGATTAGTTATGAGATTATAAAGTGACCGGAGGTGTGAGTCATTGGGGATCATTTGTACCTTGTGTGGTGTGGACTGTGAAGAGCTTTGTGTTGCCCTGTGTAGGAAAGGCGCTCTACTAATAAAGATTGATGGGTTACGTGCGAAAATGGATCATTATTCTCATAGTGTGATAAAGACACTAGTGATTCAGCTCCAGAGAGTGTGGACAGGGGGTTGATCTTTGACAGAAAACAATGAGAGGTCACGACCAGGGTGCCGGTTCCAAATTTGGACTGAAGCAGGAAGCTGATGTCATTAAACAGGAAGTGTGTGTTTCATACAATCTGAGAAGAATATTCATTTGAAAAGCATTCCAGCATAAGATTATGTGTCATCAGATATATCACTGCATCCAGTTTGGAGGTTAGAATACTTCCGATCCAGCAGGAAAGAACTGAACATGTGGAAGATTTAAAAGGAATAATAATGTAGGGATGAGAGAGAGACCAGAGAAAACAGAAAGAAACCAGAGAGACCAGAGAAACCAGAGAGAGGCCAGAAAGAGAGACTAGAGAGAGACCAGAGAGAAACCAGAGAGAGACCAGAGAGAGATCAGAGAGACCAAAGATAGAGGCCAGAGAGACAAGAGAGACCAAGGAGAGGCCAGAAAGAGAAACCAGAGATCAGAGTGAGACCAGACAGAGATCATAGAGAGAGAGAGACCAGAGACACATTGGTTAATATGGACTGATTGAGATCATATATACAGCGTGTCACTGCACCAGGAGTCTCCTTGACTTATGTTGTGTTCACTGTGAGTTAGATAAATATGATTGCTCACATCATTTCTCCTGACTCTGTGTCTACACTGCTCCTTGAATCTACACTAAAACCAAACAGACCCAAGGCCTGTTGTCTCAGCTGCTTTCACTGTGGAAGAGTTTGAGGTCGTAATGCCATAAACTAAGAGTAAACATTGTGATGTCTTTAGTGCTAAATGACTCCTGTGTCACCTGGAAACTGAAGAGGAAATGCTAAATATTAACTTTATGTTCAAATATAGGGCTGGACTTTCCAATGTGGCCTCAGCAGAGTTTAGCTTTACGTTTGACAACAGCTCCCCCGTGTGACATAAGAGTAAACTGCAAATGATGGTGATTTCTCAAAGGAGAAATCTCATGATTCACCATCCTGTGAAAATAATGTCTAAAGCCATCCATCCATCCATTTTCTACCCTTTAATCAATTTCTGGGTCAGGGGGCAATCTCTGAGCATAGCCTTGATCTTTCAGTGGGGGATTTGGGCAAAGTGGGGTCAAGTGTCTTGCCCAAGGACACAACGACAGCAGTCATCAGTGGGAGTCGGTGGAGAAGGTGTAGAGGTGGGAATTGAACCCACGACCTTCAGGCCTGAAGGCCAATGCTCTACCAACTGAGCTACTGTCTAAAGCAAATATACAGTGCCTTGCGAAAGTATTCGGCCCCCTTGAACCTTTCAACATTTCGCCACATTTCAGGTTTCAAATTTTTTGTCAAGAATCAACAACAAGTGGGACACATTTGTGAAGTGGAACGAAATTTATTGGATAATATAAACTTTTTTAACAAATAAAAAACTTAAAAGTGCGGCGTGCAATATTATTCGGCCCCCTTGCGCTAATACTTTGTAGCGCCACCTTTTGCTGCAATTACAGCTGCAAGTCGCTTGGGGTATGTCTCTATCAGTTTTGCACATCGAGAGACTGGAATTCTTGCCCATTCTTCCTTGCAAAACAGCTCGAGCTCAGTGAGGTTGGATTGAGAGCGTTTGTGAACAGCAGTCTTCAGCTCTTTCCACAGATTCTCGATTGGAATCAGGTCTGGACTTTGACTTGGCCATTCTAACACCTGGATACGTCTATTTGTGAACCATTCCATTGTAGATTTGGCTTTATGTTTTGGATCATTGTCCTGTTGGAAGATAAATCTCCGTCCCAGTCTCAGGTCTTTTGCAGACTCCAACAGGTTTTCTTCCAGAATGGTCCTGTATTTGGCTCCATCCATCTTCCCATCAATTTTAGTCATCTTCCCTGTCCCTGCTGAAGAAAAGCAGGCCCAAACCATGATGCTGCCACCACCATGTTTGACAGTGGGGATGGTGTGTTCAGGGTGATGAGCTGTGTTGCTTTTACGCCAAACATATCGTTTTGCATTATGGCCAAAAAGTTTGATTTTGGTTTCATCTGACCAGAGCACCTTCTTCCACATGTTTGGTGTGTCTCCCAGGTGGCTTGTGGCAAACTTTAAACAAGACTTTTTATGGATATCTTTGAGAAATGGCTTTCTTCTTGCCACTCTTCCATAAAGACCAGATTTGTGCAGTGCATGACTGATTGTTGTCCTATGGACAGACTCTCCCACCTCAGCTGTAGTTATCTGCAGTTCATCCAGAGTGATCATGGGCCTCTTGGCTGCATCTCTGATCAGTCTTCTCCTTGTTTGAGATGAAGGTTTGGAGGGACGGCCAGGTCTTGGTAGATTTGCAGTGGTCTGATACTCCTTCCATTTCAATATAATTGCTTGCACAGTGCTCCTTGAGATGTTTAAAGCTTGGGAAATCTTTTTGTATCCAAATCCAGCTTTAAACTTCTCCACAACAGTATCTCGGACCTGCCTGGTGTGTTCCTTTGTCTTCATGGTTCTCTCTGCGCTTTGAACACAACCCTGAGACTATCAAAGAGCAGGTGCATTTATACAGAGACTTGATTACACACAGGTACATTCTATTTATCATCATCAGTCATTTAGGACAACATTGGATCATTCAAAGATCCTCACTGAACTTCTGGAGTGAGTTTGCTGCACTGAAAGTAAAGGGGCCGAATAATATTGCACGCCCCACTTTTCAGTTTTTAATTTGTTAAAAAAGTTTAAATTATCCAATACATTTTGTTCCACTTCACGATTGTGTCCCACTTGTTGTTGATTCATGAAAAAACATCTTTATGTTTGAAGCCTGAAATGTGGCGAAATGTTGAAAGGTTCAAGGGGGCCGAATACTTTCACAAGGCACTGTACATATCCTTTTTTTGTATTTATTTATGTTTATTTGGATGTGACAGATTCATGAACAGCAGTGACTGTAAACACACCAGATTGTAGCACATGTAGCTAATTTCCCTGAGTAGTCCCACATTCAACCCTCACATATTGAACATATTTCAGTCGTAAGGGAAACCGGAGTACCCAGAGGAAACCAACGTAGGCACGGGGAGAACATGCAAATTCCACACAGAAAAGTCCTGGAGGTGGAATCAAACCCGGTGAAGTGCTATTCACTGCGCCACTGACTACAAGCAGGAAGTACAATCACACTAGTCTAGTTCTCAGGTCTCTGCACTTGCTTCTTGTGGCACAGAGAAGTAGTAGTAGTAGTAATCTTTATTTATATACCGCCTTTTCACTGCACATCGGAGTCTCAAAGCGGTTTACAATTGTGATTTTGGGAGTGGGGGTGCCAGTTCAGGAGGCACATGCCAGACCTATTGTACATATTTTTTAGTGGTAGGGGAAACCGGAGCACCCGGAGGAAACCTACGCAGACACGGGGAGAACATGCAAACTCCACTCAGAAAGGCCCTGGTCCAACCGGGATTCAACCTTCTTGCTGAGAGGCGAGAGTGCTATCCACTCAGCCACCGTGCCGCCCAATATACTTAAATAGAGAATACCAGAATAGACTTAAAACCAGCTGTTTACGTACAAGTCTCTCCATGGCCTAGCACTAAAGTACATATGTGACATGTTAGTGCCACATGAACAAACTCTGAGGAGCACAGGGACGGGCCTCCTGCTGGTGCCAAGTCAGGACTAAACATGAGGAGGCAGCTTTTCAGATTTATGCAGCCAAAATCTTTAGTCTTCCTAATAACATTAGACAGGTTTCTATTCGGATACTGTTCAAATCCATGTAAAAACAGTAGTGTGATTATGACTTTAAATACTTTGTGTTACCTTGAGTACAAACTGTGCTCTACAAATAGATTTGCCATGCCTTATTGTCAAAATGAAATACAATTTGAGTGGCAGACATCACCTTTAGAAAACCATGAGACAGAAAAAGAGAAAAATAATCAAACCGAAAAGACATATTGACAAGTACTTTATTACAGAACGAAACACATTTCCGGACCACTCTCAGCAGTTTAACTAAAAACACTGCGTCAGAATTAATACTGGACGTTAGAATAGTTTCTCCTCATCTCTGTTTTAATGTTAAAAGTAATCTATTGTGATTGTCAGTTGCTAATGTTAAAAATAAAGAGAAAATTGAATGTGTTGACCGGAAGATATAGGACAACATTTTACAGTTTAAAAGCATTTACAGCCATTGTCCTGGTTTTGTATTTCTGCATTTTATTCCTGTATGCTCTCTCATCTTCTGGGGATAGGTTCCAGATTGGTCTCTAATAATTGGTCCATTCTGGATTTACAAATTCAAAAAAGTTTTAAATAAATGGGGAACAAAACATCTTCACCATAGACTGTGTATAAGGAGAGGACCAATCTCAGAGTGTTACGACTGAAGTTTACCCCCTGAATGAAGGCATGTGATTGGTCCATCCTTATGTGGCTCATATGTGGATTCACAAAGACAAAGTCAGAATATAAACACCAGGATTGCAGAGAGCAACTAAACCACAGAATTTTAAAAGACCCAAATATTGAGCGTTACGGTTAGCAAATTAGCATTGACCATCTATACACAGTCTAGTATCTTCACTGGAAAAATTGTAGGCCAAAAATGTCTTTATTTGATGTTAGTAAATTTGTCAGTCTTAAAACAACAATTGCCAATGAGACAAGCAAGAATGCCTAAATTCTCACTTGGAATAAGTAAAACAGATCTTGTGCTATTGGCAAATGTTAAGACAAATAAGAAAAACACTTTACAGAATTAGCATGGTCAATTCTCTTACACAGTGATCGGGAGAAGCTGGAAAAGCAGTGGACCAATGGACCGCAAACACAAGAATGCATACAGTAGTATAGACATTTTAATCTCTGTTGAGTAATTTAGTATTATTATGTCATCAGTTCTTTGAGGTAGATGCTCTGCCTGAGAAAGCAGTAAATATGTCAGATCGTTGTGGGGTATGTCAATGGATACAAGTTTGTACCGGAGAAATGGAGACTAAGAAGGCCATTTTTATTGTTTATAATGGAAAAAAATGAGCAACTGAGGTGAATCAATGTAAAGAAAACAAATGTATAGGACTTTGCATTGTATAGTAGATAAATAGCTGTTCAAACATAAAACTACTCATTATCTTTTGGATAATTTCTCAAAGTACCAGTCTGAGCAGAGAACAGAACAATCAATTAGAGCTACTTTCTTGAAATCCATTGATCCACGTTCACATAACCATCATATGTAACTTTTATGGTCTGAGTGCAAATCTCTTGTAAATAATGAAGATAAAAAGTGCAAAAACAAAGTTCATGTGGAAGGAAAACAAGGCTTCTGTGATTATTAAGAGCGTCGAGAGATTTCTTCAGCAGGTTGTCTGCTTGGCTTCAGCAGTAACCCAGTCACCATAACATGAGAAGAACCACTTGGACTTCATATTGATGGATGTGCAACTATTTGAAAATACTGAAATGTTTTTTAACACCAAGTTCACCATTATGTTCAATTCCATAGAAAATTAAAAAAGGGAGGGAATAAAGAAATATCATTGAACACTACCCGTCCCTTGTATCAAACCTCTTTATTCTAATACTTCTGGACCTGAATTTAAAAATATTGATTAGAAACATTAATGCAATTCTAATCAAGTTTCAATATTTAGTGTAATTTAGTTAATATAATGTACAGTATCAAATCTTAATCATTATGCTATTATTATCATATATGTTTTTATTGCATTTCTTATGATAAAATAGTTTGATTCTCTGATCTGTTGTTGAGTAATCGCCCTGTAAGATGACTGCTGTTGTGATTTAAGCTTATACACAAATGCATTGAAATTAAGTTACACAACATTAAAATCTCATCAATAGGAGTAACACCTGTGTCCAACATTATACTGCATTTTGAGGCAATTAGCTTTGTACATACACTTTTTTTTTCATACTTATACTCGGTCAAGGCCATGACAGACTGATTGAGCTGGCGGGGTATGCGGTCTCCGAGTGCACCTTCTAGTTATTCCTCTTTAATTGATGGTGACTGGGTTGACTAAAGCTGAACATTTTAGCACAAGAATTGTAGGAACCAACCCAACCCTTCTTTCTGAACACACCTGGTCCAGTTCCATTCTCCAGCAGGTTCCTTTGGCACCATCTCGCTCCAAGGAGAAGCGTCTGACGGGAAACAGTTCAGTGTCCGGCTCCACAGCGCCCTCATGCTGTCACCGGCTGGCAGTTCGTACAGCTGTGGATTTGTCGCTGTCTGAAAGTTTGAAGCTGAACTGTGCATCTACTGACCCCGTACGTCTTGAGCAGCAGGTGACGAGCTTGGGACTGGACCTCCTCCCAGTTTCTGCCACCGGAGGGTGCTGTGGAGAGATCAAAAGGAACCACTATTTAGTATCGTGTATGTAATATCTACCAAATTAGTTATCAAATAGGAGTTAGATATAGGAGTCAAGATGCTACTCATGTATGAGCATAGGTACTGTAAAAGTGTTAAGCTTTTACAGTTTTTGAGCTCGAACAGGCTATTTCAGTGGAAATGTGGAGCCAAATGTATTCCAAGTACCAATCAGGAGCAGTGCTGGTCTGTCTCTGCTTGTGCTACTAGCTAGCTAAAGCCAAATGCGACAACAGAAGTCTCCTGATTAGTCTTTTGCGAGGGCTCATATCTGGATTTACAGAGGGGCTGGATGCTCCATTAGAGGAGCTTGGAGTAGAGCCGCTGCTTCTCCACGTCAAGAGGAGCCAGTTGAGGTGGCTCTGAGGAGCTGTTCCAGGCATGTACCAACAGGAGAAGACCAGGGGAAGACCCAGGACACGTTGGAGGGACTATGTTTTTCAGCTGGCCTGGGAACGCCTCAGGATTCCCCCAGATGAGCTGGAGGAAGTGTGTGTGGAAAGGAAGTCTAGGTGTTTCTACTCAGACTGATGCCCCCGCAATACAGCAATGGATAAAGTGGAAGAAAATGGATGGCTAGCTGGACAGTTAAACGCAGGATCGATAGACTGGCACAGCTGGCACAGATATGTTGGCTTTGATGGAGCAGGAGTGACTCACTGAGCTGGAGATGCACTAAAGCCTCTGTCTTGTCCCCGGTCAGAGCCCAGATGTTCAGCTCGTCCACAGACTGAACGTCCTCCAGTTTCAGGAGATCTTCTCTGATTCTCTGAGTGTCCAAATGTCGTGGGACGCCTGAGAGGAAACAAAACAACTCAGGATCGTGTATGTCTTTTCTGTTGTAGGCGAAATGAACTTTACCTTCAAGTACGATGACAGCTGTATCTCTGAGGATTCGGAATGTGGTGCAGAGGACCAACGCTGAGAATATATATGTGCAGATAGGATCGGCCAGTTTATACTCCGGCTACAAACACAAGGGAAAGACAGATGTAGTGCACTGGTGTCAAACACAAGGCCCTCAAAACAAAAAACCATAGTATAATAATTTGAACCCAAAATAAAATAAATCATTCCATATGAACCAACTGGGACTGAGTTGCCTTGTATATGAACTGTGCTATATAAATACACTTGCCTTGAATGTTTTGAAGTAGACACATTTAGGGTCATTTATGCTCTTTATTAATACTGTAAAAAAGTAAGAAAAAACCACACATGCGCAATGTTGACTTCAAAATAGAATAAAAAATGTCTTGAACTGACCTTAAATCGGACGATATATGCCGCGATGAGGACCCCGATGCTCTGGAGCAGGTCTCCTAATGCGTGGATGAAGGCGGCGCGGACTGCCAGACTCCCGTGGGCCTTTTGCGGCTGGCCCTCCACCGCTGCCGGACTGTGGGAGTGACCGTGACCATGGGAGTGACCGTGACCGTGGGAGTGGAGGTGTCCATTCTGGTTTAACAAGAAACCCATTCTACAGAGACAGGAGAGCAGGTGTGATGTCAAAAACAAGACATCAGCCATAATTTCTGTTCATATTTACTTTAGACTGTGAAAGGATTTACTATGTATCTAATAAATGGATGGCCGCCAATTCAAATAAATATAATAATATAATATAATATAATATTATGATCTCAAAAGTCAAAGATAAAATGAAGATTATTTTTCTTACATCAGGTTGACTGCGACGCCCACAGCTGCAGTGATGAGCATGACGTCTCCATCGATGTCAAAGTCCTGGCTCATGGTCCTCTGAACGGCCTCAAAGACGAGGACTGCGGTCAGGATGTAGATCAGCATCACACTGAGCACCGCGGACACCACCTCTGCAGGAAACACCAAACATCAATCGACTATACATGAAGAGTCCCATGCAACTATTCACTCGTCGACCCATTGTGTGTTTCATGGCATGATGATGGGACCCCTGAAACCAGCCTCTTTTATCTGCACCTGTGGACTGGTCTCCCCCTGGCTTGGACTTGTGGCCTACACCTCCCTTCCTGGAGCCTCCTCAGTCCTGCATCAGACAGCCTCAGTCCACACTCGACAGCACAAGTCCTGGATATATAACAGCCCTTGCGAGTGGATCCCTGACTCAAAGGAGCTTTACCAGTTTCTGCAAGGTTTTTTCCAGTTTGAATGTTTAGCACCGCCCCCCAACTCACTCACAGGCTTCTCATTTCGCCTACGCTCTCCTCCCACGAAGCCCTCTAGTTTTGTCTGCGATCTGATACGTATGCAAACATTAGCATTAGTGCACCTTATTGTAAGCTGTACAACAATCACTGATGAAATGGTACAAAAGCAATGCACTGCTAACAAAATGTATAACTGAAAGATTTCCGCTAGTTTTGCGTCCAAATGTAGTCCGAGGGGTCCCGCTCCCACAGGTTCACCCCGGCTTGATTTCTTCTTTGATAATTTGTTCGCTTTAGATCCCTCTTCTCTTCCTCACTGTTGTGTCGTTTGGGCTGTTTTGCTGTGTATGCCGTTATAGCAAGAGGAGTTATAGCCAGTTCTGCAAACATGCTACTGTGTTTACCAGCACTGTAGAGGCTAGAGGACACAGTCTCGTTCTGTGATTGGAGGAGAGCGGGTATCACGCTAAGTCTCTACTCAGCACTTTTTACGGCCTGAACTCATACACAAGCTGAATCAATGAGCTCAAGTTTTCAATTAAATTACAAATTATTTTAATACAACTTGTATGTAGTAATACACATTTTTATGAACTCATTAGAAAAAAAATTGGGTATAGCTTCTTTAAAGTGAGCTTCCTCAAGGTTTTTTTTTAGAGGTTCCTTACCGATGCAGGTGGGTCTAACGACAGTGAGGATCCGGTGCGTCTATGGACAATGTTCATCCCGCTTTTCTATGGACCAATGGCTCCAGTGTGTTTGTTATTATTACATTAATGTCCCTAAATGTCCCGGATGATCACGAGTGGTTGCAATGTTTTGGCTGGCTTAGTCTTGTTTTAGAGTTGGTTGGGGTTGATCATTACCTACAGTGGCATTGAGTTTCCATGATCAGGCCGAAGAGGAAGTGAAAGACAGTGTGTGTTTTTTGTGTGAGAGATCCACCGTACCTAGTCTGTGCAGTCCAAAGGTGAATCTCTTTGTCGGAGGTTTGGTAGAGAGCCACAAAGCCAGAAGAGAAAACAAAATGCCCACTACATCTGTCAGCATGTGCACAGCATCTGTCATTATGGCCAAGCTGTTGGACACGTAGCCACCTGAAGAAACACAGAACAAAGACTTGAGATAAAGATCTTGAATTGACCTTGGGGGGAAAAGTGTCCTCTGCGTTTGACCCATCCTTTACTGCCACAGGAGAACCTGATGAGGAAAACCAGTCGCCTCTAATAATAAAAATAATGCATTGGTTTTATAAAGCGCTTTTTTGGACACTCAAAGACGCTTTACATGTCATTATGCATTCACTCCATACACGGTGGTGATAAACTACTACTGTAGCCACAGCTGCCCTGAGGCCACTATTCGGATTTGATAAAATTGCAAATAAGCCAATTTACTACAGAGAATGTGATTCAATTTTTACTTTTGCTGGCATAAAGTTCTTCTGTAGTCATTTGAAGGCTTAAAAGCACTATAATAAAAGAGTTGGTCTTCATTACTTTTTCTGCTTCTATGTATTTTATTTCTATATGGCTCACTCCACACTAATGCGTTCAATTTTGGTCAATGACACAAAAAAAGTCCCGAAATGTCCGCGGTCACTACTGCTAAATGTTCACAGACCCACTCTTGTTTTGTTTCCAGCTTGTTTGTCCAGTGAAGGGGGTACCTAAACACTGATTTGTTCACGCCGTTACGTTTAGAACGTAACAAAAGTGGACACTATTGTTATGAGAGCTGCCACCCAATGCTCATAGCACCAGTCCCTCGCTGATCCTCTGCAGGTGGTGAGTCCACAGGAAGATGGCGTTTCAGCGGGAGCTTCAGGCAATGTGGGTTAAGTGTCTTGCCCTATTACACAACGACAGCAGACATTGGTGGGAGCAGTTGGAGTAGGTCCCATATAAAAAAATCTAGATCTGAATTTTAAATGGCTACTTGGAACAAACATTCTGTGGAAGTTTTAGCAACTTCTCGAGGTGCTGGTCCTGGACTCAGCTTGCAGCAAGTGCTAGTTACCATAGCAACACACGGTTCACGTTACAGCAATTAGCCTTTCAACAGAACAGTTTCTCTGTATTTCATGTTCACCATAAGAATGTGTACAGTTTACTGAATGCTTGTTTAATTTTTTTAAACAGTTTTTGGGGATTTTTTCAGAACTGAATGGGTACCTTCACAATAACTGCCCAGGAAGTTCAAGTAGTTTCAGAATTCTGTTTTAAAAGGTAAAAAAAAGCTATTTTCAGAGCTAGAAGAAGCAAATATTAAAGCCCAAAAAACAGGATTGGTATAGGACAGGAGAGAGAGTGTGTCCCCACAGTAACATTTGATCTGGATAATGTTTGAAGTGTGATACAAAAGAATAAAAGTTTAAAATGTAACATCACAAAAAAGAGTAAGATTAAAGATAAAAGAGATCCTTTATTTGTCTCACAGTGAGGAAATTTCAGAACAAACACTGCAACCCCCCTTGAACCTTTCAACATTTCGCCACATTTCAGGCTTCAAACATAAAAATATAAAAATTTTGTCATGAATCAACAACAAGTGGGACACAATCGTGAAGTAGAACAAAATGTATTGGATAATTTAAACTTTTAGAAAAAATAAAAAACTGAAAAGTGGGGCGTGCAATATTATTCAGCCCCTTTACTTTCAGTGCAGCAAACTCACTCCAGAAGTTCAGTGAGGATCTTTGAATGATCCAATGTTGTCCTAAATGACTGATGATGATAAATAGAATGCACCTGTGTGTAATCAAGTCTCCGTATAAATGCACCTGCTCTTTGATAGTCTCAGGGTTCTGTTTAAAGCACAGAGAGAACCATGAAGACAAAGAAACACACCAGGCGGGTCCGAGATACTGTTGTGGAGAAGTTTAAAGCCGGATTTGGATACAAAAAGATTTCCCAAGCTTCAAACATCTCAAGGAGCACTGTGCAAGCAATTATATTGAAATGGAAGGAGTATCAGACCACTGCAAATCGACCAAGACCTGGCCATCCCTCCAAACTATTTTATTTGTATAGACTGACAGTTGTTTTTGATTGAGACACAAAATTCCATAAGAGTCTGGTGAACTACAGTGGCTGTTGGAGCCTAAATAGAAGTTGAGTTGTTTTGATTATATTTTGATTCAATCAAATAATAATACAAACAAAATATAAATGTAACACATTATTTTTGTGATTAGATAAGAATTATGATTTGGCAACTAACTTTGGTATATTTTGCAACTAATTTAGTTAATTGTTTTGTTATTCATTATTGCTAAAGTTTAGCATGGATTCATTTTGATTTAATATATTGTATGTTTTCTGCGTCCTGGCCCAGGCTAGTTAAGGCACAGGTGTACCAGGGGAAAGCGTGGAGTGTGGAGTGGAGCCACACAGTTATTTGACCTCTCTACTCTCTCCTCGTCTATAAGTCCTTTTCCTTTTTGTCCAGAATGTGTGTTTTTGTGCGAATACTCAGTAAAGAGTTTTTAATTGCATCTTACTGTTCCATGGTTTTTATTCACTCGCACTGTACACTATGGATTATGGTTTAAGAGCGTCAACTACACGGCTTCACTTTTACTCAAAAGTTTGGACACCCCTGACATAAACTATAATTGAGAAACTTGTTTTTCCTTTGCGGATGATCGCTAAAACACAGCCCTGTGTAAAGTGGTCAGGCATTACTCATTACTCATGTTTAACTGTGTGTTGTGTAACTGCATATAAAGATCGCTCTTCAATTTCAACAGTTTAATGTTTAGTCTGAAACATGTTGTTTACATAAAAGTATGATTCACTTGAAAATGGCAACACGTCAATCTGGCATCATAATCCACTAGTTAACGTCAGACAAGTCATCTTCATTTATGTAGCGCAAGCCGCAACTGGCCCGCTTGGTTTGCCCATCACATTTGAGTAAAGGCCACTTCAGTTCACCAGACTTTTATGGAATTTTGTGACGCAATCAAAATCAACAGTCAGTAGGCTCTGAGCTTTACAACAAGGTACAGCGTGACTATATTGGTGGAGCTTAAGTTGGCTGGATGACTCTGACAAAGTGCACATCACATGAAAGTTGTAATAACTGGAATATGGAAAAGCCTTATGCTACGTCTATGTCTAAAAAGGTAACTAAAAACTCAATACTTAAAAAGATATAATGTGGGACAATAGCATACTAATAATTATTTTTCCAAGTTTACATATAAGCAATATATACACAAGTTGGAGTGAACTTGCCTCAAACAAATAAAAGTGGTGAAAATACAGATCCACTGTGCCACTCCCAAACTTCACTTAATGAAGAGTAGAACTTGTTGGATGAGTCAAAACCACTGAAGAATCTTGTGTTGATTGTTATTTATCAACACCGGTCTCACGCTCCATCCTTCCCTCGCTGAGCACCACTTGAACTCCTCCACTTGATTCTTTTAGCTTAACTGTTTGTGTTCTGAAATTTCCTCACAGTGAGACGATTAAAGGATCTCTTTTAGGGCAGCACAATATTGGAAATTAGAGCGATATTCGATATGAGTGTTTAACAATATTATCTCATATTTTTGTCTTTCACCTAAAATTGCAATCTGCATTGAAACGCAAGAGACAATAAACAAAAAATAACATTCATGACATTCAAATGCATATATTTATATACTTTTTTGTTGAATGTTGATGTGTCTGTTTGGTTAAAGGCAACAAAAAAAATGATTGCGCATTTTTTCGATATGGATATTGCACATACCAATATTGCAATTAACGCTATTTTTTTAATATTGTACAGCCCTAATCTTTCTTCTTCTATCTTTAATCTGTCTTTTTTGTGATGTTACAATAGAATACAAGTTTAAAATGTATCACACACACAAACATTATCCAGATCAAATGTTGCTGTGGGAACACACTCTCTCCTGTCCGATACCAATCCTGTTTTTTGGGCTTTAATATTTGCTTCTTCTAGCTCTGAAAATAGCTTTTTTTTTCTTTTAGCACAGAATTCTGTTATTACTAGAACTTCCTGGGCAGTTATTTTGACAGCTCCTACACAGTTCTGAAAGAAAACTGTTTTAAAAAAATTAAACATGTGCACAGTTTACTGAATGCTTATTATGGTGGAGAAACTGTTCTGTTGAAAAGCTAATTGCTTTACTGTAAACCATATGTTGCTATGGTAACTAACATTTGTTTCAAGCTGACATTGCTCTGAACCAGTCCAGGACCAGCACCATGATAAAAGTTTCAAAACTGCCATGGCCATTTAAAATTCAAATCTAGATTAATAAGCCTTCCTCAATTTACAAATGTATAATATAAAAACTATAACAATCCCCTTGAGGTGCTCCTATGGCCGACTCCTGTGGCCCACAGAGGAAGTTTGCCATGCCCGGTGCAGACTGATATTTAGGATAACGTAATAAAGGAATTGTGTTTTAAGAGCAATTATGGAACAATAATCCTCAAAACCAAACATGTTTTCCCAAATGACAGCATTGCCTTTATACCTTTACATGTATAAAACCAGAAGAGTGTAAAAGTCTACAAAGACATGTCTGGTATAATCTTCCCATAGGATCTATATATAAAAGTTGTAATACATTGCAGGAAGTCCTTACCTATAATTTCCCCGGTCATGAAGAGGAAGTACAGCAGCGCAGCGACAATCAGCCTCTTCATCACTTTCTTATGTTTTACAGCCTCTTTCCTCCTGACGCAGGTTCCACACGGCTCCGTTCCGGCCCCAGGACTTTCAAAACTCGCATCCAGCATCAAATCATCATCGTCCACTGCTCCGACCAACAGCGTATTCACCGCCGAGCCGTTAGAAGCAACTCCAGAAGAGGAAATATCCGTCATTTCCCCGGATACGACCACTCTCAGCTTGTTGAACTTAGGTCCGTCGTCATCGGCCAGTTCATCTGAAAACTCAAAAGGTACCGTGTCGCTCAAGTCCCAGTCGCTTCTGTCTTTTCTGAAAGCGGACCTCATTTTGCTCAGAAAGCTTCCTCCCGACATGGTGGTAAAAACCAGAGGGCAAAGGGTATCTGGGAGAAAATAATGGAAGTGAGTGGATCAGGTAATCATTGATCCAGCTCAAAGAGGCGGCGGTGACAGGAGAGCAGCATCTCGGGCCTGAAGTCTGTGAATCAGCTTCTGTGGGAGAAACACATCCAGCTGAGGTCAGACTGAGCACACAAACACTACTTTAACATAATTACTGTACTGACATACCATTCAATAATTGGGACGTAATGTTTTTCTCCATATATACTTAACATTTTAAGTCTGTATATTTTCTTTGCGGTAGTAAATAAATGAAAGTCAGGGCATTTTCTTTTTTTTTTTTATTTAATCTAATATGGCTCATTGTGTAGAGTGACAATCGTTGTGTCAGAGGAAGTCCTTTATCACATTACAGCTCAAGAGGAACGGATCCTACACAAAAAAAGGAGCGTGGGAGCAGATCCCTCTCTCAATGTCAGATTTTCCAAGGTTTCTCACTTTTTTTGAGTGGTTCCTTGCCAATGCAGGAGGGACTAAGGACAGTGACAAACCAGGACATTTAGGGACACTTATGGACAGAAGACATTCCAATGGCTCCTATGTGTTTGTTATTATTGCATTTCCGGTGTTCAAACTGCTTGATTCTCTGATCAGTGTTTTAGTGCAATTAATGATTATAAACACTTAATTACCAGAGAAAGACCAGAGACAGACCAGAGAGTGAAACCAGAGAGCGACCAGAGAGAGCGACCAGAGAGAGCGACCAGAGAGAGCGACCAGAGAGAGAGACCAGAGAGAGACCAGAGAGAGCGACCAGAGAGAGCGACCAGAGAGAGCGACCAGAGAGAGCGACCAGAGAGAGCGACCAGAGAGAGCGACCAGAGAGAGCGACCAGAGAGAGCGACCAGAGAGAGAGACCAGAGAGAGAAACCAGAGAGAGAAACCAGAGAGAAACCAGAGAGTGACCAGAGAGTGACCAGAGCCTCAAAAGGGAAAGATGTATTGTACCAGGTTATAGCTCACGAGCTAATTTACACCCGTAGTCCCCGGGCTGATGTTATGACATTACATTAAAATAACAAACATACATGTTGTATTGTAAACTCATCAGAACTAGCTTCAAAGTTAAACCCTGTTTGAATGCATTTACCAAGTTTATATAATTTGATTGGCTTGAACCAGAAAGTACGTCCGCCCACTCCAGTCCTCAGATCTCTGCACAGGTTTATTGCGGCTCAGAGAATAGACTCCTGCTGGTCCCAGAGTCTGGACTAAACACAGGGTGGCAGAGTTTCAGATTTATGCTAAAAACTGAAAGTCTTCTTGAAAATGTGAGAAAGGCTTCTACTCTGACAATGTTCAAATCCGGTTAACAACAGTTCTGTTTAGCTGTGCATACAAATGAAGGATTTTATATTCACTCTTTTCAATGCCTTGCTGGATTTTGAAGTTTCTTTTCTTGTTAAAAGGTGCCGTAAAGGATTCAGGTTAGCTCCACCTCCCCCTTGCTCTCCACCAAACTTAACTCCCAGCACACATGAACAGCATTTCTATAATAATGCAGTCTGAGACAAAGTCTCCCAGCTTGATATGCGAAAGCATTACACTACAATAGGGCTCAAGTCTGTGTTGTTTGCCTGCCATACTTGAAAAGCGCTAGCTTCCCCTAACAAACTAGCAATTAGAAAAACTCGACTGCCGTTGCATTAAATAGCCCTGGCTGCGTCCCGAGTCTTCTTATACCACACCTTTTTCTCATCTGGTTATCTCTTCTTTGCCAAAACAGAGCAAGTGGCAAACATGAAATTGGCACTAGTTGACTACTGTAAAGGTTCCAGCCACACACTCATTCATCCACATTCACATGGGCGGCACGGTGGCTGAGTGGATAGCACTCTCGCCTCTCAGCAAGGAGGTCCTGGGTTCGAATCCCGGTCGGAATAGGGTCTTTCTGAGTGGAGTTTACATGTTCTCCCCGTGCCTGCATAAGTTTCCTCCGGGTACTACTTCCTTAGGTTTCCCCTAACACTAAAAACATGCTCACTAGGTTAAATCCTCTAGCTCAGGTACCAGCTCAGCTACCTCTCGGCAGTAGTGGGCATGGGCCTGGCTGGTTGGCTTTCAGGCTAAATTTGGACTACCTCCTCACTTCATGTAAGCAGCGCACGGCCAGATGTTATAATTTATCAGTCCAATGCAAGGAAGAATGTAATATCCATGAACAGGAAATTGTTCTGTCCAAACAGCAAACATCCTTGCCCTGTGTACATAATAATTGGTTGTCAACTTGATTATCCACATGTAATTTGATGAGAGGACTAAATTGGCTTTACTATCTCTGAGTACAATCACTGGCCTCATACCACACAGGAATTGAAAGTATAAAATAGGTTTAAACATTCCTCTTTAAAATGTGGCTTAGTAGGTAAGACTTAGAAGTACAACCTCAAGTCAAATACACAGATTGTTAGTCAAGCTGCACATGGAGACGCTGTAGAAGTAACCTACATGAGTACAGCACGATCCTCTCCTCTTCCTACTTTATCTGTCATCATAATGAGTTCAGCTGTAGTCTGTTCGCTGCTATTCATCCATTGTCCCATCGCCTGTTTCATGGCGTGATGATGGGACCCCTGAATCCAGCCTCTTTCTTCTGCACTTGTGAACTGGTCTCCCCCGTCGTCCTCGTTCTACAGCCAGAGTCCTGAATCTATATCCCCAGTCCTGGATGTCCTGGAGAGGATCCCTCTATCTCAGCATGAGCCTTCCAGAGGTGTCTCACTTATTTCCCACTTTTCTCCTCTGCTCCCTATGGAATAACGGCTCCATGTGTTTGTTATGGTTGCAAAACTGATTCTCTGATCTGTTGCTTGTGAATCGAAGACTTTTTAAAGTCCTCGGAGTCAACTCCTGTTGTGATTTAGGGCTATACACAAATACATTTAATTGCAAAATTAAATTGAATTGTATTAAAAGAGCCCAGAAGCAATATCTCAAATAGAACTTATCTTAAAAATAACTTTAGTAAACGGGAAAACACTAGGTCACTTTTTAATCCCGCAGTGGAGATATTTTCCATATTATAATATCTTGGATCTAGGCCGAAAGGAAAGGGTTGACCTTTCACTACAAAGTCATGGGATCTATACGCAACGCTGGCAATGTGGGAAAAGTACACTTCAGCATTTAAAGACGATTAAAAGACTCTTAACAAGACCAACCATCACTGAGAGAGCTGAAGTTTACTACAGTACTGGCTAAACAGTAACAGGCTATTAGCCACCAGCACATCTGCTACCCGATATAAGGTCAAGAAAAAATACTCATAAAGCTATGATTTACTATAAAACGTATGCTACACTTACCTACAAATCGCCGTGTGAATTTGACAGGTTCATGTCCTGTTCAGTCTTGAAACCCTCATAATGCGTAGACTCACGGCAACTCGAGTCGCCTACTCAACTAGGAAGTAATGCCAGAGACTCTTTAAACAGAAGAGATCACGATACAAAGCGAAACATACAGTCTATGAACAAAACAAACACGTAGCTGTTGAACGATTCAGTATCTATCTGAATGTTATTGATTAATTTAATTGTATTATGTTGAATAATACATCGACGATAATTCGACTGTGTATCCATACATTTCATTATGGTGAAAAGATGTGATTTATAAAAGGGTAAGTTGTTTTTAATTTTCTAATGAAATGAATGATTGTAAATCATTTCCAAATATCTATCTATATATTATTTCAAGCCTAAGCAATTTACGTAGGAGAAATACACAGGCCGATTTTGCGTGCGTTATCTCGTCAGTTTAAACGTATCTTTCGTGCACTGCACGTCGTCACGTGAGTCTGCAGCTAATCAGTCACATGAGTTTTTTGCTAGATCCAGCATAAACATCCTCTTTTTCACGCTTTCTCGGTTTAAATACACGTTTTACGTTAAACAAACGAATCCACAACATAACGTAAGTAATATTTTAGTACGAGCTTTTCAGAAAACATGAATTATGCCCTTTAGTTTTGACATTTGCGTTATCTTGCTAGCTCCCTGCTTGATGGGTTGTGATGTTTTGACATTATTTTGACAGCTTCTTCGCGAGCTAAAACGTGCATTGATAACATCTAGTTGTAGAATATCTTCGTAATGTTTGGAATGCCTGATGCTGTCGCCTGTTTCTGGTTTTACTGGAAGGTTTGCCCATTACTCTTGTAGTCCATGGAGGCGGAGGGGAGAGGGGGCGAAACACCACTGTCCCACAATGACCACACTCAGAAAAGTCAAGGTATGTAGCTGGCTGACACACTCAGTTCTGCTTTTTAAAGTGCCATCCATGTATTTTCTTCCGCTTTATCCGTTGTCTGGTCACGGAGGCAGCTGTCTTAGTAGAGAGATGACTAGACTTCCCTCTCCACACACACACTTCGTCCAGCTCATCCAGGGGAATACCAAGGCATTCCCAGGCCAGCTGAGAGACACAGTCCCTCCAACATGTCCTGGATCTTTCCTTTGGCTTCTCCCCCGGTGGGACTTGCCTAGAACACCTCCCCAGGGAGGCATTCAGGAGGCATCCTAAACAGATGCCAGAGCTAAATCAACTGAGTCCTCTTGGAGGGAGAGAAGCAGCGGCTCTACTCTGAGCTTCTCCCATGTGACAGAGCTCTCACCCTCTCTCTGAGGGGTTGCCCAGCCACTCTGCAGAGGAAACTCATGTGGGCCTCGCTTATATCCACAATCTCGTCCTTTCCATCAATACCCAAAGCCCAGGACCAGAGGTGAGGGAGCTTTGACTTTCGACTCGGCTCCCTCTTCACCAAAACTGCCTCCCTAGGTTTAGTCTTGACTCTGGGCACCAACAGATTGCCATTCCCTGTGCTCCTCAGAGTCCAAGTTGCTTCAATAGGCAATAACCTGTCATAGATGTACTTTGGTGTGAGGCCATGGAGAGACTTGTACACAATGGAGCTGCTTTAAAGTCTATTTTCTGAGCCTCAGGAAGCCAGTGCCAGGCAAGCATTTGCCAAAAGTGACACGAGTATCCTCAAAAGAGTTGTTTTTCTACACAATCTTTAGAAACAAAGCTTTGACAAATTGTGGCTTTGACGCACATTCAACAAAGAGGTCAGAACTGAAACTAGAAACCACACTTTCAACAATGGCCCTTCCATTGTTGCAGGTATCAGTTTAACATGATACAGGTAGAAACAGATAATAATCCGTCACACAAATGCTGATAAACGATGGATGTTATATAACTCTGTCCTGATAAATAAATTAGACAATTAAGAGTATATTTTTATAGCAAGACACTTAACCCCACTTTGCCCAAAGCCCCCACTGAAAGATCAAGGCTATGCTCACAGTCAGAGAGCAGCCGTCCTCCTGTGGACTCACCACCTGCAGAGGGTCAGTGAGGGGCTGGTGCTATGAGACTTGGGTGGCATCTCTGACTGCCACCCCCCTGACCCAGAAATGGATTAAAGGGTAGAAAATGGATGGATGGATGGATGGAGTATATTTTTCCCTGTTATAAATGTCCCTTGATTCGGTTTGAAAAGGGAGTCTTTGGATTGTCTACTACCGGCTACTCAATCTCTGCATGGTTTTGTTATTGCTGTTTTATTGTATGGAACTATATAACATAGTAGAATTGACATGAATTGACTGATAAAGTGAAATGGTTTGTTACAGTGTATATCACTTTCACCGCAGTGGAATTAACTATAACTGCAACGTTTGGCTGGAAATAGCTGTGATTCCTGATTGACGGCCAGGAATCATCAGAGAGCGTGACAGCTTTGGTTTTCTCCAAAGCCTGTTGTACCTTTACGTTCCTGACACACCGAAAGGCCTGAGCAGCGGCGTGCGTAGGAGGCAGCTGGACTGATTTCAGATATGTGCTCGTGGTAGAAGCCTGGAGCACAACACACGCTGCACCGAGCTCCGCGGCCGGTGCGCAGTGAAGTGGCTTTCAGTCAAAAGACATACTATTAAAAAAAGGAAAATGGGTTTCCATTAGCGTTGTTATTAACACATTTGACTGACAGCACTAAAATGAAAACTCTGACCATTTTTAGTGGGTAAAAAACTCTGACCAAGAGTGGATCCATTCATCCTCCATTTTCTTCCGGTTTATTCTTTGCCAGGTCGCAGGGGGCAACAGTCTAAGCAGAGATGCCCAGACTTCCCTTTGAGTGGATTAGGGAATAATTATCATGATTAATTTGGACTAGTCACGATACTATAATTAGATACCCGTTACAAATTTCAATGCTTGACTGAACCTTTTGAAAGTTCTTTTTTTGGAATATACACTTACATTATAAACCTTTTTTATGGAAACACAAGGGGTTATCTTGGCACAACCTTTTCATTATGGTTTTAGGAACATCAAAGCCTTCCAAACATGCAGGAAAATAAATAACAAACACATGATGTATCTCACGTTGCATGTAATGGGACCAGCAAGGCCAGTTTAGGCCTATTCATACTCAGGCCTCAAATTATTTTAGGTTATTATTCTTACACATTTTCTTCTAACCCTATATTCGATGTATGCTGGGGCCTAATCTGCCATTTAATAGTTTCACACTTTTAAGTTGAATGGCAGCAGTAATATAACTAATAATTAAGAAGGAATGAAGTGGTTTAGGCGAACATTGTAGAGCGGCTTTTTCTTGCAGCTTCTCTAAAGACAATGTGTAAGTGGTGCGTCTTTAAATGAGGTGAGGTGGGATGGATTATCTCTGCAACGGAGAAGGGCTCACTAACAATACTGCCTATAAAATGTGACCTATATTTTGTTCTGTTTTTTTTTTTTTACGCAGATCTTTCGTCCGACGCAGCTCTTGTGGACAGAGTTTGTGTTGACAAACTCACGGAGGGAATCCTTGCTCACTATCTGCCCAATCTCCAGAACTCCAAGAGGGTCCTGCAGGAGCTCACGTGAGGAGTGTCCAGGAATTTAGAAAAACACACCTGAGAGATTATACCAACTCATTTGTGTTTGGACAAGGCTCTCGCACATTCACCTTTTAACTTAACTCAGGGATGTTATTTTGAAAGGCAAGTTAGATGTATTATCGTATTCAAATCTTTCGGCTGCAGAGATGATCCAGCAGTCAAAACATTTTAACAAGCTAATACGTTTAGATTCAATTTGAATTTAATTGTGTATAGTCCTAGTTCACAACAGCAGTCGTTTTGGAGGACTTTAAAAAGTCGATTCACCAACAGATCAGAGAATCCAAAAGTTCGAACACAGGAAATGCAATAATAACAAACACATAGGAGCAATTGGTCCATAGGAAGCATGTTGATCACTGTCCATAAAAGTTTATAAATGTCCATAAATGTTCCTTAATGATGCAGATCATTACTGTCCTTAGAAACTCCTGCATTGGCAAGGACTCAGTAAAAAGAAAAAAGTGAGAAACCTTGGGGAGGCCCATATTGAGGGAGGGATCTGCTCCTGTGGGCTGTAGAATGAGGACTGAGGCTGTGCAGGTCTGAAGAGGCTCCCAGGCGGGGAAGTGAGTGCAGCCAACAAGTCGGGGACCGGGGACATCAGTCCACAAGTGCAGATAATATTATATAGCCGGATTCAGGGGTCCCATCGTCACGTCATGGGGTAGCGGGTAAATGGCAATGAACATGATACCGCTGTATACGTCTAACTTGCCTTTCAAAAAAACCAAAAACACAAACCTGAAATATTAATGTTAGTAAGTAAAATCCATGTAACTGTGCTTCTATCTCTATTTACAATCATACATTTTTATCCATATCAGTACAAAGGCGACCTGTTGTGGTTTGTTAGTGAGCTACTCCAGCTTTGTTCATACGCTTGTTTTTCCTCCAAACAGACAAAACCAGGTCATCTTATTGGACACTTTGGACCAAGAGGTGACAAAGTTCAGGGACTGTAACGCTCTGCTGGACCTCAATTCTCTAGTGAGTTCCTTTTTAACCCACATCCAATTGGTTATAACAAACACTATAACAATAATTTTCACTAATGAAGATTTTTGTGACACCAGTTCATCGAAGCCAAAATCTACCACAACAAACTGGTGAACATCCGGAAAGAGATGATCGTGCTTCATGAGAAGACAACAAAACTAAAGGTATGTTAATAATAATCACAAAAAACGTTTTGGTCTTTGAGCTGTTGTAATGACAATCATACAATAACAACAACATGATAAATCACAGTGCATTTAAAAGGGTCTGAAATGGTTCTGGTTTGATTCTGGTCTGGACTTTTCCACCAGAGAAGTGATTAAAGCTAAAAACTGTTTATAAATGACCAAAGAAAACTGGTGAAAAACAACATTGTTGGGGATTTTCTTAGGATTCCATGAGAATCACAGTGAAGTTTATCATCGCTGTGTATGGAGTGAAACAAGAATGGCATGTGAAGCGTTTTTGAGTGTCCACAAAGAGCTGTATAAAACAAATTTATTATTATGATTATTATTATTGTTTTTATTGTATCTTGTAGAAAAAAGCCCTGAAGCTGCAGCAGCTGAAGCAGAGGGATTTTCTGGAGAAGGAGCAGCAGAAGGAGAAAGAGCTGGAGCGGGAACGACAGCTCACAGCCAAACCGGCCAAACGGACCTGAAGACGTATCCAAACACGTGTTCCAACTTTGAGCACGGTCGCCATCTTTAGTCTTATTTATTTCAAAGATACTGATGCCTTTTTAGCATTGTGAACAGAGCAGCTAGCAGGTTTATCATAGATGTAGCCATAGTTTTTATTTTTTGCATATCTGCCACAAATAGAGATATTCATGAATGTGCACTGAGCATTTTTTATAAAGTCAGTATTTGTAAAACACAGTCTGGTCAGGTACATTCACTGCTTTTTATTGCAATAAAAACAGCACAACTTGAGGGTTTCAGCTTCCCCGCGTTTTAAGGACCTTTCCACCAATTCAGAAGATAAATTATGTTTTTACTTAGTTCAGTAGATGAATTTAACTGTTGTCATGACGCAAATGATTGTGGTGCTTGTTTGGAGTGCCAACTCAACGTGACATTTTGAGGCTGATTCCAGAACGTCAGGATGATGAACAAATAATCCCTCTATTCAATTCAATGTATTTTTTATAATACACATTTAATAATTAATTAATTATTTAATGTGAATAATACTAAATCACAACAGCAGCAGCCGTCTCGGAGGACTTTAAAAAGTTGTTTATTCACCAACAACAAAATGAATGGGAGTCCGTACCCAAGTGAGGTTTGTTGCAGTGCCATGTAATACCTCTTGTTAAAGCTTTTTTTCCTCAAGAAAACAATCACATTTATTCAGTTCTGTGAACCCAAAACAAATATAGTAATAATTTGTCAAAAGCCTTAATCACTATTTCTGTCTGAAATTTACCTTTACCTTTCTTTACCTTTTGATTCAGTTTCGATTTAATCCAAGCAAAACAAAAGTAATTTTTTTCAGAAAAAAACCACCAAAACAAAATTAAAACTCATGTTCAAGGCAGCACTGTGGCTCAGTGGGGTTTGCATGTTCTGCTTGTGTCTGTGTGGGTTTCCCTGGGACTACGAGGACCTATCACGGATCATCTTGACTATCTGGAAACAGCCTGTTTTCCACACAGAATCTCCTCATACATTTTTATATTATAAAATATGTATTTGACATGCTGTTATTTTTTGTGTAAAATGACGATTTAAAAGTAAAACATGTATAGGTTACTCCCTTACTAAGAATACAGACAGCAGCAGCATTATTGTGAATAGTTTTTTACTATGACAACAACCCTCAATTTTTATCATGTGAATCCCATGGTTAGAAATATACATGTCTTACGTTTTATCTTGTGGCCTGAGCCAAAAGTATGCAGCATTTAACCATCTTAGCCTCTCAATGTTTGCCATAGGAATAGGCACGTTTTGATCCGGTAGACGTCGGAGACTGAAGCAGCAGTCCTCCTGATCAGAGCTGTCTTCGGTGACTCGTGAACCAGGGAACACTTAAACTAAGAGCATTTATCCCGAAGTGTAGCAGAGACCAAGACGATCACATCCTCAAGGTCGGGGCACACCAAGCCGTGAGAAATCAGAAAAGTCTAGTGTCAGCTTAGGAAGGTTCAAGTAGATAAGGTTTTTTTGGAGGATGACTGTTCAAAACATTGGTGATAACAAGTCCTTCTTTCAATTGTCCGGTCGAGAGGAAACGAATAACTTAACATTTGGACTCTAAATCTTCCAAAGCAATAATCTTGACCTTTCATTCAAATCAATGGCATTCTGAAACATTCTCAAAGTCATTTCACCAAAGTAAGTCATTTATAAGGGTTTTATCTTCACTCCCTTTTAATAAGCTGCTCAGCTCTTAGCATGGATCTGGCTCTTTGCCCAAAGCGTCAAATAGTGACTCACAGGGCTCTTTCTTTCAAGTCCGCAAAAGAAGACCAAGTGTGCTAAAGAGATGAAGACCGCATGTGCATGTGTTCTGACAAATTTACGATTTTATTTATTTTTCAAGTTAGGTTCCCCAGCTTATTGTACTAAATGCAGATGACATGCTCTGAAAGAAAAGTAGTCTAAATATTAGGTTATTTTATTTATTATATCGAGTTGGTTTGGACTTCAGTCATAGCTGTAGAAGACTGGTTGGTGTGCTCTGTCCTTTAGGCAAAAGAATGTTCCCACAATATAATAATAATAATAATACATCAAACTTTTTTTGCGCTTTTTTGGACACTCAAAGATGCTTAATATAACTTCACCCTTGCGTTCGCTCCTGTGCAAGCCTCCTCCAGCACAAGCCAAAGACTCAGATCAGGGGTCTTCGCTCTACATTGTGGGGGCGAACAAAAATATTAGATTTACAAAATGGCAACGGCACTGAGAAATGATCAGTGTGGTCCAGAAATGAGGTAGAATGTGTCAGATTTGTGCAATTTTTGGTTTTATAGTAATAGTTGATTACCAAGCAACTGAAATGTACCACGGTTTAATTTTATACTCAAATAAATGGAGCATGAAAAATTATGACATAGAAATAAGCTACCAATAGAAACAAAGTTATGAGGATCAAAAGGTACATAAGCCTTACACTTCCAAAACTTAAAGCCGTCGGATTGACTGCTCTGGGAGTTCTAGTGTTAAAGTACTTTGTCACAATGTGGGCTTCATGAATTGTTTGTCATCTTGAGTGTTCTCACGCCGTCAGAGAAGGAGATGTATGTGATTTTAATGCATTTACATCCTGGTCATTCTGCTGATCTGGACACAAAAGGATATTTATCAAAGTAATAGAAACTCTGCAATGTTAGTGATTTAGTTCTATGGGACACATGCATGGCATCTGTTTTCTCCTGTGTTCTAAAGGACGCACGCACGCACACACACACACACACACACACACACACACACACACACACACACACACACACACACACACACACACACACACACACACACACACACACACACACTGATCCCAGCTGTTTGCCTTATTCAAATCAGACCACATATCTCTGTTGACTTTGTCTATTTTTACAGAAATAGAGCAACTGTTGTATATGTATTTACTTATTGTATGTAAATAAATGTTGAGTTAATACCTAATGTTGTGAGTCTGTCAATTGCACGGTTGAAAATAAAGCACATGACAAACTACACATGTTTTTTTTTTCATTTGTTCTATGTCTTGCAGGATTTGTATTTTATTGTTCATCTTCATATTCATCCTTTGTTAATCCATATCCTTGGCGGCTGTATGAATATGCTCTTGCCTAGGAACACAACAACAGCATCAGTTTGAGATCATTATTTTTATTTTATGTTATGTTAAAATTTCATCCAGTTAATGTAGAATCAATGTGTTTGGTTACTTCTGGGGGGAAAGTGACAACGTTGGCCTATAGGCTGATAATACATGCCCCAGACAGATGTGGCTGTCTACTACGGTAATAATAGATTCACTTTTATTGAATATTTTTCAAGTTTTTTTAAAAGGTTTGACAATAAATATCTTAACAAAAGCAGCATGACATGCGAACGTGTTGGATTATAAAAATTTTCCAGCAGAGGGCAGCATTGCATAAGATTCATTCACAGCAGAAGGTGAATTTATATGGTGAAAATATTGTGTCGTTGAGATGGTGTTACTTTCTGCCTATAATGACGATTGAACAAAAACTAGATAGAATAATAAATACAATGATATAGTCTATCCCGCAGCCTCTTACAGACCCCAGATATTTGTTTTTTTATCCCTAGATAGGGATTAATTTTACTGCAAATGGTCAAGACAGGCAAGGCAAGTTAATTAGTATTGCACATGTTTAGTCCTGACTCATGTCAGTCCCTGTGCTTCTGAGAGTCCCAGCAGGAGATCAGTCCCTGTGCTCCTCAGAGTCCACATTGGTTCATATGGCACTAACATGTCTCAGATGTACTTTGGTGCGAGGCCATGAGAGACTTTAAAGCAAAGCTGCTTTAAAGTCTATTCTCTGGGCCACTGGAAGCCAGTGCAGAGACCTGAGGACTGGACTACAAGTAAAACATGTCAACGTTATCAGGATTTTATGATCCACTCTTTGATTCACATTATTTGATTTTGTTGTTTTTATTCTATTTTCATGTGTTTAAAGTTGGAGTACCTCGCCTTTTTCAGAAAATTATATTGTTTATGTTTCTGTCTAAAAAAGCTAATCTAAAGATGTAGAGGCCAAACATACTGAGAGCACAGTTACATGGATTTTATTATATTGTTGTTTATTCAAAGTTGTTGTTTCAAAGTTAGGTACTCCAGCTTTAAAGACAAAGTTGTGATTGTTGTGATTTGTGTTTCTATTGTCACATTGAGAAAACAACCACTTCACCCCAAACCCTGAGGGCCGCTGAGACCAGGGGCAGGAGGTCAACCGCATGTGTACATTTTCACTGTATTTTTAGCCGTAGTGAGTGAGTTTTGTCGTTGTGGTTTTTGATGCCAGGGTTATTTTCAATCTGGGTCAGCGAGGGAAAACAGACGCCAAAATGGAAGGAGCTCGGTCAGAGTATACGTCACTGCAGAAATAGCCTTACTACTACGTTTGTCAATCAACTGCAACAACAACAGTCCATTGTGCAGTCGTTCTGTGGGTCAACGGGTTTACAAATTACCAATACAAGAAGCAGATCCAAAGGAAAGTGCAGGACAGAGGAAAACATCCACATGACTTTATCTTTAAACTGAAAAGAGGTCTTCAGCACCAGCTTCTATTTGTCATAAAAATCTATCCAACAAAACTGAACCAAACAAACTCATGTAATCTCTATGGGTTTGTAATATAGTGACATTTAAACAATTTTGTAGTCAAACAACAAAAAGGATGTCATGTTAGTGCCTTTTGGACCTCCTGCCATTCACCAGAGTCACCAATCAACAATCAACTATTTCAACTGTCTAGACTCTTGACTAGAACCAGGAAGTACATCACATTAGTCCAGTTCCCAGGTCTCCGCACCTAAGTGCTATCTGTCACATTTTAGCGCCATTTGAACCAACTCTCTCTCTCTGGCCTCCTGAAAGCTGTATGAACTGTGCCCTACAAATAAACTTGCCTTGCCATCTCCTGCAACCGGTAAAAAAAAACAATAGGCC